TGAATAAGCCCCCGAGTTCTCCTGATCCTATAAAGGCAGTGACACCTCTAGGAAACGCTTGTCAGCCTCTAGCGAGAGGGACGCTTTCCTTCTTTGGTTCTCACCAGAGCTCCAGCCGAGCCGCCAGACACAAGGCACTTTGACAGACCACTGCAGCTGCCCCCACACTTGTGCCAGGCCATCAAACCCTCGTGCATCCTCTCTAACAGCAGAGAGAGAGAGAGAGAGAGAAATAGACGGGGCAGCAGCTGAGCTCAGTAGCAGGTGCTCTCACTTAAGCTTGTTTAGCAGTTGTCCTGTTTACTTGCTTCGTCTCTTCCCTGCCCCCCTCCCCAGGCCCAGCCATGTCCCCATGCCACTCCAAAGCCTCCTCTGAACTGTGCCATGGCTGAGTTCCAGGAAAACCGCAGCCCTGTCGAGATGCTGAGAAAGACAGCTTGAGGGATGTGGCGTGCACAGCCGTGCAGTCCTGCTCTGGGCACCTGGGGTGATATGCTGCATTAGCCCCTGCCCTCCACAGGGGATTGTTGTGGGGTTCACCTTGGAGCTGTGTCTGGGGAATAGGGCCACCCCCTTCTGTCTCACGCTCCAGGATTTGCAGTGGGTCAGGGTCATCCCTCTTCCTGGCTTAGGGGGCTCTTTTTCCACAGCTTGCCCCCCACCGCCCCGGCTGGGTCACTCTGTGGTTTCCCCATTCCAGAGTATCAGCGTCTCACTGGACGATCTGACCCAGGCAATCTTCCCTTCTACTGCTGGTTGGGGAATGCGACCCACTCTGCTCCAGGGCTCAGCTCAGGGAACCCTACAACCGGCAGCCAGGGTCTCCTCCATCCCAAACCTCCCTGCTATTTCCCTGGTCTGCTTCCTACTCTGTCTTTATCAGACTCCCTGCTGTACCATCTGGCTGGTACACCCCTCCCTGAGAGCTAGGAGCCCAAAGCTTCTCCTTCTTTCCTCTTGAAGCCCTCTTCCTGGCTTTATACCAGCCCTCCTTGCTCCTGTCCAGCTGGGCTCCATCCTTCCTCCCTTGTTCTCCCTCAGGTGTTGCCTGTCAGGTTAATTGGCTCCTTCGGAGCCTCATTAACCAGACATGCCAAACGCACGAAAAAACCACAGAAACTGGGCTTATTTTTGGCTTCATTGGCTTGTGAGTTGCTTGTTGGCTAGTTTTTGGCTTGTAGCTTGTTTGGCTTGTAGCTTGTTGCTTCTTTTTTTTGATCAGCTCCCGGCAAGTAGGGGCAAGGGGGGAGAGAGTCAGGGGTGCACAGTGGGCCCACCACAGGCCCAGACTGCACGCCAGGGGGATCTAGTCACACGGAGTCTTGGGGTTCTTAGGGATTGGCTTGTTTTGGCCTTGTTTTGAAATGGGATTCGCTTGGTTTTTGGCTTATTGCGAAAGTCGGGGTGCTTATTTACCGCGCAAAAGTTGGCAACGGTGTCATTAGCCCTTTCCGGGCTACTGCCGGGGGGGGAGGGGGAGCTGTGAACACCCCATCACAAGGATATTCCCTGGTAACAGCTCACAGGGATCCCAGGGACAAGGAATTCTCTAATCACTCCCTGGTTACAGGTTATCTCTGACCTTCAAACACAACTAGTTTTAGGCAGCTGGGTGGGGGCGCACTGGCGGTTGGAATTTGTCAAATACACCTGAGCCCTGACCCCCACTGACCGTCTCAACATTAGATACTTAAAACAGGGACGTTTCACGTTGGGCTATCAGCTTTCAACTTTTTTTTTTAATTGTCTATTATAACTTCTGGTATAACATCAAATAAAAGAAAACTCGCAAAATGCAAAATCATTTTAAAACTAACCACGGAAACGCTCCGTTCGGCAAGCGCCATGTTGAATGGCTTTGTTAAAAACCAACAGTGCTGCTCTGCATAAGAGACGTCAAATGGGGCAATGCTTCGGCTCGCTTGTTTTTTGTTTCCATGACGAAATTTTGTCAGAATCGACAAAGTTTCAATTTCCAGGCATTTTCTGAGGATGGAAACCCGTTGTGTTGGAAAACTTTCCACCAGCTCTGTCGCTGTGGCTTTGTAGGCCAAGCGAGAGGTAGGAGGGGCAGGGAATTTTATTCCCAATGATCCAGAGAAGGGTTTATTTCCAGTAAAGGCGTCGGGCTTCAGGCAGTGTGGCCGGTTCTCGCAGTGTTATTGTGACTATCGTGAGTCAAGTTGTTTTCTTAAAGCCCCCACTAGTCTCATCCTGGCATGATGTTACAATCTCAGCTCTTTTTAAAAAAAGGTAAAATTTCCCTCTCCTGGTTTTGGAGAAAAGCCAGAAAACGTGTCCTGAGGGCTAAAGGCTCAGAAACCACGAGGCAAAGAAAGGGAACCTCAAAGAAAGAAAGAAAGGGAACCTTTATTAGGTCTTTTAAATCCCCTGATATTTTGGGGTTTGACTGGGGATTTTTGAGCGTTTGAGGTCAATGACGCGTGAACAGATGCTCTCAAGGTACCAGTGGAACTGCCCTGGTTGCTGTATATATGTGAGCTGCTGCCTGCGGCATGGAACCTAAAACCCAATTTACTATCTGTGAATAATCACGGCCTGACAGCGCGATTCCTGGAACTCCACACATAATTCCTGGGAAATGACGAGGCATTCCAGCCGGCGACCCAGGGAGAATTCCAATTCCTTCCAAACTGGCAGGTAACCAGCAGGGAGATTGCTCCGACGGTGTGTGCCACGGCGGAGAGGGGTTCTCAGGGACGAGCGCCAAGATGACAGCGCGCTGTGTGCAGGCGTGACACGTATCTAGAGCTGTCTCTGTGTGTCGGGTGCGTGTGCTACAGAGCGTGTTGTGTGTGCATGCGTGTCTGTGCAGATGCCGTATTACGCGCCTGGATGTGTGGACTGTGCATTAGTATGTATGCGGGAAGACGTGCGCATGGTGAAGGATTTCCGGGGTGGGTAGATGGCTATACGACCCAGTGTTGTGTGGCTGGAGGAATATGTTTATCCTACAGTGCTGTGCGTATGTACAATATGTTGGTGGCAGAGGGCTGGCTGGGCAAGAGAGGATGGCCTTGTGATTGAAGGCACAGTCATGGAGACTCAGGAGCTCTGGGTTCAGTTCCCAGGTCTACCCCAGACCTCCTGGGTACCAGGGGCACATCCCCTCAGGCTGAACGCGCCGCTGGAGTTAGACCCCAGCCCCAACTTGGGGAACACCACGATGCACGAAATACCTGCTGAAACCCTGGAAGCACCTAAAGTTGTTGGGTGTCAATGGCCCTGCCTCAGGGCCCACGCACTGGGGCTGTCCAGACGCCCATCTTCCGCCTGAGCCCCCAAGCAATCCACAGAGCAGGGGCAGAGAGGCCTTTGGTTGCCTAACCCGCCTGAGAATCCTGCTCCGCTAAGCGTGCGCAGAGGCTGCCTATCGGCTCAGCGAGTTTGCACAAGGCGGCCGGAGGAGGAGGACCACAGCCTCCCTTGGAACTTTTAGCCCAGTGGTTCTAACTCAGCTGGGAGATGGGAGAGTAGCCGGTTCAAATCCTCCCTCCACCTAACGGGGGTTTGAATGGGGAGTGAGTGCCCTGACCCTGGGGCATGGGACAGTCTGATGTCAGGCCCTGGGCCCTCCCCTTGAAGCTGTTATCCTGCAGCCAAATAACGAATGAGCCCCTGGAGCAGGGGCTGGCTCCCGCGTCCCCCCCATCCCGGTAAGTGTGCCAACCACCAGGCAGCAGAATCATGCGCGTGCTGGTGGGCTCGCTTGCCCACTCTCTTGTCGCAGCGACGCTTTGCGAGCCAGTGTGCACAAGCGTGACTGTGTCGCCGGGCGGTTAGGGCACCCACCCAGGACTGGGGAGGCCAGGAGCCTGTTCCATGGAGTCTTTCATTATTTATTCCCAGCGCTACAGCTTCAAACAGGAGTGACGGAGGGAGCACCATAGCAGAACTGTCCAATGGTTAGAGCAGTCGCCTGAGAGGCGGCAAATCCCTTCTCCTCCTTCGGGGGAAGGGCACTTGAGCGGGGGGTCTCCCATTTCCCAGATCAGTACCTTCGTCACTGAGCTAAATGTTATGAGGGAGATCTGTCCTCGGTGCTAGACACCTCCCTGAAGCCTGGACCTCAGTGCCTGCCTCTGAGAGCGCGGTGGGGCTGCGCGCCAACCCCGGCTGGCATCTTCCCTTGGCTGGCGTCGGCGGCTCCCCGCCTAGTGCGCTGGCTTTTGTGAACCGCATCCCCAGGGGCCCGTCTCTCCCCAGCTATCTGCCTGCCTAGATCCTTCTGAGCTCTCCGCCCTTCGTCTCTCTGCCATGCCCGGCTGCTGTGAGGCTGAGCTCATGGATGGCCAGGGGCTCAGGTACAAGAAAGCTGAGCCCCCAAGACCGGGGTATAGCTAAGACACGGCCCTCCATGGCTTTGTGTAGGACCCGGTGATAATGTGTCTGCCCAGGAGCCCGAGCGTGTTCACTGCTCACTGGGTGAAATTGTATTTTCCCTCTGGGGCAGGAAGGGCACCAGTCAGGCCTGACCGCTGTAGACTTCTCCTCCCGCCCTGCATCCACTGCGTCCCTGCTGCAGTGAACAGGAAGGGATGCCCCGGAGAGCCGTCCTCCTTGCCCCCTCCATGATCTGAGTCTCGCCCTGCTCAGGAAGGATGGGAGGGGTGCCCCAGACAGAGTTAGGCGCAAACGTGCTCCCATCCCGGCCCTGAAACGCCAGCTTTTGGGGTGGTGGGAACTCGTAAAGCTCCTCTCCCTGCCATAGAGAGGAGAGGCAAAACACGTGTGTTTCGATTGGCTGCAATGCAAAGAGGTCTGTGTGGCTGCCACCTCCTGTGAGAGCCTGACCCAAAGACCATTGCAGACAAGGGCAAGATGCCCACTGACTCCAGTGGGCGTTAGGTCTGCGCCAGGGTGAGGGAAGGATCAGCAGGCTGGGTTTAGCTGGTGCCGCCTCCCTGGCCATGTGGCCCGGCGACCCCAATCCACCGCACTCACCTGTCTCTCTCTCTCTGCGTCTCTGCCCCTTGCAGGTAGTGCAGAGAAGAAGAAGGCAGCCACGATGCCTGACTCACCAGCTGACGTGAAGACTCAGTCCAGATCGACACCCCCCAACATGCCTCCTCCACCGCCAGCCGTCACGCAGGGAGCCACGCGGCACCCCTCCTTCACGCCAAACACCAGTGAGTAGCCGGGGCAGCCAGGGCTGGGGTGATGGGAGGGGCTGGGATGCGGTGAGCAGACTCGGGGCCGGATCCTGTCATGCTGACGGAAATGTCACCTGGAAAGGGTACTCCCTGAGAGGGCTCTGTGCCCTGTGCCACCGGGCAGCGTATGGGCCCTGTTACAGCTACCCCTGGGCAGGAGTGCCATGCGGAGGGGAAGGACAGGGAACTGTCCTCTGCCCCAACATTCTCCTGCAGAAGCCAGCCACGCATCCCTGGCTTGTGCCACGCATCCCTGGCTTGTGCCCACATCCCTGGCTTGTGCCCGCATCCCTGGCTTGTGCCCGCATGGCACCAAGCAGGGCTCAGCTGGTGCTGCTGTGCGCATTGCCCACCTCCCAGGGGCAGGCTGGGGCGTGGCCAGCACCGCAGCCAATCCTCTCGATGAGCACACGCCCGTAGGCAGACCTAACACCTGTCCTCTACCACTGCCCTTGCTCTCCCCGGGAGCTCTCAAAGCTGGGATGCACCCCTGCTGTATTATCCTTGGGCCACAGGCTCAGCGTTTGCCGTACTGTAGAGAGAGAGTAACTGCCCTCACCCTGGAACAGGTGTTTGTGTTCCTTATTTATTTGCATCTCTAAAAAGGACACAAAGCACCTGCCCTTCCCGGCGCCTTCGTGCTCAAAGTGCTCCCTGCGGTTAGGGAAGTGTGGTTATTCCTGTGTCATAGAGGGAGAAACTGAGGCACAAGGAGGGGGTGCGGGTGACTTGTCCAAGGTCATCCACCGAGTCAATGTCCTGACTGCCAGCGCCCGCCCCAGGAGACAACCCTCTCTCCAATACAGAAACAACTGGAACCGATTGGGAAATTATGAATATTTTCTGTGCAAATCTGGGGAAGAAACAACACCTTTGGGGAGGGGGTTTTGTTGTCATTTTTTGGGGAGGGAGGGAATCAGTTTTTCAACCAAAAAGTAAAAAAGCAACCAGCGCTCTGTTGTCCTCACTTCTTCTGCTGAAAAAAAGCTGAAAATTTCCTGAAACACAAAAATTTCCCACCAAACATTTTGTTTAGAAAAAAAGGCCAAATTTTTGTCAGCAGCAAAAAAATTATGAATGCAAAATGTCAAGCAACTCTAGGAAGAACTGGGGAGGAGGGGGAGGGCCGCGAACCCCAGGCTGGAAAGCAACAAACAAAGGGGAACTCCCATCTGGTGCCAAGTCACTGCGGCACTGGGCTGGACTTAGCAATGCCAGAATCCAGGCTGTAATGAGCTGCTGATGCTGGTTTAACCCTGTGCTCCCCTATGGCCTGTGTCCATCAAGTCACTGCGGTGGGATCCGGGATTACCTTATCACTGGCTGCCAGTTGCAGGCTACGGGCATTGTTGTGTTCTCTACTTTCTCTGGTGGGATAAGGGGACCCACACCAATTTAATTTCTACAGTGTTGTCGCCTGTTTCATTCCTCTCCTATCACCAGGCACGGAGCAGCTGGGGCCTTGATAGGTTGTCTTGGATCTCATCCACCTCCTTTCTCCTAAGACTTTGCAGCCTCCTTCGTCTCTTTTCAAACAAATGGAGCTGTCATACAGCACAGCACTGGGACTGCCAGGAGCACATGCCGCAGGGGCACTCCCTCGCGTGCCAGCATTCCCGCTTGCATAGTTAAGCTTCACTCCGAAGGCTTGGGACAATCTCCTCCCAGGAGGGCATGGAAAGCTAGACATCAGGCCAGCATGGCAGGCGAGTGACCCGGAGAAAACCTGTCCCCTAGAGGGCATAGCCACGGGTGGGCGTGATTGGGGCAGGCTGTGTGGAGCCGGTCCCATGGGGAAGGATGGAACAGGAGCAGTTGTCCTGCCAGTGACGGGGAGCCATCAGGATCTGTTCCAGGTGGATCTACCGGTGACCATCACTGCTGACAATGTTACATGGTGCAAACAACGAGGCCAGCCCTGAATGGTGCTGAGCACTTGCAGCTCCCATTGGCCTTAGTGGGAACTGCTTGCTCCTCTCAGTGCAAACCCTGTCCGGGTGTTCGTGGCGGACTCCTCCTTCCATCACTGTCCTGAGAAGAAAGAAGAACCTGAACTGGATTCCTGCTTGCAAGGAGTGCTGGGAACAGCCTGGGGTGCTGGGCCTGGGATGGATTTAACTCTGTGCTCCCCAATGGCCAGTCATCTATCTACCAAGCTAGCGAGCCCCATATACATCTCCTAGCTAGTTACTTCTTCCATGACCCTTATCCACGTAGTATCTGAGCACCTGGATCTGTCTGTATCTCCAGGCAGGCAGTGACAATATGTGTTGGAACCCTGATGTGCCAGTGTAACACAACAGGATGTGGGGTTCCTTGATGTGTGAATGGCACTGCACCATAGTGTGTAATGGGAGACAGTGCATACAGCACTGGTCTGCGAGGCAGGAGACCTGGGAGCTATTCTCGGCTCTGCCACTGGTCTACTGGGAGACCTTGGGCAAGTCACTTCCCCCCCCCATGACTCAGTTTTCCCATCTGTAAAGTGGGGATAATGATACTGATCCTCTTGGTAAAGCCAAGGTTGTTGTGGGGGGTTGTAGTACCGCTACCCTTACTTCTGTGCTTCTGCTGTCAGGGCTCAGCCTTCAGAGTTGGACGCCCGGTCAACAGCCACCGCTCTCCGGCCCCCGCAGCTCTGAAGGCATTGATATAAGGCTGGTCATAGGCTCATAGACTCATAGACTTTAAGGTCAGAAGGGACCATTATGATCATCTAGTCTGACCTCCTGCACAATGCAGGCCACAGAATCTCACCCACCCACTCCTGCGAAAAACCTCTCACCTACGTCTGAGCGATTGAAGTCCTCAAATCGTGGTTTAAAGACTTCGAGGTGCAGAGAATCCTCCAGCAAGTGACCCATGCCCCACGCTGCAGAGGAAGGCAAAAACCCCCAGGGCCTCTGCCAATCTGCCCTGGAGGAAAATTCCTTCCCATCCCCAGATACGGCGATCAGCTAAACCCTGAGCATGTGGGCAAGACTCACCAGCCAGACACCCAGGAAAGTATTTTCTATCGTAACTCAGATCCCAACCTATCTAACATCTCATCACAGGCCATTGGGCATCTTTACCGCTAATAGTCAAAGATCAATTAAATGCCAAAATGAGGCTATCCCATCATACCATCCCCTCCATAAACTTATCAAGCTTAGTTTTGAAGCCAGATATGTCTTTTGCCCCCACTGCTCCCCTTGGAAGGTTGTTCCAGAACTTCACTCCTCTGATGGTTAGAAACCTTCATCTAATTTCAAGTCTAAACTTCCTGATGGCCAGTTTATATCCATTTGTTCTTGTATCAACATTGGTACTGAGCTTAAATAATTCTTCTCCCTCTGTGGTATTTATCCCTCTGATATATTTATAGAGAGCAATCATATCTCCCCTCAGCCTTCTTTTGGTTATGCTTAACTAGCCAAGCTCTTTGAGTCTCCTTTCATAAGACAGGTTTTCCATTCCTCGGATCATCCTAGTAGCCCTTCTCCGTACCTGTTCCAGTTTGAATTCATCCTTCTTAAACATGGGAGACCAGAACTGCACCCAGTATTCCAGATGAGGTCTCACCAGTGCCTTGTATAACGGAACTAACACCTCCTTATCTCTACTGGAAATATCTCGCCTGATGCATCCCAAGACCGCATTAGCTTTTTTCACAGCCATATCACATTGGCGGCTCATAGTCATCCTGTGATCAACCAGTAGTCCAAGGTCCTTCTCCTCCTCTGTTACTTCCAGCTTATAACTAAAATTCTTGTTATTAATCCATAAATGCCTGACTTCGCACTTTTCCCTATTAAATTTCATCCTGTTACTATTACTCCAGTTTACAAGGTCATCCAGATCCTCCTGTATGATAGCCCGGTCGTCTCTGTATTGGCAATACCTCCCAGCTTCGTGTCATCCGCCGACTTTATTAGCACACTCCCACTTTTTGTGCCGAGGTCAGTACTAAAAAGATTAAATAAGATTGGTCCCAAAACCGATCCCTGGGGAACTCCACTAGTAACTTCCTTCCAGCCTGACAGTTCACCTTTTAGTGTGACCCGCTGTAGTCTCCCCTTTAACCAGTTCCTTATCCACCTTTCAATTTTCACATTGATCCCCATCTTTTCCAATTTAGCTAGGAATTCCCCATATCAAACTCCTTACTGAAATCGAGGAAAATTAGATCCATTGCGTTTCCTTTGTCTAAAAAATCTGTTACCTTCTCAAAGAAGGAGATCAGGTTGGTTTGACACGATTTACCTTTTGTAAAACCATGTTGTATTTTGTCCCAATTACCATTGACCTCAATGTCCTTAACTTTCTCCTTCAAAACTTTTTCCAAGACCTTGCATACTACAGATGTCAAACTAACAGGCCTGTAGTTACCCGGATCACCCGTAATACCGCAACCCCCCTAAAATAATCTTGTGATTCCCCCTGTAATTCCCTTTTGGGTCAGAGCCCCCAGTTTGTGAAACGCTGGTCTCCACTGTGAACTCTGTATAGTATAGGGTAAAAGCATACAAAAGACCAGATTTCTCAGGGGAAGACCAGATTTCACAGTCCGGGATGCATTTTTCATGACCGTGACTTTGGCAGGGCCCTAATTATTGCAGTGCAGTAATTCGAGTGCTCCAGATCTCTCCTGTGCCATAGTCGGATGGTGTTAAAGGAGAAGGCACATAATCTGGTTGCACACAGACCCACGTTCTGTCACATCCCCGACAGAGCGCAGGTGTCAGAGTGCGCAGACAGCGACTGATGGGCTAGGGAATTGCTCCAGGAACGCTCTCAGGGGACCTCCTCCTCCTGAGCTAAACCACGAAGCTGGGAGGCTCTGGTGCTCAAAAAGGGCTTTGGGCAGTGTCTCTGCAACACACCTGAGTCCCCCCACCCCCTGCCCCAGCCCCACTATCCGCCTTCCCCCCTTCCATTCACAGGTTCCACAGGATCAGTCATCTGGCGTGACTAGTCCCGGCAGCCCTGCCCTGCCCCTTTTCGGCAGAGGTTCTCCACTGAGTTTGGATCACTTGCTGCAGCCACCCTCCTCAGTGTAGTAAGCCGGGAAGGCTGGGGATTGGTGTGCACCAGCTGCAGGCTGTGTCTGGCCATGTCCTGGGGCACGCTGCAGAAGCCAGTCACATATACACGGTACAGCCTGCTCCGGGCAGCTCCAGAGACACAGACGGAGGAGACGCAGTGGGATGGGCTGGCAGACACAGAGGAGCCCCTTGCAAACAGATCAGGTTGGCCTCAGTGCGCTGGAGGCTACTTTCTCTAGCCCCCTCAGACAGCGGGAACAAGACGGGACGTTAGGGGCTGGGGCTGGGCCTCGATCACTTTGGAAATGTAAAACTACGGGGCCGAATTCATTCACCCCTCACTAGCCCAGGGAGGAGCACGTGGCATCTCCTTGCTGTGCTCACAAGCGGGTGGCAGGAGCGTGCAGGCACCTTGCCGCACTTTATTTGCCCCCTTGTGCAAATGAGCAAGACAAAGCGGGGGAGGGTGAGATGGTATCTTTTACTGGACCAACTTGTGCTGGGGAGAGAGACCAGCTTTGGAGCTGCACAGAGCTGTTCTTCCGGTCCAACGCAGCTACATCACCACCACCAACCGCTCTACAGACGACAGATCCAATGGCCCACGAGGAACTATGCGAATGTGAGTGTCTGTGTGCAGCCCCCACACTGGCGTAGCTGTTGCTCTGTGAAATAGCTGGTCTAGATCTGTAAGAGACTCCCCTTCCCACCCCAGCAGAGAGCCTTGCCTCGTGACCAGCGAGAACAGCTTCTTGCTGATAAATTCTAAGAGCAAAACAAAAAACAAACCCACCAACGCCTTTGACAACTGCTTAGCCTTCGAACTGCAAAGCTCTGCTCAAGGGAATCCAGGCAAGGCCCAATCTCTTTAAGGTGCATTTGGTAGCGGGTTGGTTTGTTGTTTTTTTTAACCCCGAGCTGCATTCCCAGTCAGGATAAACATTGGGTTTGGAACCAGATGTTCTCTAATTAGAAATCGGATTCTGATCGTCTGTGATCTGATGGGTTTTGCTTTTAATCTGAGCTGTGCAACAGATGTGGGGCCTCTTAATTCGTACTTGGGTTTGTGCGTCTGCGTCTGTGTGGGGTCGGGTGGCCCCCTCCTCCAACACACCAGGATTTTCCTCAACATTGTGGCTGGGGATGATGCTCTGTATGTGTTGCGTGTGCATAAAGGTTACAAAAAGGCAAAAGAATTTTAAGTTGTCCCTTTTGCACTTAGTCCTGTGAATATTAGCAAACCCTCTGACTCAGGTCTACACTGAGACTTACCCTGTAAATAGGGGACTTTATTAACCAGCAAACTTAATGGTTACCACTCTTCAGGGCTCTGTGCAGCACGGGGGAGGAAGACATGGGACAGGGCAGAAGCTGAGGAGGTTAGTAAAAGTGTCAGACTCAGGGAGGCAGCCATGGGGGCGTCAGACACTAAGGGCCACGTTGGATTCAGAGGTCAGTATTTATCCCCCAAATTACCAAATTGGGACAGTAGCAAATTCTGCCCCATCCAGGGAACATTGTCTGATGGCTAGTGCAGGGTTCTGTTCCCAGCCACTGAGTCGCTGTGTGACTTGGGCCAGTTGCTCCCCCTCTCCATGCCTCAGTTTCCCCAAGGCAGGGTTGTGATACCTACCTCATGTGTGAGTGGCAAAGCTTCCTTTATGGAGCCCTGCAAAGTGCTTGGAGATCCCCGGATGATCAGTGCCATTTAGGAAGCATGGCCAGGCCTTTTCAAGGCAGGGACCCACAGTCCATTCCAAGGAGAAGTCCGTTAAGTCTCTCACCTCTGGATTTTCACCACGCCGCTCCATTTCAAGCAGCTGGAGGCCGAAGCAGCCCAGCCCCCACCCAGCACTGTGGAAAGCTGCCCCCTCTGGTCTCTCATGATAGCGTGTGTTTTATTTTGCTTGCAGATCAAGAAGCTGGGCCTCCGACGTTTCTGCCTCGCGGCCGTTTTCATGGTTGCTTGAAATGGTCGATGGTCTGTCTTTGTAAGTAAAATGAAACATCCACTCGAATGAGAGACCCAGAGCCCACCTCAGCTCTCCCGCCCTGGTCCTTAATGCTGCACTGAGTGCGAGGGACTTCCTGCCCCATGCTCGGTGCATGGGTAGCAGAACCGGGGCAGTTCTGCTACGTGGCGGGCAGGAGTTGGATGGGGTAGGCTGCCCCGTGGCAGGGTGGAGACAGGGTGGGGGCACTTGGGGTGAAGCTGGGGCAGGGCTGGTGGCTCTGCTTTTAGCTGGATATTGCCTTCTCCCCAAAGCAGGGGCACAGGGCATTAAGGGAGCTCCCAAGCGCCTAGCCTGCTACATGGGCTGTGCACTCAGCCCCAGGGCGTGGGGAGCTGGGTCACTGCAACCCCTGCGGGACATGGCTCCATCCCAGTGTAGGGGGAGGATGGGGAGCTGGCAAACACACTGTTCTGTGGGACCAGTGCTGGGATCTGCCCTCTGGCAGCTGATCCTGGAGTCACGATGTCTGCGTCCATTGCTGTCTGTTAGCCCCAGCCTTGTGGGAGCAGCGAATTCACCACCAGGGCTTGTGGGTGTGAGCACATGAGGGCGTGCGAGGAGGGGGCTTTAAAGCAGGCTGCCGCCGTTCATTGTTTACCTTCTCAGTCAGAACGGGACTTTTTCCCAACCTGCTCGCTCCCCCGTTAGCAGAGCTGGCTACAAGGGTGCAGGCTGCGTCCACAAACCTTCCGTCGGGGCCATGTGCGGAGTTTAACTTAGTAACACACCTGTCACTGGAATAAAAGCAGTTGTGGCCTGGGGGTTATTTTCGGCATCTCTTTAGCAAGCGGCTGATATTGCTTCGTAGTAGAGCGAGAGGGAGCCTGAGAAAACACCAGAATCAGGGCTGCTGGCTTCCAAGAAGCACAACCACAGCGGGGCAGGTTAGTGACTGCAGGAAGGGGGGATTCAGGGGAACCACGGGTCTATTCACCAGCTGTATTTTCTCAGGGCGAATGGTGGGGCCCTTTGGGGTTTCTCTTCCCAGCAGAGCTGTGTTCAGGGGGACTCGGAGTCCCGATTTCCTGGAGGGGATTTGCACGTGGGGTGGGGTTCCATAGCCGGTGAACAGGAAGCCCTCTGCTTTTCCAAGTGACTCTCTGTTTTCTGGGTGGCGCGTCTACTGCTGCGGTTCCTGCTCCAGGGAGACGTGGGGATGAGGCAGAGGGGTGGAGACTGGTGAAAAGCATGTAACCGACCAGGCTATCCAGGGAGAGGATTCCCCCCGGAGTGTAATTACTCAGCAATCGTGCTGATTCGGTGATTTCAAGCTGTGCTGGACAAGGCGCAGAAGAGCCCAGGGCTCGGCGCTATCTTGCCCTGGCTGACGCAGGGTGGGCTAGGCAGGACCTAGCAGTACAATTCCCCCTCTACTTCCTATGGACAGGAGAAGGCGATTGTTTACCGGCTCCTCAGCAGCGGTTGGCATGAAGGCACCTTACCTAGGGGTTTGATCTCTGCAGCACGCGAGGAAATGCACGGCCTGTAAGTGCCAAGTCTCCACTGCTGCGGGTTCAAACAATGCAGGCCCAGCTTTAATGCAGCCGGTTGTTCTGCAGGGTTAGAAAGCAGATTTCAGGGCCTGGCCCTGCCTTTCACTCTGTGATTGCAGAGAGCCACATATACGGCTGAGGTTAGTTAGGGCTGGATTTTCCAAAGAGCTCTGCGCCCGTCCTGCCCCCCGGGCTGCTGGAAGATGGCTCCTGGGGCTTGGCCCTGCATGAGCAGCCCTTGGAAGCGCTTGGCCCATGCAGGAGCGAGCCCCTAGATTTCACCACCTGCAAACATCCCAGCCAGAGGAGCAGACTTAGGCCCTCGCTCCACTGTCAGGTTGTGTTTACTGAGGCTGATGCAAAGTGCTCCCCATCCCAGAACCCTTGTTGTCTGTCCCACTGATTCTCCGTGGGGCTGGGGAAGGCGAGTTGTACCTTCCGGGGCGTGCTGTGGTCCAGGCAGAGGCCACGTGCTGATACACAGAGCCCCATGTGCAGCAAGGGGCAGGATTTCCAGACGGGCTGTGCTGTCCTCGTGCCTTCTAATTGTGTCGGTGTTAAATGACTGGCTGGCAGGTTTACGGGCTGAGCCAGGTCTCAGGGAGCAGGGCGGGTTATTGATTTATCGGGCCTGACGAGCACATGGCCACTTCATGGCACGTTCATTTGCCCGCGGGGGAAGTGGCTGTTTCGCTGATCGCCCTGCTGCTTGGCTGTCGATTGGAAGCTGCCGTGGCCGGACATTGCTGTTCACGTTCCCTTCTGTTTGCAGCACGTCGTTGTGAGACAACCAAACTCCCCGTGCGGCCAGCAAACGCTGACATGTCTGCTGACAGGTCTGACATGTCTAATGCTGACACCCCCACGCCCCAGGCTGCCTGCCCTCCCCTCGCTGACACACTTCTCCCCACCCCCACGCGCAGGTGACATCCTCCCTTCCCTGCATGCGGACGTGATGCTAATGCACAGAAACTGTGACCCGGCATCCTCTCTGCAGGGAGCTGTGACTCAGCTGATGCTAACCCTCCGCACACTGTGGGGCCACTGAGAAGTCAGCCTCCTGCTCCAGAAAGCCCACTTTGCTAAAGGAAAATCCCCATTAGCTTCCAGCTGTATGGAGCCTATGGCACATAGTAGAGCCGTTCTGATTCTCTCCAGTGGGGGGCAGCGCTACTTGCTCGAAGTTCTTCCAGGAGGCCAGAGGCCAGCCGCTGGTCTTGAAAGCCAGTGCCTTCTCCAGTGACCCTCTCGCTGTCTCTCTCATTGCAGTAATGAATGGAAGCAGCCACTCCCCATCCGCTATCAATGGCGCTCCTTCCACCCCCAACGGGTTCAGCAACGGGCCTGCCACCTCCTCCACTGCCTCCCTCTCCACCCATCAGCTCCCTCCAGCCTGCGGCGCCCGGCAGCTCAGCAAACTCAAGCGCTTCTTGACCACCCTGCAGCAGTTTGGGAACGACATCTCCCCGGAGATCGGGGAGCGGGTGCGCACGCTGGTGCTGGGCCTCGTGGTACGTTCCGTGGGGCGTTTGTCCGGCATGCCCCATCAGAGAGACGGATGGAGCTGTAACTGAGCCAGGGCTTGGTGCGAAAGCCAGGCTTTCCCCTCCCAGAGCTGTGAGGCGAACTCCGGAGAGATTTTTCCTTGTGTCCTGAATTTGCTCTGGGAAAAAAACTGCCATTTTCCCAGAAGCAAACACAGTATGTGGAAAAGGGCGGGGGTATACTTCTCCTCCTTCCCCCCAGCAAAACTGGGAATTTCTCCTGCATTTGTCACCGGGTACAAATTGCCCATTGCGGCCTCAAGACCTGCACTGAAATGCAGGGGTGAACAGGGAATTGTCCAAGTGAACTGACCTGCCCTGCCCCAGCCCAGCCCCGTGTGACTAGTAGCCCAGGGCCTGTGGCGGTAGCCATGTGAATTCTAGCCCAGTGGAAATGACCAGGCTGGTGGGAGGGAGAAGCGAAGGGCTGGCCGTGTGAACAGGGGCTGGGGAAGAGGGCTGCTGTTCTCTGCTGTGACTCCTCTCCTGTCTCTGCCTCGCAGAATTCCACGCTCACCATCGAAGAATTCCACTCCAAGCTCCAGGAGGCGACTAACTTCCCGCTGCGCCCCTTCGTCATCCCCTTCTTGAAGGTAGGTCCCTTATGCCGCCCGGTCCTGCCTAGCCCGGGGCCGTGGCCCCACCAACCCCCGATGACGCCCCATGCGGGAGCTTTGCTGCATCAGGCGCCCTTTGACTTGGGAGATGGTTCCTGTGCGTGTCTCGCTTATCGGACCACTGTGCTATGGGAAGAATTTACCTGCTCTGTCAAGGAACATGCAAATACCTGAGTCAGAAGGGGCCAGATACATGGAGCTGAGGAGCTCTGGGGTGGAGCCGGAGAGTTCGGGGGGGCAGGTCGTGCTGGGTTAGTTGCCTGCATGTTGTAATTTTAGTTTCAAACCCAGGAAGCCAGGAACCCCCTCCCCGTGTTACTCGGGCTCACCCCCTCCGCTCACATGCACAGGAACACGGCTTTAAAGGACTCGCTCCCTCCTCACCATTGGGGTGGTGCATTCCCTTCTCCCGCTGCCCCCAGCTTTGGACTGGGGAACTCAGCAGGCCCGTGTCGCTGTACCAGTTGAGGTGCTTGTCTTTGGCTTCCCAGCGCCACAGAGGGGGCCATCTTGACTTCCATGGAACGATTCAAACCAATATGAAGCCCTGTCTCTGCCTCGTAAGCTTTGTGGGGCGCTGTAAGCCCGGGGCTAACTCAGCAGCCTGTGCACCAAAGAGCACTCTCCAGCCACGGGATTCCAGGCCCCTTTTCTTCGGGTTCTTTTCCCAAATAACACAAATTCAGCACATCAGTCGGGTCACTTCCCTGATTCGGGAACTCCTGCAGGGGCCTATCTATTCCCCGTCTGCCCCGAGAGTCAGGGTGAGCCTCTGCTGCCTTGTCTTTTCCCAGGCCACACGCTGAGTGTCACGTGCAAACTGGGTTCTTTCCCCTGCAGGGCCTACCCTACCCGCTCTACCCAGAAACTGAGCTCTGGCTATCCCCGGACCCACGGCCTCATCACAGCCTCAGCTGGCAGGCAGCTGATCAGTCCCAGGTGGGGAGCTGAGCCCCCTGAGGCCAGGCACACTGTGACAGGAGCCCATCTCTGCCCCCTGGTTTAAATAAACAGAAAGTGAGCATTAGGGGTGGGGGGTGGGCAGTTACACTGTATTTTTAGTTCCCACTGCTAAGCACCCTGGGATGCAAAGGGATGACAGACGCACGGATGCCATTCTCGGGTGCATTTCAAAGGGCCTCAGTTCTTTCAGACAAGACAGTTACAAACGGAAACCAGTTTGCTTTGCCTAACCTAAAGGACAGCATCCCCTTAGGAAAGAGGAGGTGTGCTTAGGTATTCAGAAACCACGGGAAAACCCACCCTTCACTTGCAAGGCTTCAGATCCCAGCTCTCCATTCCAGTCCTGGATATTTGCCCCAGGCGGGTGGTGCCCAGGGGAATGGAAGCAGCGGGGAACGCTGGCTGACACAGTCACACGTGCCCGCTCCTTGCAGGCCCCACAGCTTCGCGGGCAGCACCCAGCTGCTGGCACGGAGGTTAGTGCCAGGGGTCCACCCCTCTGGAATATGTCGCCACTGGGGCGTGACTCCCTCCTCTTCAAGCCCATGACACTGGGTTGGCACGGCTCCCGCTGGGGGCACCTGGCTTCCGCTGTGCCGAGGCTGGGTTTGCTGGTGAATGTGGGCAGCCTCTGGGAGCGGGTGCCCGGCTGGGTTCTGGGTGTGAACGTGACGCTCTCGTTGTCAGTCAAGGCACCGGCTCGGCGTGGAGGTGCCGTCCTGGCTGTGACGGGAGGGGGTGCGGGACCCAGGGCGTTGTACACTCAGGTTGGCCAAGGGGGCAGAACTCTGGGTCTATATGAAATCTTTGCCCAGCGAGAAGCTGTGGCCCCAGTTTCGTGGTCTCAGCAGCTGGCTCAGCCTCCCCTGGGTGGGTGCCTGGCATTGCCAGTTCTCGAGGGGAACACAAAAGAGGATCAAACCATCCCCCCAGTGAACCCGCACTGCCTGCTCAGTGATGCCCCGGCCTGTGCCTCCCGCTAGCTCTGCGTGGGCTGCGCACAGTCTCTGGCCATGCCATGGATGTGATGGGTGTTTTCCAGACCTGGAGCTCCCACCTCCTATGGGAGCTAGCAGGGAACCGTCCTGGCTGCGCGTCTGCTCTTCCATGACACAAGGGAGAAAGAGACAGAGCAGGATCAGCCAGTGGCCCAAAGGGGACAAGGACAGGGGCCTGGCTCCATGTATCCTCCCATTCTCAGATTGCCGGGCCTTGACTCCCAGGACGCAGTTTCGTGTAACTCTTGGCCCCCGACATTAACCCTAGGGAACGCTTAAAGCCCTCCTGCTTTGCGTTAACGCCCTGCCCATTGGGGCCATGTCGGGGGCCCCCCTCACTTAGCCTACCCTAGCCCCATAGACAATCATACAGCAGCTCCTTGGACCAGTCAGTGGTCTGGTGAGAGCCAGCGATGTCCCCAGGTGAGGAAGGAGGCCCTGGACCAGAGCAGAAGCTGCGAGGGGAGCTCTCGTAGCTTTAAATCAACTGTTGCCTGACCCCTCTCTCTCTCCCGGGCTCTCACTCCCCAGTCTCAGCAGGTCCCGGTTTGGGAAATGTGGGGGTGGGGGGAAGGGGGTAACCTGTGCTGCCCTCTCTGCAGCCCCCAGGATGTACCACAGCTCATCAGTACAGGTGCACTTGCGCTCTCCCCACATACAGGCTTGCAGGGCTGTGCACAGCAAAGAGCGGGGCTAGGCCCAGCTGGTCACCATTTGCAACTCATTCAAAATCTCCCTTTTTTATTTGTCTTTTAATTCCGCCCTGAGCCTGCTCTGTCACCCTGCTCTGGAGGGATTCTCAGCGCCCTGGCATGTCTGTCAAACCAAATATTTCCAGCAGATGTTCCGAGGCTGGCTTCAGCTGCCCTTGTTTATCAGAGGAATCAAGGAGGGGGGGAAGCCCCCCCCTTTGCATCTTTATTATCTCCCCCGCCCCGGCCCCAAGGGTTCTATCCCGATGGCTCTGAACTAGCCGCAGGAATCTGGCCAGAGCAGCCTCCAGCACTCTCGGAGCCTGTGTATTCCACTCCCATGAAACGGCAAAGGGTTTAAACATTTAAGAGTGCTCTGGGGCGATTCGGCGCCGGCCCCACACCCAGCCGCGTCGGGCAGGGTGGCCTCGCCTGCCCCCGCCCCCTGTCCGGAGGGGAAGTCGGAATAAAACCAGAGCTCCTTCTGCCTGAGGATCTCAAAGCTCTTTAGAGACATAGGTTGAGATTTTCAAAGCAATCTAGGGGGGTTAGACACCCAGGTTTCATTGACATGAATGAAAGCTACATGGCCAGTCACCTGGACTGGTTTGAAAATGTCAAGCATGAAGGACTCGATCCTGTTGCTCTTTGTTCTATGGCTGCAGCAGTGGGCTCCATCAATCCAAGCCCCACAATGCCCCCTGGAGATAGGTGCTATTCTCCCCGCTATGTGAATGGGGAAACCGAGGCACAGAGAGTCAAAGAAGGGCCTGACATGCAGAAGTACTGGACTCTCGCAAGTTGGACTGATACCAGTGGGAACTGTGGGTGCACGACATCTCTGAAAATCAGGCTTTGAGTTCTGGGCTCTGACACTGACACCTGTGGCCCTGGGCAGGTCACTTAAGTGCTCTGTGCCTCAGTTTCCCCACTGGTGAAAGGGGGGTAATAATATGCCGTCCGTCCTAGGAGCCATGTGACCCTCCCTATGCCCCTTTCCGTTCCGTGCCTGGGCCCGGAACAGCAGCCCCTCAGACAGCTGAGGTCAGTGCGGCCTATGGGAGGAGAGGGGATCGGGGCCATTGCTGCGTGACCTGGCTTTCGGGGCTGAGCTCCAAGTGGACCTAGTCTCTCCGCTGCCTGCAGTGCCGTGGGTTGGGCAGTTGTACCCACTTGCCTAACCCCTGAGCAAGTCGGGCACAGGGGGTCGCATGGCCCTGCCAGCTGGGGAATCTGTGTCTTGGGCACTGGGCAGGACCTGCGGTTTCTGATGCTCCTTCCTCTGCTGCCCGAAGCTAGAGGAGACCGAGCGCCTCAGCATGGAGGGTAAGGGTGCTTCTCCTTGCCCCCCTCCGGGAGATGCTGCCCTCTCCTCCAAGCTACATGCCTGTCAGAGAGGGCCAGTGCTCCCTGCCAGGAAGGCTTGGCTCCAGATCCTTGGGCAGAGGCCGATGTGCCGGTGCCCTGGAGAAGCTTGGCTTCCGTGGCACCTCTGTGCCTGGTGCTCCCAGACCTCAGGCCCTGGGACGCTCTGAAAATCTGGCTCCTTTCTGCCGTTCCCACGTGACGCTCAGCGGCTCTCTGGCCAGAGGAGCCATGTGACAACACTCCCTGTGCTGTCTGATCCCCGGGCACCCTGCTCCCAGCTGTTTCCACCTAGGACGCCAGCTGCTTCTCATTACGTTAACTGCAACCAGCCAGCCCCAGTGTGTTTCCCAGACTCCGGTTTTTTAAAAATTATTTCTTTAACTGGGGAGAGGGTGTCTTGTGGGGTGGGGGGGGAAGGGGGCGTGCTGCCCTCGAATCCGCAGGAGCACATCTCCTCAGCTCACACTCTAACATGTTCAACAGATGGCGACTTGGCCGAGGCTCAGCTGTCTAAATAGAAAACCGGGGCTGGCAGCAAAAGTGCTTGGATAAAAATGAATTTCTGCTGCTTAATCGTTTCTGCTTTGGATGCTCTTCTGGGGGGGAAGCTCCATCAGAAGCTCAGTGGGTGGGGGAGTTTCTTTACTGACCCTTCCTACCTTGCCAACGCCCGCGCTGGACCGGCGAGCCACGCCTGGTGTCCGAGCTGCCGGTCCCACCCCGGCCCTGGCGCTACCCAGAGACAGGTGGGGCTCTCCCGGTCTGCTCTGCGGGGGGCTCTAGTCTGGGCGGCAGCAGGGCTGGGAACACCCCCCAACGCTCTGGCTAGTGGAACGTAAACGTGGCACGACGAATGGCCATGCTATTGGGGGAGCGGCCGCATCCTGCATAACCCACATTTGCTGGTACGCAGGAGGAGCCCTGGGCTTTTGTAATCTGTGTTTGTCTTATCCCCGGGGGTTGTCTGGTGCCCATCACCGTGACATCTGTGGGGCAGATCCAACACCCATTGAAATCCAACAGCGGCCTTTCCATCCCCTCCGCTGAGGTTGGATCTGGCCCCAAGTGCTTTCTCGTGGCTTAGAATCCTTCTCCGGGTCAGGGGATGGGTGAAGCCTATTCCCTAGCCCGGCTGTGTATGGGCCTGATTCTGTCACCCTTCGTTCCAGTTAGCAGCACCTTACTCGGTAACAGTGCAATCCGTGGAGCTGCTTACTGAGTAAGGTGCTACTCAGGGTGAGTAAGGCTAGCAGACCTGGCCCCAAAACGCTTAACAGAGGAGCTCAAACCGCCGCCACCCGCAGGAGCCCATGGGGTGGGAGCAAACTGCAGCACTGCCTGCTGGTTACGGAAACTCTTGGGACTTCCAAAGTCCGAGCAGCTCCCACCTGACGGATGACTAAGGAGGAGCTGAAGGCACGGAGACCTTAGCCCGGGTGCTTTGGTTGAATCCATTCAGCGGGGCTTCAGGCCATGTGCCAGCAAATGTCTGCTGCTGTTACCAGGGGAGGTTTTCCCAACATAGCAATTCCCATTCTAGATCAGTCCAATTATCCACCTACTCCAATGTCCTGTACCTGGCGGTGGCCACATGCTTCCGAGGAAGGTGCCACAAACCCTGCAGCTGGTAGTTATGGGGTAACCCCCACGTCTCCTGGCCAGAAGTGTAGGAGAGTCCTTGGGTCGAGTTCTAACATGGCCAAGGCTCACCGGTACGAGAGAGGGAACCTCATTATGCTGGCTCAAGGGAAGGGTGCGCTACACTCCTATGATCCCCAGCGCAACTGCTTTCCCCAGCAATGCTGGGGGGATTGTGAAGCGCTGCGGCACAGAGACCGGAGACCTGGGCACTGACCCACACGGGCGGTTTGGCCAAGGGCACTGAATTCCTGGCCGTGTGTTCAGACAGGGCAGATGGTATCCTTGCCAGCAGCGGCTAAGGAAGATCCAGCATTTCACGCTTCCTCCCACCCTGTCAGGCCAGCATCCTCTGCTGTTTATCTTGGCCCGTCCAGGTCTGCAAGGGATGCAGAGTAAGGAGCCCCCAGCAGGTTAATTCCCATGGGCGAGCCCTGCAAGGCAATGGAGCCCAGCCTCCATGGGACAGCTTGTCTGTGCAAAAGTGGGTGGCGGGGGGAGTGCTGGGGCTTCGTCCCTTCGGGCTGGCAGGGGCTTTACTCTGTCTCTGCCCCATTTGCAGGCCAACCTGCCCTTGCTGCAGCGCGAGCTGCTCCACTGCGCCCGCATGGCCAAGCAGACCCCAGCCCAGTACCTGGCCCAGCACGAACAGCTGCTGCTCGATGCCAACGCTTCTTCCCCCATCGACTCCTCTGAGCTGCTCCTGGAGGTCACCGAGACTGGCAAGAGGAGGACACCAGACAGGTAGGACCCAGAGGCTCTCGCTTGCTTTCCAGGAGTCCCACCCCAGCTCCTGGGGCTAGTGTCATGCTGTGAGCACGGGGCCCACAGCGAGTGGGAGCGACCCAGCAAGGAGGAGAGGATAAAGCCATTCCCAGATCCCCACCCCCAAAGGCACCATGTTAGGTGCAGGCAGGGCAGTCTCCTGGGTACTCTCTGCCAGCATTTCCCCTGCTGAAGCTCAAGGGCCCAGGGATACAGGTTGGTGAGACCCTGCTCCAGGGAGCCTGGCAGGCACATTGGGCCACTTGCAGCTAGACTCCAGGCACTGATCGCTGTGAATGGGGAATGTCACGTGGCAAGGAGCATTTCCCCTGCCGTGTGCAGCCCTCGGGGCACTTGGGATCTGGGGGTACGTCAGGGTTGAGCCCCCTGCACTAGAGGGCAGGTTCACTCCAATAGCAGGCAGCTGGAGTTCTCACCATCCACCTCCTTGGTGCTTCCCAGAAACGTGGTCAGCTTGCATCTCCACCCAGGCCCTGGGAGAGCTCTCTGGGCAGGAATCAGCACCTCCAGCCGTCCTGGCCACACACCTCTTTGTGAGCAGTGCCACCCACTTTGCAGGCTAAGCTGGTCCCTAACAGTGTGTCTGCGCTGCATTGTTAACCTGGGTCTATGGAACCCGGGCCTGGGGGTCTCTGGGTTTCTAAGCCAGGGCTTGAGCATCCGCACTGCATGGAAAACTGGGGCTTAAAGGTGCTGGACCCGCGTCTCGCAGCCATGTTAGCACATCTACACTGCGCTGCACAGCCCTTCTGACTCGGATCCGTGGCTTGAGCTGTGTCCACACGGCACAGCGATGGGGCTTGGCCCCGAGTCATAACGGGACTAGGGATGTGACCCTCCCCGCAGCAGGGTCTGAGGCCCCCGGTCCTGAGTGCTTGTGACCTGAGTCAGATTGATTGGTGTGTGGACAGAAGAAGGACTTGGGCTCAAACCTGAGTCAGAGCCTGGGTTAGTGTGCGTTCTACCTCCCTGGCCATGTGCCCTGTCACCCAGCAGACTGCCTCCGCAGGGGGCCAGTGCATGAGCAAGCAGGAGCCAGAGATGAATCTGGCCCACAGCTGTCTAATTCAGACTGTGAGTTCAGCACTCCCCCGACTCGGAAGAATCACTCGCTGCACCCAGGACTCAATGACACGGGCTCCAGGTTGGACTGGATACGTTGGCAGCTTGTTGCATTTCTAGAGTCACTTGCCCTCAGGTTCTGTAAATCAGGATCACCCCCCCCCCCCCGCATTTGACAGAGTGGGAAACTGAGGCACAGAAGGGCAGTGACTTGTCCAAGGCCCCTGAGGGAGTCAGTGTCAGTGTCAGAGTTGGGCTCAGTGGCCAGAGCACTGGGCTGGGGCTCAAAAGACTTTACAAAGGAGGTGAGGGTCAGGAAGCCCTTTCCCAGTGTTGTAACCAGGTCACCCTTTTCTCCTCCACGGAGCAGGACCAAAGAGAACGGCTTGGACCGAGACCCTCTGCACTCCGAACACCTCAGCAAACGGCCGTGCACCATGAGCCCCGCTCAGCGCTACAGCCCCAGCAACGGGCTGCCCCACCCCACCCCACCCCCACCCCCGCCACAGCACTACCGTCTGGAGGACATGGCCATGGCACACCACTACCGGGACACCTACCGGCACCCTGACCCCAGGGAGCTCCGGGAGCGCCACCGGCAAGTGGGTGAGTGGGAAGCGGCGTGGGCTGGGGGCCCCCACTGCTGTGGGGAGCATTCGGGGGCACTGAGCTCCCTGAGAGATTTCCTATCACGGGCAGAGATGTCCCGGAGAGCATCCTTTCCCCTCCACTGCTGAAGGGCCAGACTGCTCTGTGCAGGTGGTGCTCTGCAGGCAGGTGAGGCTGTGCCGGGGGGACGGACACTACAGACTGCATGCCCAAGGGGAGGTGCCTGGGAATTCACCGGGGGGCGGGCTGCCTCCCTGGAGCGTGTGCAGTCCGGCAGGGACTGGCCACCACAAAGCACTGGGCCAAGGGAGGGAGCCTTCATGGCTCTGGGTGGCGTGAGAGCATAACGAAGGGATGGACAAGGTGAGCCGGGGGGAGGCTGGCAGTCGGGGGGCAGGGACAGAGACAGAGGGCCCAACCCAGTGCAGGCAGTGGACTTGCACTGGGTGATGGATTCAGCCCCCGCTCTGCGGAGAGAAGCGAGCTCTGTTGGGTTGGGTGCTGTCAGGACACCGTGGAGAGGAGTCCAGGGGCCCAGGGACTCTGGGGCATTGCGGTACTTGCCCCTGGGTAATTAGAGAAAGCAGAGCAGAGGATGGCTCTCCTGGAGGAAGGTCAGCACTCCGGATCCTGAGCATGCTACTCAGAAATCGCTGGGATCACAGCGGTACCGAACCAAGGCGGGGAGGCATCTTTCAGGAGGAGCAGCTGAGTGCGTATTTACACAGCATTGTAAACCCAGGTCTGGGGGACTCAGGCTTGAGGGCCTGCATTTGAGCATCCACACTGCTTTGTACCCGAGGTTTCCATACTGCACGGCACAGCTCTTCTGACTCAGGTCTCTGGCTTGCCCTGCAGCCACACTGCACAGTGCCCGGGCTTCGACCCCAGTCACAGTGGGACTCGCGCTCTGACCTAGCAGGGTCCTAGGACCCAGGTCCTGAGTGCTTGTGACCTGAGCCAGACTGATAGGTGTGTGGACAGAAACGGAGCCTGGTCAGAGTCCAGGTTAGTGGGCAGTGTAGACGCAGCCTGAGTTATACAAATCACTCGGCAACTTCTGATGCGAGAAGCATTTCAGTCCCTGACTCCCTGGGAGAATCCGTCTGACGTTCTGGGGCTGTCGGGGGTCCTAGGCAGGCTGCAGTGATGCTCAGGCAGGCTGAGTTCTCGGTGGTCCTGCACAATGCCCCCTTCCCGCCTCTGAGAAGATAGTTGTTGGAAAGGTGACCAGGGGAGCGGGATGGGCACCTGTTGTGGCAGGGTCTCCTGCCGGGAAGGGCCTGGTGAAGAGGGTCGTACATGAGTGATTGGCAAGAGATTGGCAGCAGTGCAGATGTGTAGGTGCTAACCCGTGGCTGCGGGGAGGGTGACCCGTTCCTGGCACACGGGCAGCTCTGGCGGCAGCCCACAGCCCAATTCCCCTACTAGCAAAGGGCAGGCAAAACTTTTCCCTGTAAGCTAGCCCCAAGGACTGTTCCCCCTCTCCCGGCTGTTCAGCCAGTGCTCTGCGTTACAGAGCAGGCCCCAGTGGGGGCTGTATGGACGGTATAGAGACTGCACTGATTTTGGCATTCAAACGTCTTCTCTCTCTCTCTCTCTTTCCCTGACGGCCTCTCCTGACTTGGGGCGTGACTCCACTGCCGCCCCGTGTCGAGCTCCCAGAGCCCCGACTTTGAGTGGGTGCAGGCCAAGGCAGAGCAGCGTGCTCCAGCACCGGGCCCTGCGCGGCACCTCCCGGCACGCTGCGTAGGCCAGGTGCACCCCAGCACCTGGGCCAACGCCCGGCCCGCCAGCACTGCTCTCAGGCCACGGGAAGGAAGCTCACTGGGCCAGGGACCATCTCTTTGCTCCGCACAGTACCCAGCACAAGGGGCCCTAATCCCAGAAGCATGGCCCCGAGGTGCTGTCCTAAAACAGATAACAAAACATAGCCGTAACTGGAGCCCCTGGGGTGCCCAGAGCTCTGGGCCAGGGTGACTGGCTCTCACTGACCCGCGTGTTCTCTTCCAGCCGTGCACGGCTCCCGTCAGGAGGAAGTGATCGACCACAGACTAACAGACAGGGAGTGGGCTGAGGAGTGGAAACACCTCAACAACGTACGTACCAACCCCTCTTGCCGCTGTCTGCTACCAGGGCAGCCCTGCCAGGCGCTGGGGTGGCTGTGGCATTTGTGGTCACTGCAGGGCGGGGTGGGGAGGGGAGGGCATGGATTAGTTGCTCTCGAGAACATGAGCTCTGGCCCCTCCACAGAGGGGCTCCTCAGTTAACTTATCCGGACTTCTCTGTTTCACGTCCCACGCTGCTCACCATCTTCTCTGACTTTCAGTGTAGGGCCTGCTCCTGTAGCCTGGCTCCGGGGAAATCCCTCCTGAAACGGATGGCTTTTCCTGAGCCAGGACTGCAGGGTTCTCCCTGCGGAAACTGAACCCTGTCCCCAAGCTGGGGGACCCCGCCCCTCCTTGGAGCCCTGGGGTCTCTGTCTGCTAGAATTTGAGTCAGGACCCCGTTTTGTGTGCCCTGGCTTACGGTTCCCCATTCTGAGCCCTGTCAGGCTGCCCTGGCCTAGGGGAAACTCCTGGGTGTGGGGATGGGATGTGAACCAGCCATTGCAAAGCTGGCGCCTTCTCAGGGTGTGGCTGGGTGTAACTCCATTGATGCGGGCCTTGTCTAGACACACTCCCCCCAGGACAAATCGGGGCGGACTCAAACCTGCTGTAGACACACTCCCCCGGTGCAAACTGGGGCTTGCATCACATACCAGGGTGAGAAGCACCAGGGCAAGCCCATCTTACCCTGAGACACCCCATGGACATGCAGCTGCCCCCCAGCACGCACCCTGTGCCCGGGCCTTATCTGCGCTCTCCCTCCTGCTCTCTGGCAGCTGCTGAACTGCATCATGGACATGGTGGAGAAGACGCGGCGCTCCCTCACCGTGCTGCGCCGCTGCCAGGAGGCCGACCGCGAGGAGCTCAACCACTGGATCCGCCGCTACAGCGACGCGGAAGACATGAAGAAAGGCACCAACCCCCCACCCCGCCCCCACAACAGCTCCTCCAACTCCGAGGCCCCCCCGTTAGGTACTGACGAGCCCCGCGGAGCGGCTTTCCCGGCAAAGAGCTAATGGCGCCCCGGGCCTGATTCTCCCCTGCCCTGCGCTTGTGTCAGCATTTACACCGATGCCAACTCGGCTCCGGTGTGAGTGGGTTGCACCTGACGCGCCCTTGGCCCAGGTACCACGGCGCCGGGTGCCCGGCAGGGGAGAGCCCGGCCCAGGGCGCCAGCAGCTCCTACAGCCGCGCCGTGTGTATCTTGGGGCAAGAGCAGGCAGGGATGGTTTCCACTGGGTCGCTACCTTGGCGCTGTCGGTCTCCGCACGGACCGCACTGTAGCGCAGCTCTCCGGGGCTTTGCTGCTTTGCACGCTTCATTTCTTCCAACCTGTTCCTCTCTCCCCTTGTTTTCAGACACTCACCGGGAGTTTGTGCCCAGGCCCCTCTCTGGTTACATGCCCGAGGAAATCTGGAGGAAAGCTGGTGAGTGTGCCACCGCGGGATCCCCTGTCCGCAGCCCAGCAAGGCACCGGCCGGCGTGAGGCGGTGCCGGGGGGCCTGGCTGAGCCTGAGGACTCTGCTGTCGCTGGGCCAAACGCACCCCTGGGTCTACTGCCTGGACCTCGGTGGAGTTCCCCTGCTGTGTTTCGGGGGCTGAGATCGGGGGAAGGAGCCCTGTTCATTAGGACACCCTGGGGTCTAGCAAGCATTACACGTAAACGTCATCCCTATGCCTCCTTCCTTTCCCCCGAACCAGCGGCTGGGGTGGTAAGTGACCCTGGGGCCTGATCCAAAGCCCATTGGAGTCAATGGGAGTCTTTCCACTGGCTCCCCCGGGCCTTGGATGAGTCCCATAGGGACTTTCACACTCAGACCGAACTCCTCAGGAGCTTACGGATGGGATCGCGCCCACTGTAGGCCAGTTTTCTCGCCCCGTCTCTCTGGGGCACCTTTACGTGTAGAGCACTCCAGGGGCTGGAAGGCAGGGACGAGGGGTAACAAGCTCCCATAGTTTCTGATGGTGCTGGACCCAGAGGCCACTCCTCCCCCTGGTTCCCTGAAGTTTAGTTTGTCCCTTTGGATCACCCCTCACTGGGAGAGCAGGAGGGGATCTGAACGCTATGGAGGGGTTCTCTGCCAAAACCGAGCCTGGATGCTTGGGATTTCCTGCCGTGGAATCCACACCCAGCTCATGTCCCTCTGCTGGAGCCAGGGACCCAAACTGCTCTCTTTGGGCAGCCCAGGCTTTCAGAAAAGCTTGTGCTTGGCTGTTGGGCACGATGGGACATGGCTCAGTGGGCCGTCGGTTCCATCCTCCCGGCTCCGCCTGGCACCAGCGCTGGGCGAATCTGTAAAAGACAGGACGTGGAGAACATGGTCAAGGCTTTCTCCCCTTGTTCCCTCCGTGTTTTAAGACACCCCTGCCCTCCCAGAAGCTTCATTCTGAAACCCTCACTGTGCGTGCTTTTCCTCCATAGGGTGCACTGTGCTTGACAGATGGTTGTGTGGATAACAAGACCCTCCGCAGTTAGAAGGGGTGCATCAGGGTAGAAACCAACCCCTAGCTACCAGGGTCAGGAGGAAACTTCCCCCTATGGGCTGCTTCTGCCACAGCTGTCCACGCTGGTGGGGTTCTTGCACCTTCCTCCGAAGCATCTGGTGCTACCCACTGCTGGAGACAGGATGCTGGGCTGGCTGGGCCATGGGTCTGAGCCAGTCTGGCACTTCCCCGGTTCTTCAACCTGAGAGCTAGGCACACATTTGCATGAGCATTTATGCATTCAAACAGTGTGTGTGCATGGGTGTGTTCATATGTCTGTGCACATGTGTGCACATGCGTGTGCGCGTGTTCATGTGTGTATGCACACGTGCAAAGAGCCGGTCTGTGCTGCCAGCTGTGGCAGGGTGAGCACGGGCGTGTTACAGAAAGTCAGGCCACCCAATCTTGACAGCAAAACCCTAGGGAGCAGCTGCCCAGACTTGCCCTCTGGTCTCCTGCTGCGTGGCTTGCCCCTGCGGGCCGTCGGCTCGGTGGCTGCACTACATGATCTGTGCTCTTCCTTTCAGAAGAAGCTGTGAACGAGGTGAAGCGCCAGGCCATGTCCGAGCTCCAGAAGGCAGTGTCGGATGCGGAGCGCAAAGCCCATGAGCTGATCACTACCGAGCGAGCCAAGATGGAGAGGGCCCTGGCGGAGGCCAAGCGCCAGGCTTCCGAGGACGCGCTGACTGTGATCAATCAGCAGGAGGACTCGAGTGAGGTAGAGGCGAGCTCGCCCCGCTGCGCCGTGCTCGCTAGGGTAGTAAGAGTTTAACCCTTTGCCTGTTGACACCGCGTGCGCCCCCAGCGTGCGAGCCGGGGCTGGAAGCTTGCTGTGAGGGGGCCGCCCCGTTACAACCCCTGAGTTCAAGCATTTCGAGCTCAGGTGCCTGGTTTTAAACCAGATTAGCAGGCAATTCACCCTGCACTGTGGGGGCTTCCCAGCTCCCAGGCCGTGCTCGGCCCATCCTTCCCCCAGGTACTGAGGGTTTAGAAAGATCCAATACTGTGAAATCTAACTAGCGCGACCAGCCCAGAGTCTGCCTGAAAGTGGCCAGGGAAATGGTACTCTTTGGGGGCCTGAACCTAAGACCTAAGACCGAGGTCTCTTGTGTTCAGTGGGTGCTCGGGATCCTTTGGACGGTTCCATCCCACAGGGGGTGTCTAGCGGGGCTGGGTCTCTCTTCCAGGCTGCACCGCCCCGACGCTGATGTCTCTGCTTTCGCCCTCTCGTACAGAGCTGCTGGAACTGCGGGCGCAAGGCCAGCGAGACCTGCAGTGGGTGCAACACGGCCCGCTACTGCGGCTCCTTCTGCCAGCACAAGGATTGGGAGAAGCACCACCACGTCTGTGGGCAGACTCTGCAGGGCCTCCAGACCTCTGCCGGTGCAGCCCCTTCCTCCGGGGTGGGCTTAGGGGTGGGCTCAGCTCAACCGGACGTGGGGGCTGTCAGCACCTCCATCACCAGCGTGGCCACCATGGCCGCCAGCCCCAGCGAAACCGGCTCGGCTGCTGCGTCGCGCTCCGGCACGCCGGCCACCCCAGCTCCTCTGGAAACGGCGTCACGCTAACCGACCCCCCGGCCGGCCAACAGAGGGGAAAGAAACAGAGAAACCTACAGAACGTCACTGCTGCTACTGCTTCTCTCCAAAAGAAAAACTAACTGCATTCAATGCAACTTCCTCAGCTACCTGACTCTTCTGTGACCTCCAAATGACCTCTCGATCTCTCACATGTAATCCTCACGGATCCTCAAACTGGGCTTTAAGTGGAGTTAAGGCAAATACCAATCTTCTCTGTTCTCGCTTCGGTTTTCTATGATTTGGGGAGTTATGATCGTCGTCGTCGGTTTGTTTGTTTTCTTCTTTTCGGACGAGGAATTTGTCCGCAAACTCTACGCACCTTGACTCGGGGAAAGGAAACCCACCAGTCTCTATCCCCCTGGAGATGTGCGCGTGTGTGTGAAATCTCCCTCCCAGTGCGGCCGGGGGACGGCATGATGAAGGATTTCGATTTTAGAAGGCAAGAAACTTCTTCTCTTCTTTTTCGTTTTTCTTTTTTTTTTTGTAAAAAAAATAAAATAAAATAAAAAATAAAAACGTCAAACTCTTTGGCTTTAAGTAAAAAAAAAAATCCAAAAAACAAACAAAACAAAGTAAAACCAAGTAAAGGAAGCTTACCTGTAAACTACCTTGCTAGCTAGCCAAGAACATACCAGACTCACCTCTGCTCCAAAGGAAATCCAAAAACAAACAAACAAAAAAATCCAAACTTTTTTTCCACTGCCAAAGTTTTTTTGGTTCTGTTGTTGGTTATTTTTACTTTTTCGGTTGATGGTTTTGGTTTGTTTTTTGTGAAACAAGGAGCAGCACTTATCCCTTTCAACCAAACCACGACGACTGGCCAAAGGCAAGCCGGCGCTCTTGGACTCCTTGCGTTCTTTGGTGGGGTGGAGTGGGTTCTTGTGCTGGACTCTCAGCATCCACGCATACCTTGAAGGAGGAAGGACGCGCATCTGTGGATTTAAGGAATTTTATTAAAATAAAGCAAAAAAAAAAAGATACACAACTTTTGTGCGTGTGTGTGTGTGTGTGTGATGGGGAGTCAACGTTGTGTGCTCCCTCCCTCTGTGGATTATAAACGTGTTTCATTTGCCTAGGAGAGCGTGCTAATGAACAAGAACCTTCAGATCCTGGTCCTGTTCCAGAGAGAGCATCATTTCAAACAGAACTGTGACAATCTGTCGTTGATTCTCCACTGCTCGTCAGAGTGTGAGCAGAAAGCAATTGCACCAGTACCTTCTGCTTCTTGTACTCCTCCACTACCTCTCTCTGCTCTCCATAACCCCACCTCTCTAGCTCCAGTATCTTGTGACTGCCTTTCAACCTTTCGCAGGAAAAAAAAAGACACCTTTTGTTTTTCCCCTTCTAAAGACTCTTTCGATTGCCTGTAGATAGACCCCCTTGCTTTGTGTCTACTTGTTCTCCAGATGTTTTCTCCAGTCCTGTGATGAACATTGTCATTGGGTCATTTTATTTCGTTTTCTCTTTTTCTTTTCCCACCCCGCACCCCCTCATATGATTTTGCAACAGTTACTAGTAGGAAAGAAAGGAAACAAACAAACACTTGTTCTTAGAGAAGGAAAAAAAGACAATGTAGATTATTTTGCATTTCTTGCATCGTGTATAACGCACAGAGGACGGGAGTGCAATATGGAAAGTGACACGACTGCAGAAAGGGAGAAAGCTAGAGACTGCCCAGCCATGGTCAGGGCAAATATTGTATGTTAATGTGAATGTATATAGTATTGGAAGAGGTCCAAAAAATAATAATAATGATAATAATAAAAGAAGAGACGTTTGCCAAATAAAAAAATTAAGATAAACCACTGAAGTATGTAAAGTTTAGGAAATAGGTTTTAAAAAAAACGCAAAATCCACATGCTCGTTAGGAGCATTCGTTTTCCGGAGTTGCAAAATCCATCACGTGTGTTTTTTAAAAAGTAGGGATTTCAAATAAAAAGTTCCCAGTCAGTAGTCATTGCAAAGGGAGGTTTGGCTGAGGGCGATTGACTCAGAACCCTAAGGTGGCTATGTTTGGATGTTTTCCTCTCCCTCACGACGCACCCCTGAACCTCTCCCTTGTTTCTACTGTTTTCAGAAGCACTGTGTGATTCTTTAGAACATCGATTCGGGTTTTGGAACAACAAGGAGTCCTTTGTTTAGCACAATGGATACATGCAGGGCTAGGCGGCATTGTTCAGTCCCACTGCGGTTGGGTCTGCTTTGCCCTTTCTTTTCTAGTTGTGAGCCCTGGATCCGTTAGCTGCATCGCATCCAATGTGTGTCCTCCCTGTTCATTTAGCACCCCACTCAAGCTCCCTCCTGGTTGCTCTGAAGTTGTAAAGACCATGTTGTGTCTCTCCTCAGATGTGCGGCGTGTTCCCATGGAGCAGGTTTGGGCTCGTGGCTGTTTCTCTCAGTGGATGTGGCTCTGACGCCGTTTGGTCATGTCGTCTTGGCTCTGGGACGGGTTGTCCTGGAGAAGAGTGTGGAGGGCTGTGTTTGACGTGTACTTTCACTGCCTCTGAGGGATGGCTGTAGACGGTGCCGCGTGGTTCTCTGCAGCTGGTGCCGGCTTGTCCTATGATTCTATGATTTCAAAGCAAGACAGACCCAGGCAGGAAGTGGGGATTGAGGAAAGTTGTTAGTGCAATGCTGCAGTCCATGCACCCTGCTGTCCCCTCCCTCGTCTCAGCTCTCTGCCACAATCGGGGTATCAAATCTTAAGAACCAGGCGTGGATCCCATCCTATTGAAGCCAGCCAGAGTTTTGCAATTGGCTTTGAGCAGGATGAAGTCACAGTTCTTACATCCAAAGTTTTCAGGCTTTGAACACCTGCCAGTTCTGAACTCAGCGAACCCAGCAGCATTTCAACCCGTCCAGTAGCCAACAAGTGCCAGAAGCACCCCCATTCTGTAGCCTTCCTCTCCCCCGCCAGGCCTATACGGTAACGTGTCCTGACAAGACAATATGGACACTGTTGGAATGCTGTTGGAAGCAGGGACTGGGGTGGAAGGGCAGTTAAAAATGCACTAGACTTTTTGCTTTAGCTCTCTGTCCTGGCCTGCAATGCAGCTCTTACATCCCTGGGGAATTGTGGAAGACTTTCCTTACCTTCCCCCAACCCCAGGCAAGTGGTCTTTCTAAAGCAGGCCTGAATTCCTGGCTAGTAAGAATCTTCTCCTGGAAAATAGCAACCCATGAGCCGCCCAGCCCCAAGAGACAGTTCCTCCAAACTCCCAATTGCAGCTCTCCAGAGGAAGGTCACACCCTCGGTGAGGGATGGGAGGAGAGACACAGTACAAGGGACAAAGCAGCCTGTAAATATATGTGAGTGTAGAACTTCCTCCCCTGGAACTGATTTGCTGTTTGATGCAGGCCAGTCCCAGCAGCAATACCAGTGAACCGATCTCTCTGCATTACAGAGGGTCTCCCTAGGAAAGACCTGTACTGAGTCTTGAAGCCCAAGATGAAGCTATGCAGAGATCAGTCCCTCTGCAGGAGCCATGTGCTGCAAAGCAGTCGGTGGCTGCCCTCATTAGCTGGGCTGGAGCTATTGCTGGGGGTTTGTTTACCAACCATTTGATGGTAGCTTGCAGTGAATCCGGCCAAAGACCTTTTAATGGGCCAAACCTGAGAATTCGTAGCTTCTGTTTGTTTCCTTCCGCAGCCTCATTCATCCAGCGTTAGGTTCTGACTCTGGTTTTCTGACATGCAACACTCACCCTAAGAACAATTGTTGTGTTTATTTATCAAGTGATATATGTATATTGTCTATTTTTCTTATATTTCATGAAAAGAGGTAATATATAAGAGTTTTCAGATGTAATTACCTGCAGGGTTCGTCCTGCCATTCTTAGTGTTTGTTATTTTTCTAAACCTCCTCTTGTGCTTGAATTTTGGCCGCCTCTCTGTCCCATCCGTCTCACATCTGCTCAGCATCTGGACCCTGCCTCTCTACCTCCAACTTGCTTAAAAACCACAGACGACAATTGTATAGAACGGAAATAACCCCATTGTAAAAGAACTCAGTAAGCTTGCCTTCAAACCAAAAGCTCTAGGAGGGGAGAGGTGATCGTGAGGGGAGCCTCTTGCAGAAGTCCAAACCAGAAAGCTTTAAAATAGAGTATTTCAGTGGCCAAAAAACCAATGGGAGCATGCAGCTTCCCAGGCGGTAACTCTCGTGGGCAAGAGGGTGGCACAAAGAAAACAGCTCGCTGACTCCCCTGGGTAGGGCTCGAGGATGCATGCGGTTCCAGGCTCTTTCATTGTGAGATGCTCTTGCTAAACCTCCTCAGTCAGAGCTTTCTTATGTGTGGGTTTTGCAGGGTCACCTCATCCTCCTGTGTCCTGCTAATCCCTGATTCTCTCCTCTGCCTCCCATTGCCTGGGAATATTATTCCCAGTGGAATATACAACAGCTGGGAGAATTAACAGCAACCTCAGCCACGGCCATGTCAGCAGGTTTTAAATCACTGGGGCAAAGCAGCATGGTTAGATTGTGTAGTGTGTGTGCAGTGGGCCAGATTCTGCTCTCAGGGACTTACCTGCAAGTGCTTTGTCTCCATGGAGTTTGCAGGGATGTCACTACGAGCAGAATTTGTCCCACTCCACGGCATATCCACCCTGCCTCATGGCAGGGATCCTAGTGTTACAGTGCGGCCCAGATTGTGTAGGAAAAGGAACTTAACCTAGGCCAAAAATCCAGGGAATGCTGACACTCCTGGGCCCAGGAGCTGTCTCCATGCATATTACTGGGGGGATGGGTGGAGGGGAAATTGGGATATTTTTCTCTCCTGGATAGTGGCTCTTTGGGCATCTTTTTGTGAAGTCCCTGGAGATGATCAGAAAAGGAAGGGCCAATGTTTCGCCCCTCCCGGAGCCCGTGCCAGGAGATATTTAACTGGGGTGACCCTCCCCCCATGGCAGCTCTGCCTGGGGGCAGCAGCAGGAGTGTGAGGGGTAGGGCGCCTGCCGCTTTCCTTCCAGCAGCCATGGAGCAGTGAGGAGAGAAACGGGATGCGCCCAACCCCAGGCAGGGGTGATGGATGGTTCTGTGGCTAAAGAGGGGGTGGGGTCAGAACAACGCCGGGCAGCTCAGCACAAAGGCATCTGGGATCCGGGACAGCCCAAAAGGTGCCATCTCGGGTGGCACCTTGTGTCCTCCAATCCCATTGACATCATTGGGCATGTGGCTCTCTGCAGGATTGGCTCATCATTTGCAATAAATGTGTGTCTCGGCACGGCATGGCAGTGCATTCGTTCAGGTCACCTTCCTGCTTCCATGGGGCAGAGGGAAGCGGGCGTGTTTTGCAGGTCACTCCTGAGGATGCCAGGTTCTTTTTTGGTGCTGGAGCCCCAGCCCTGTGTTGCACATAGGATCAGAGAGTTTAGAGCATGTGCCGAGGGGCCGAGCAGTTTATTGACACAGGGACGGCAAGATGGGGATTTTGTTTGGCTTTAAGCGTGACTCACTGCGGACCCATTTCCATGGAGGGCTCTTTAACTTGGCCCCATCCCTCAAGTTTCCAAATTGAAATCCAAGCTGAAACCAAAGCATCTCCCACCTGCCCTGCTCCAGCTGGGCAGAGCCGCACCCCAGGGACCTCATGCCAGCGCGGCTCCAGCATGCGAGTGCTGGACACAGCCATTGGATTGGCTGGCCAGGGTTCATTGGTGATCCTAGACGTTAGAGCTGGAAGAACTCCCTTAGGATCTGTTCAGATCATGCCGGGGTCCGGACAAGACTCTTCCACATGGTGCATTTACTGGGGCTTTGCTTAGTCCTGTTTTAAATAACCAAGTGAGGGGGTTTTGTTCCCTGGTCTGCCACGTCTCACTGCCAGGTTTTCCGGATAGTCTGTATTCTCCCTTTCTTAATAGCGTCCCATTGCTGCTCGTTACACTCTCTTCTCGCAGCCGCCGTGATCTCTCTCTTGGTGCTTTACCCCCTATCAAATAGATGTGGAGTAGGACTCGAATCGTATCCCTCCATCCTTCCTCATTGCTCAGCTCTTCTCATCTCTCCTCCTCCATCAACCCTGCCAGCCCCCTACCAATCCCTCTTGCTTGTCTCTGATGCCCCGGCAGCAAGGTCCTTCCCAGGCACAATCTTCCAGGCGGGAGTCAGGCTGCGCTAGCTCCCGCCTCCCGGGACAGGGGAGCGTGGGACGGGCACGGCTGGGTGAACAGCGAAGCAGCAAGTGTGCGTCTCCCTGGGGAGGCAGGTGTTGGGAGCACTTCTCATGGTGCACCTGCGATCTGCACCAACAGTTCTTAAATGCCAATTGGTTGGGTCTAATGGCTTGGATACCCCCCAGCCCACACCTAGGCTACTTCGAGTCAGTTCCAGCAAAGGAGAGTCAGTCTCCTTGAGACTGCCAGAAACACCCTTCCAGTCACACGCTTACCAGCAAACACAGGCAGAAATTACATGGGTGCGATCAATTCTGTAGGAGCAAACCAGAGCCAGTGCTGCTGGGGCAGCTGTCTTGCTCCTGGCCATTTCCCCATTTGAACTCACCATACACTCCTTGTACGTGTACACAGACACACACACACACATTGTACTCCGGTCTTCTCTTCCTCTTTCTTACGATCCTCTTTTTTCTTTATGGACATCCCCACCCAATTTTGTGGCCTTTGTGCTTAGGGTGGGGTGCTTGCCTGAGGTGGGTGGGTATTTCAGCCGGGCTCAGTTTAATTCATGTGTACGCTAGTTACAGAAATGAATGGGAGGAGAAGGAGTTTCCTGGGCTGCAATCCCTGCCACCTGGTAGGAGCGACCCTTCTTCCCATCTCTGTGCTCTGGTGGTTTTATGTAAGGCAAACCTGGGGGAGCCGGAGGGTGTTTTTGTTTCTTGTAACAAGCCCATCTCTTGGCTTGTCAATTGCTTTGGAGAACAGCAGCAGGACACCCCTGCTTGGGGTGTCAAAAAAACAGACGTAAACACAGCCCAGGGAAAATAAATACAGAGCAAACCCAGGTTCTCAGACTTTCTGCTAAGCCTCTTCAGAGCGGCAGATTCTGGGATCCCGTCCAGATCTGGCGTCTGAGCCTCTGAAAGGCGGCTCTGCAGCAGCCATCCAGGAGAATTTGCTCTGATTCCTTACCAAAAACAAACAAACAAAAAACCCACCAGGTGCTCCCAGAATTTCCCCCTTCCTTGCACATTCCCTTGTCCCTGGCCCTGGTGTGACCCAGCCAGCCAACCACCTGCAATTCAGGAGAGCCCAAGCTGCTCAGCCCAGCTTGCGTGTAACTTTGCTGAGCCCCACGAATGGATGTGACCCACCCTCAGTTCTGCTCCTGCTCCCCCACCTCTGAAGTGACTCTGCCGAAAGTCTCGAAAGCCGCTGACACGCCCTGTCAGAAACCAATAACCTGCTCCTGCCAGGCCCGTGTGAGGGGGCGGGGAGGCGATTGACTCGTAAAACTGTGCAATACTTGAATTAAAGGGGGGTGGGGGAGGCATTGCTTGTATAGACTGATGGGCGTGCGTGGAAAAAGAGTTTAAAGAGGGGAAAAAACAGAAATCACGCACACCCCCCTCCCACCCCGTTCCCTGCTGTTTGTGGGTTTCCGTGGCCATTCCAGAGACATGACATGATAGGAGGTTTTTTGGCATGCTGCCCCCTCCCCGCGCGGTTCCCTGCTTTCTCTAAGTGTACTGTATGTTTGACCTGTGAAAGATGTAAACATTATGATTCAGGTTATGTCTGTTCTTAACTCTGTATCCGTGGAATAAAGACAATTTAATATCACCCAGGGGTATCCGCTGCTGTGGTTTGTGTTCTGTTCTGCCCCGGCCCTCCTCCCCCAGCGATGTGCCAAACCAGGAGGCCGAGGGGGGGAGCTGGGTTCTATCAGTGTATCTTGGCTGTACCCAGCATGAAGGCCACAATTTTCAAGTGACCAATGATTCTGGTGCCCAATGTGAGATCCTTTTTAGAGGCCTGGTTTTCAAGCAGTGATGATCCCCCACCCACTGGTAATCAAGACCCTTTAAGATGTTTCAAGATGGGTACCCAAAATCACTCGTTGCTTTTGAAAACCTTGATTCAGAATGGCTCGGCCACTTCCCCTGTTCATAGCGGTGAGGACTGTATCCTGATCAGTGGGACCGGGGTCGGAGGGCCAACGTTCCCTGGAGGGACTCTCTGGTTTTGAGAGGACACCAGCAGAACAGGGGAAGCAATTCAGCCGCATGGGCAGAGCAGTGCACAGGGTTTAATAAAGTTCCACCCTTTTAACTTAACCGGCATTCAGCTTTGCTCTTTGCAGATGAAACAAGGCTGGGGCAAGGCCCGTGGCACCAGAGCTGGGCTGAGGACGAGCTCTTGTAGGTGTCCAGGATTGGGTCAGGCAGGGCTCCGGTTATGTGCACTGGAGTCTGGCTCCAGACCCGCCAGCTCTGACCTCTCCCAAGTCATCCAGCATTTGAAACAGTGACCCATGCACAAGACTTTGGTCACGCCCAAACCAGGCATAGAGGAGACCCTTTCCAGGCCCAGCAACCAAACCACGGGGGCAGCTCCTGGCCTCGATGTGTGAACCCCCCCACTGAAATCCCAAAGGGGTCTGGATTTGCGCCATCCCTAGCTAACAATGGGCATATTGCAATGCAGCCCCTACCCCCGCCAAGCGTGCATTCCCACGCTTTGCACATATGGGACAAACTCCCATGTAAGCCCCATCCTCAAACTGTGCCCCCTGGGGCACCTGCTGGTGGGTCCCCAGAGAGCCCAACAGTCAGATGTTGCTGGCACCACCTCTGGATCTCCTTGTTGTCAGCTGCTGCAGCAGATAAAAACATCTGGAAACAAGGAGCAGGGGGCCGCTGCTCCAGGCGGGGGAGGAAAGGAAACAAGAGCCACCAGCTGGAGGGCTGGCACCGGCAAACGGAGGAGGAGTGCAGCTGGGGAAGGGGAATGGGAGCAGGAAGTGGGCCCATTTCAGGGGAGAGGGATTCACCCCTAGACAGGCCAGGCCAGGCCAGGCCGTGTTGGTTCTCCTGAGAAAGGGCTGAGCCGATGGTGAGGGCGGTAGGGATGTGGTGAACCAGTGCACTCGCCCCCCCCCAACCCCCCCAAGCATCCAGGCCAATGCCCCCAGCTCAGCCAGCACTACTCACTCCGGAGCAGGGCGGGCGGACACTTTGTACTGCTCTGCCCCCGCCAGGGGGCTTGCCGCTGCTGGGACCCACAGTCCTCATTACTTTGGCTTCAGGTGAATAAGCCCTGTGTATAGCAGGCTGGTTCCTCCACCATGGAGTTGCAGCCACCTCTGGGGTGAACCGCAGCAGCCTCACTCAATGCATCTCAGTCCTGACCTGCAGTCCCCCGTTGCTCTCCAGCTCCCCTCTCCCCAGTGTTGACAGTAGAGGGGAGCTTCGCAATGCCACGGACACTAAATGTCTGTGTACGAAAACTACTGGAGGTGAGCTTCGTTTCAGGGCCAGCAATGTTCTGTGCAGGGCCCGGAGCCGTGCATTGGTGTCAAACACGGGGGCGGATGCCCTGGTGACTGGCTTGGAAATGCTGGGCTGAAAGGCTTCTTACCACAGCAGTATTGGCGGCGGGGCTGAGACAGCAGAGGCCAAGGCCCTGCTCCATCCGTGCACTAAAGCACCAGATGAGTAATCCCGTTGAGCCCAATGGGGCTGCTCAGATGCTTGAAGTTGACACCTGCTTCCCTGGATTGGGGCCCAAATAAAGAGCATCCCAGACACATACACGTAGCTCTGCCAATGCACGGCCACCCCAGCTGGCAGGGATCCCCGTTGCAGTCTCGGGGGCCATACGCATCTCGGTGCGAGCCAGTCTGGATTCAAAGGCAGGCTCCTGGGGAGAGGTACAATGCTAGTATTGATTTAGTTCCCTCCACCACCTAAGCCTCCCATCCCCAAAAAGCCCTGGGCAGAGAGGCATCAGTGCACCCTTACAGGGCGGGAAGTAGCAGTGACATGACCTGCAAGCAGCTCAGAGGGGAATGCAAAAAGAACAGGAGGACTTGTGGCACCCTAGAGACGGACAAATTTATTTGAGCATAAGCTTTCGCGAGCTACAGCTCACTTCATCGGATGCACGTAGCTGTAGCTCACAAAAGCTTATGCTCAAATAAATATGTTAGTCTCTAAGGTGCCACAAGTCCTCCTGTTCTTTTTGCAGATACAGACTAACGCGGCTGCTACGCTGAAACCAGAGGGGAATGGGAGCTGTAAGGTGACCCCCAATAATAAGGCAGAGGAGGACACTTGTGTGATCAGCTAGCTAGTCACCAGGGGTCTAGAACCCCCAACCTGCTACTCTGAAGCACAGAAGCTGCTACCCAAGGAGCTGTACTGCCAAACTAGCTCCCCCAGCAGAGGGAACCTATGAACATGTGAGCTGCTCTGACACCCCCCAGCAGGGAGCTCTGGTGCTCACACCAGCTGGGCTGGGACCCCTCCGCCCCTGGGTGGGTCACCGCTTCCTGTGATTGGCTGCTGATGTATCAAATGGAGAGCTGGCAGGGGCTGCCCCAGGTGCAGCTTCCTCCTGGTCTCCAGGTTCCCTACAGGGGGTTGATTTGTTTGTTTGTGAGAAGGGGAGCACTCAAAATGTTTGGCTTCCAAGCAAGGTAAAGGGTGGAGCAGGGTCCCCCTGCTGCAGGAATGGGGTGTCCCCCAGATTTGCCTGTTGCTTTCTGTTCCTCCAGTGCTGGTGACATTGGACTGGTTTGCCCCGGGCACTGGTGAAAGCATCCACTTGCCTAGTTATAACCTCAGGCCTGTGCTCTGGCAATGCAAAGGGCTATGGTTGCCCCAGCCATGCTTCAGTGACGGTGCCAAACCTGTGGCTTTGGGGGCACTGGGATGGGTGGGGGACAGTTTGCCCCAATTGGTGAGTCTAAAGCCTTCCAAAAAGCCAAGGTTGCCCTGCCTTTGCTTGGGGCACAGAGATGGCTGCTACTGGCCTGGCCTGGAAAATACATAGCTCCTATCCTGTTCAGAGCCGTTGTACGTGCAAGGTGCTGCAGCATATCTAGTCCCAAGCGCTCAGAACTCAGGAGTGGGTGTCATGAGATGCTCATGAGATTTTTAAAAAATAATCAGTGTTGGGTTCTCTTTATTTGCCTTCTGGCTCTCCCCAGCTCCCATTGCCCTGCTTTTCTCAGCAGCCAGGGGGGCCGGAGACTTACTTTAAAAAAATGTAAGCTGCAGTTTTCCTGTTACCCTCACGACTCCAGGAGCTGGGGCTTTAGGCAAAACGCCAAGAGTGGCAAGACTCCCGATGAAGCTGCAAGATTAGTCGTATTGACGATTTGTGTTCCCATCGTACCTAAGAGTCCGCCTGGGTCATAGACCAGGACCCCAGTGTGCCAGGGGCTGGACAAAGAGCTGACAAGCTCAATATAAGAGCAGAGACTTAACAGAGAGAGCCAGACAGACCAAAGGGGGAGCGCAAGGAAACAATGACCGTGCTGATCAGCACGAGGGGCCGTGCTCTCGGCACACCAGGGCCAAGTTTTGTGTCGGGCCCGTGGCAGAGTAGGGATTTGAGGGAGGATAACGAGGGGGCTTTGTGAATATGTCTGGGGGGGAGCATGGGTGAAAACTTGGGAAGTGCTTCAGCATCTCAGCGGAACCCAGCGTCTCTAGCTGCTTAAATGTCATTTGAAACCTCTCTTTGTTTTTGTCACGGTTCCCATAAAGCCCCCTCTTTCTGGACCCCTCCGGGGCCTGGTGGCAGGACCCACCACCGTCCCTGGCCAGGGTGGATTCCTCCTGGGACATGGCTGATATGGCAGCTCGGCAGAAGGCCGCGGACGAAGACTCAGACCTGAGCCCGCTGGAGGGGGACAGCGCAGAGGAGCTGGGTGTGCTGGACCCGGTGAGTATGTGTCTAGAGCACTGAGCTGCAACCACTGATGTGTCTTTCCAGGGACCTGCCATGGGGCAAGAGGGGAACCCCCCTCCCCCACTTTACAGTGGTGATGCAGGATGGGGTTCTGCTACACCTTTCCCTCAAGCCTTGGGAGCAGTGTGATTCATTGGTTGGCTGAATGTGATTTTGTGGCACTAATTTCATCCCCTTGATGCTTTACAAAAGCATGGGCTGGTGACTGGGACACTGGACAAGGGAGGACTTAGGACACCTGGGTTCTGGTCCTGGCTGTGGCACTGGCCTGCCTTGGGACCTTGGGCAAGTCACTTGTCGCTGCTGCTGCAAAAAAGGGTGTATTTAACTGAGGTTAGCTAACCACAGTTAGCTAATCGCAGGGAAGACCCAATAACTCTGCTTGAACTCGGATAAGCTGCTCCAGCTGAAGTTTGTGGGGCAGCGCAGCTAACCCCAGTTGAGAAGAGTTGCCGGGTTTTCGCTGGTGTTTTAACCCGAGTTACGAATACACCCGGTTTTGAATTGCCGCTTGCGGTGCAGACGTACCCTTTGTCTGTGTCCTCACTGCAGAGCTCGCTCGGGTGATCAGCGCTCGGGTTAGCCTGGCTAGGCGTGAGCAGCCAGACTGCAAAGCCCCACCTGAGTTACTGCAGTCTTGTGGATGCTGGGCTCTTCGGGAGGCGTCGCTAAGACGTCTGGGGGCACATCCCCTTGTGCTGCTGAGTCGCTCTGCTTCTTTCCCAGTAAACTGGGAGGGAACTTGTCATCCTCTGGGCTCAAGGGGGGAGAACTGCAGGAGGGCATTGGAGGATATCGGCTCGGCAGCATCTAGCCTGTGTCCTCACTGCAAGGTACATGGCCTACCCGGTCAAGTGAAAGCAGCACCCAAGCTCTAGCCTATTGCCCAGCCTGTCCAGCTAGCCCCGGAGGAAAGCACCACTGCACTCGGGTGAGAGAGTGTTGTGTGTGGACAGGAGGGAGGGGGCAGGCCCCAGCTAAGAGCCCAGGCTAACTCCGCAGTGAAGACGGACCCGAGAACATAAGCTCTTTAGGATGGGGCAGACGGGCAGCACCTGGCGCCACTGGGTGCTACCGTCAGGCCAGCAATAAACCAGGTTTGTTCCTACTCTGGATAAATATCGAACCCCAGATGACGTCACTCAACAAATGTGAGACTGGTTAGAGTGCTGGCTGGCTGCGGGGAGGGCTGCTCCAAAACAAGGACACACTACGCACCTCCTGGGAGGGTGTGAGCCAGTGACCAGACTTCGGGGGGGGATGGACATAAATAACCCTGGGAAAGAGACTCATACACACAGAAATGTCTTAAAGTTAATAGTAAAATATGATTTAAATGTCCTGGCCCCTGAGCGGCAAAGCTGATAACGTCGCGTTCACCCTCCAGGCTGTGTAACTTGCACCATTAGTGCTGGGTACTTGGCTTGGCTAGTGCAACTAAACTGATCTCTCTTATTTCTCTTTGTAGCCAGTCTTACATTTCCAGGTCTCCCGTGCTATCCCAGGGCTGTTCTTCCCCGCTGTCCCGTGCTTTCTCCCACAATGCCCCGATGCTCCCTACAAATATTCACCAATGCTGCAGGAAAGGGTTTACTTCCAAGCAAATGCTACTTGGCGCTGGAACTGGGGGAGAAACAATTCTCTTGATCTTAGATTTGTTTTTCCAAAGCTTAAATATGGAGCTGAAATGTCTCCTTTTTAATTAACAACCTCACCAAGCCCCTCTCCAACCCCGGAGTGAGTGCATTGCAATGGGAGGTGAGTGAGCCCAATGCGCTCGGGCTGCAGCCTTTATCGGAGGGCTTGGTACGACCACGTCCGGTACGGTTCTGATAAACCGTAACGGTGCTGCAGAATCCAGGCTCGGAGGCTGCTTCTCTTGGGGGTTCGCTGGGCCCAAATGTCACGACCTTTCCTAACCCTAGGTAAAAATAAGCCTTGCCCCTGCCCTATTAAAAGCATCTGTGCAAATGAGCCCATTTTGCAGGTAAAAGCCAGTCCTTTATCTCCCTCCCCGCTGCAGTAAGATCCCTTTAAGCCCACACCTCGGAACTTCTGCTCTACGGCCCCAGTCCCAAGCTTTGGATGCAATTCCCCTGACAGCATTCCTTGGTGGGGGAGAGGTATGCAGGATTCAGGTGGCTGCACATCCCCCCTTTTCCCCCATGGGAGGGTCCCCATGTTGGGAAAGGTGGCACCTTAAGTGGGCAGACCTGGACTGGTGGCAACTACACATCTCTGCCCACGAGCGGGGCCCAGTGTCTAGAGGGGGAGGATGGCTAAATCCAGGACAAACGTCTCCAGCCTTTCACCCGAGGGTTATGCAGCCCCAGCTCCTCTGAGCATCAGTCACTGGCCTAATGCGCTGGGGTGGAGGGTGAGACCCCCCAAAACCAACCAGACTGGCTGCTGGTGCCTGGCTGCATTCGGCCACCCATGATAGGCACCTTAGCCAGGCCTAGCTGCAGTGTCTGCTCCTGTTATTACCCTCTCCCCTGCAGGGGACTCAGGAGTCCGAGTCAGGATGAGCCAGGAATAGCAAAGACGCAGTTCCTGCAGTGCAGGGCACCCCCGCTGCGTGCATTGTGGGGCTGGTGGAGCTGAATGCGGATGAGCAGAGCACTGGCTCAGGCCCGCCCCGTGAGCAGGGGGTGAAGGGCGCCCCCCAGAGATAACCCCCTGATGGGGAAAATATCCAGACACTTGGAGGCGATTCAGTAAGCCCAAGAGGAAGCAGAGCTGGGAGACAGCAGCTACTCCCAGCAGCCTCCCTTGTCTCAGGCCAGCAGCCAGGGTTCATGGGGCAAGGAAGGAGGCAGCAGCAGGAGGTGGAACTGGCCTCTGGCTGGGCCCCGCCTGCCCATAGCATCTTGCGGGAGTGCGAGCCTGAGGGGATTCCCACAGGAGCTGCCCATCTCAGGGGGTAATAGTTGGCCCTTTATTTCTGACACGCACCTGCCATCCTTCCCCAGCTGACCCGACCTTCCCACCCCTGTTCTGCCGTGACAGTGGCCCAGGCAGATGGAGTGAGCCGGGCGGTGATGGAGACAGGCTGTGGGGGGCTGTGTTGCCAGGGCTTCCAGTGATTACTGGCAGAGGAGCAGCGTTTCCTAGTGGTTAGGACATCCCCAGAGCTGCTCCCTGCTCTGTAGCTCCATTTCCCCACCTGCAAAGTGGAGGTAATTCTGCCCTGGCTTCATTAATGGAGCTTTGTACGTTGCTCAGAGATCCCAGGATGAAGCCTGGCTCTGGGAGATGCCATCTCTGGCCTCCATCCCGAAGGGGTGGTGTGTGTGTGTGTCGTGGTCGCCCTCGGGACCACATCATGCCAAGCACTGCAAAGACACCCTCACCCCCCCCCATGAGACAGGCCCTGCCCTGTAGAGCTGATGCTGAGCAAACAAGACAGATGCCAGGTGGGAGGAAACGGGACTTGCCCCTGGGGTCTTCTCTTGCACAGCTGCCCCTCTTTGCACTGGGTTCTCATGTGCTCGGCCTCTTGGGTTTGGTGCTCAGGAACTGGAAGCCATCAAGGCCAAAGTCCGTGAGATGGAGGAGGAGGATGAGCGGCTCAAGGAGCTGCAGGCTGAGGCCAAGAACCACCTCATCCTGAGATCGCAGGCAGGTACGGCGCTGCAGCTCCCCAGGGCGGGGTTGGCTCCCAAGGGGAGGTGTTAAGCTGAGGGTTTAGCTACACCTGGGAGGCACATGGGACAGGATTTCCTACCACGGGGCGAAATGCTGCCGTGTTTGAGACCTCAAGGGACAGCCAGTGCCACATCCCCATTAGCCACGGGGCGGGGGAGGACAGTGACAGTGTCAAAGGCTCCCCGGCCTAGTCTGCCTCCGAAGGCATAGTTGGCAGGGAGGCAGTGGGAGAATGGAGGGTCTCAGCTGTGTGAGAGTGGATGGAGGACCCCTACGCATGGCTTAGGACACTGAGCATGGGCTTCAGAGTGAGGGCTTATGGGTTCTGTCCCCAGTTCTGCAACTGGTTCTGCCCTGAGCCTGGCCTTGGACAAGTCGCTTAACCTCAGTCAGCGATGGATACAGCTTTCGTCCCTGGGGTGTTGAGGCTTAGGGCGTGAGGGCAGAGTTCTTTGAAGGTGCTGTTGGTGCCAAAGCTGCTGGCTTGGCACAAGTACCCGGAGCTTTCCAGGGTCGAAGTTCTATCATCTGGCTGTTCCTGCTATGCCAGGTCAGCTCTAGGGGCACGAACCAGCTCCTGGGGCTAGGGAGATCCTTCCCCCAGGGCTGGCTGTTTCAGTGGGGGGTGGAGGGGTCGGGGTCTAGCGCCTCTCTCCAAAGCTCAGGCCACTCCAAGAGGCAGGCTAGATGGGTTACAGGTCTGAGCCTGTATGGCAGGTCCTTGTAAAATACCCCTCGCTCCCCTGTACCTTCCACCCTCTGCGGGGGGCCTTAACGCCTCTCTGGTGATGACATGCTCTAAGGACACAATGTGGCATGTTTGGGGTAATGCTCCCCCTTCCCAAAGGGGGACAGACCCCAAATGAGGAAGAGAATAAACACAGACGGCTGCAGGACTGGTTCCCTCAACAAAGGCTTGGGCCTAGCAGGGCATCAACACACTCAGCGCTCACCTCTGGAGATCGTGGTTCAGATACGGCTGTCACATGTGAAATGAGTTCAGTGGCCTCCGCCTAGTTTGTCCGTAACACCCACTGCATGGTTTGCCATGACTAGAGAGGCCCTGGAGTGGAACAGGGGGAGGTGGGCTTTGGATCGGGCCTGAGGCACGTTGGCAGATTTGAGGATTGGGGGTGCTCAGGACAGAAATGGCAGGGGGTGATGCGTGGAGGAAGCATGTCCTGAGAATAAACGGACACCTTGTCTTTCATCTTTGAGGAGACCCCTTGCTCCGAAGGGCTGAGGGGCTAGTAATTCAGTCTCTAGGGCTGTCAGGGTTTGCCCTCCCATCAGCACCAACCTCACTTGGCCAGAAACCCCACTGCCCCCTGTCGCTCGCTCTCTGAACAGCACCGTCAAAGGAACCCTTGCCTCTGCAGGTATTCCCGTTCCTAGGACCACAGAGGAGAAAATTGAGGCTGATCAGAGATCCATCTACGTGGGCAATGTAAGTGGGAGAGGTCAAAAACCACGATGAGCCCCCCCTTTTCGGTGATGTTCCCAGGGCAGAAAGCTCAGTAGAGCTAATGGGCTGGGGGTGGGATGTGTCATAAGACTGTCTGTCCCTGCCCTCCCCCTAGGAGCACAGTGGGATGAATGACTCGTTACCGGACGTGCTGCGCATCCCCTCCGATGAGGGGAAAGGGTGGAGCCGCTGGCTTGAATTTATTTCAAACTTATCTGCTTGATAATTTCCATCATTAACCCTGGGTCTGGGGCTCACTTGTGGATATTCAAAAACACAAGTGGCTTTGTTTGGACTAGCTAGGCCACATGGTATTGTTCCTGTTCCCTGATCGGATGGTCATGGCTTCGCTTCAGGTTTCCAAGTGGAATGTCTGATTCTTTCTGGCTGAGTGTCACCCTGGTGCAGTGAGCGGCCAGCACAAGGCTCAGGAGCTGCTGCGGTGCTAGGGGTCTACACGAGGCCTTGTGAGCCAGTGTCACCCCTGTGCCAGTGAGCATCTTGCTGAGAATCCTTGGGGAAGACAAGGCCAAAGCTGATGAATGCAGCCCGAGCCGCTTCACTTCTTGATTGGCGCAAACTTTCACAGGAAGGGTTCTGGGGCTGGCTGGCAGGGCATGGGCATGTGCCCTTGATGGCATCTGAATGGAATGGGGATGTCTTTGCAGGTGGACTACGGTGGAACAGCAGAAGAGCTGGAGTCCCATTTCAATAGCTGTGGGCAGATCAACCGAGTGACCATCCTCTGTGATAAATTCTCTGGACATCCCAAAGGGTCAGTGCTGTGCTCTAGGGACCCTTGGATTGTGGCAGTTCGGGGTGGGATGGGAAGTATGTTCTGAGAACACAATGCATGATCTTCATATCTTTGCTCTAGAAATTCCTTTCCCTGAGCCCCATTAACTAGGGAGGGGGCCACTCCTATTTCTTCTCCCGTCTTTAGCTGGGATCATCAAATCCCTGCAGGAACCTCAGCTCTGTCTGACTTCCAGCATCTTCAGGGAAACCAGCTGTAGGACCAGCTTTGCTTTGGGTTAGGTTTTCAGGTTTGTTTCATTGTCCTCTTCCGCTATTGCCACCCACCCTGGGTGCAGAGAGCTCTTCTGCAGACCTGGCACGTCTGGTTTTGGAGGTTACCTCAGAAGCCCAGTGCTTTACTCCTTCCTCTTACGGATGTTTGAAACCCTGTCTGGAAACTTGTCAATGTCGTTTCTGTCTCTGCTGATGCGCTTGTTCCATCTGGCACAAGCTGGGATGAAAGGCGCTGCGGAGAACATGTCTGAACTTTCGATACTTCACTGATATAATGAATGGTGTCAGCACGGCTCTGGCAATTGGGCTCTTAACACGTGCTTCCTCTGTTGGCTTGGCAGCAGCACTGCACAAAATGCCATGTGTCCTAAATATATAACCCGGGGAGACTGGGTATTTTTAAGTGACTGTTTAAAAATATATTGCGCAAAATGAGGCACGTGTCCATTCTGTCACATACACCTGTTCAGATTTAGCATAAGCAAGGTCACGATAGGTGCGATTGTGCATATTCTGTACAAGGGTGCGGGTCTGTGTGATTTCATGAGTACGCTCCAATGAGGAACAAAGTAATTAAATGGGACACTGCATAAGATCCATCATATTCCAGGCCAGATAATGGCTTAATGCACTCACTTGTCTCAATCCATAGCCCACTACCCTCAGGAGGGGAGATGAGCTTTTCTGACAGCCTCTCCAGCTAGTTCTTCATACATACTCCAGCACTATCTGCAGAATAACTGTTAGCCACCTACATGTAAACACCCCCCTCTACATTAACACGGAGGTGTATATTTTTATTTCTATAACTAACTTGGCTGCTGCTTCTCTCCTCTTGCATAGCAGAGTCATGAGCCTGCTGTCTCCCTGTGTTCTAGAGAGTCCAGATTTATTCTGAACATGCTGGCAACGTGCTCGGTGCTATGGGACACCCATAAAGTTGGTCTCTGCCCTGGATAGCCTGCAAGTGAAGGCCCTAGTCCTGCACCGGAAACGTGTGGGTGGAATTCACTGCCCATGCAGATCCCCACTGACTTCAGTGAGGCTCTGTGCAGGCCCAGCAGTCCAGCCAAGTGCCATCAATTGCAGTATCAGAGCCTAAGACTGCCAGGGATTCAGAGCTATAGCATGATTTCCTTGGTCATTGAAGCTGGAGAATTTTCCTTGATTCAAAATCCCCTGGGAAGCTTAGCTCCAGGTGCTTTTCCTAGCTCTAACCATGTTATAAACTTCTGCTGCAGGCCCAGTCCCCGTCACAATCTGGACTCAATAGCATCTGTTTAGCGAGAGCTGCACTTAAATGCAAGGTGCAAGCTCGGTTTCAGATTGGTGCAGGGGGCTGTATGCTGCCTAGGCGGGTTGTCTAGAGCATGGCTTACCAGGTGGTGAGAGAGATCCCAGCCCAGGGAAAGCACGCTGGCAACCATCGTGCTGTAAACATTGTTTAATGGTTGATTGCACCTCCTGAATAATTTGAACCGATGGCGATAGGTATGGCTACTGTGCCAGCCGTGGTGCAGCAGGGTCTCGTGTGGTCTGCTACCCTCCATTCTCTCAGTGCTGTCTGGAGAGGTGCCTAGTCAGTTATCTGAAGAAAAAGCCTTTAGAGTGGCAGGACAGACTCCCCATGTTGAGCAGCAGACTGTGACGTTACCTGGCCACCTGCGGGGGCTACTGTGTTGTGACTTCCCCAAGCAGATGCTGCAGTGCAAAGGAGACACTGTCTTCCTTTCCCTTTCCAGGTATGCTTACATTGAGTTTGAAGACAAGAGCTCTGTGAAGGCAGCGGTGGAGCTGGACGAGAGCATGTTCAGAGGCCGGGTCATCAAGGTAAAGACACCGGGTCCAACAGGTGCGAGGCAGGAGTGACTAGTTCCAGGAACCTAAGGAGGGATTCGCCTTCCTGCCGAATGCACTTTGCTTCCCGGGGGTCTGCACCCGGACCACAGACTGGGCAAGAGATATATCATTGGGCTACAGCTGTTTGTACTTGGTTCAGGTGACTCTGGGTGCTGAAAAGGAGGCCTTCCAGTGCTGAGTCATGCCTCCAGGTCTCCCAGGATGCAGGCCTGAGTCAGGGTCTGAGCTGCTCCTGCCTGGCTCCAGCTTCTTTGCTATTTGTTTCATTGGTTTTGCCTCTTGCCTCCCTCCTTGGAGACGTTGCCCCGTCTGGTGATAGGCCTTGCCCTCTGGGGACCAGGGGCCAGCTCCACTCTGGGAGAGCCATTCAGTGCCAGGGAGGGCCTGGGAAATGTAGCACTCATGGCCACCTTCAAACCCTGCTCCCTGCCATACCAGACTGGGAAGCTGTTGCTATTGGTTCACCAAGACCCCAGGATACGCTGTCTCTGATTCGAGTGGGAGACGCGCAGTTTGCGAGGGAAGTGACAGGGAGTTTGCGAGGGAAGACAAAGCCCTGCCTGAGATGATTTAGTTGGGGATTGGTCCTGCTTTGAGAAGGGGGTTGGACTAGATGACCTCCTGAGGTCCCTTCCAACCCTGATATTCTATGATTCTAAGTGTTGGGGCAGGGAGGGTCCTAGCCACTCCTTGATCTTTGACTTGTCTCAGGTCCTGCCCAAGAGGACCAACATGCCAGGTATCAGCACAACTGACCGTGGGGGCTCCAGGGGCCGTTTTCCAAGCAGGGGGGGCCTGTCTCAAAGGGCAAACGTCTATGGAGTGCTGAGATCAAGACCCCGAGGGAGAGTGTACAGGTGAGCAGTGATGTTCCCTGCTGACAGGAGGTCGGCAGTAGAATGGAGAATCCCATGTGCACTCCTGCCCGGCAGGGGTTTGGTGTGGGATGTCTCCAGGCCTGTCGCTGTGGTAGCAAAATCAGCTCTGCAATTGGCATGAGGAGGGCATTTTCCCTGGTCACTAGGTGTCTCAAGCATAGGCTGTCCCTATCAGACCAGCTGCTGGGTGGTCAGCACTCCAGAAGCTCTGGGAGGCTGGGAATATCACAAAGCACTCACCTAGCCCTTTCCATGGCTAAGGCCTGGGACAAACACCAGCAGAGTCCCTACACCTGCCAGGGAGTGGGGGATAGAAGGTGGGAGTATTTATCCCCGTTTTCCAAAAGGAGGAAACCCAGGTGGCGACACCTGCCCCAAAGCTGCACACTCCCTGTATCTGCACTAGACTCTTCTCTGAGCTTTCCTCCATGGCTACCTGCAGTGCCATGAACAGTGTGAGTGCTACCGTAGACTGGCTGCGGGCACTTCAGTCTCCAGGCGGCCTGCCTGGCCCTGCTTGGAACAGATCTAGGTGATGTAGGAGTGAAAACGAGGCCCAGGTAACTGCCAGCTATGCAAGTGCTCCCCTCGCTCGGTGGGAAAACTTGGGAGAGAAAGGTCTAGCAGAACCAAGGCCATTGAATCAGCCTGCAGGCCATGCTTACTCCCTTAGCCCACGTTGCCTCTCTATTGTAATGCGCTCTTTGTTTTAATGGCTGGCTGCTGCCGTGTTTGTTCTGCAGTAATCCCTTTCCTTGGTTTAGGGTGGGTTTCCACTCTGATTTCGAAGTCGCTCCAATTGTCAGTCCATGTAAGCTGTCCCATTTAGAAGAGGAGGCAGGGCTATGCAAGGGACAGAGTGCAAGAATACAGACAGGACTTGCTAAGGGCAAGCGGAGCAGGGGGTTAATCAACACAAGCCTTGATACTTCTGGCTCCCCCCAGTAAAACCAGAGTAGTGTTCCCCATGGGGTGAGAGATGGGGTCGGGGGTGGGGAGGGGAGGGGCGTGTTCCTGCCAGAAACTTCTCCTAAGGGCTTGAGGATGTTACTTCAGAGAGAAGCCTGCACTAGAAGCATATTCCTCTCCTGGTCCCACGGGCAGTCACATGCTGTTAACATCACCCATGTGTCCACATAGCAAGCGGGAGGCCTGGAGCCGCACACAGATGTGAACATGGGCACCCTGGCAGGGCCTGCGGGCTGCAGCTCTCCTGCAATTGAAAGGGACAGAAATGAGCAGTGACTCTTGTGGGAGACAGCTGCCCAGGGCGTGCAGTACCTGTGGATGTCCTTCCACCTCGGTGACCCAAGAATGGCTGGCTTCAAGGCACACTGAGATGAGCGCTGGGACCGATTCTCCAGCATGAAAGTGCTCCCATTGCTAGATACGGCTTGCTCGGCTTTATAGCCTCACTGTGGATAGTCGGGTTTATTCCCGTGGCATAGGGAATTCCTCTTGGCCTTGTCATGCTGTCAGTGAAAGCAGGCAGCGTGATCTAGTTGAGCGCAGCCCTAGGAATTGGCTACTCCCGGGTTCTACTCCCAGCTCTGCCACTGACCTGGCAGGTCACCTCCCCGTCTGTGCCTCAGTCTCCTGGTGGGGTTGTGCTAACGAAATGCTTGCACAGCACTTTGAAGACACAGGGTGCTAGATAATGGTTCTGTGGGCAGGCCTGCGCCCTGCGGCTTGAACTTTTAGTACATTCCGCTCACTCCAGCATCCTTCCAGCCCAGGAATGCACAGGGGCTCCCTTCAGAGCCACTCGCCGCTGCCTCGAAAATGGATGGTGAGCCTATCAAGGCCCATGTGCCCCGCTGATGAGAAACCAGCAATCGACCGAGCCAGTCTCATGCGGTGCCATCACTGGGCGGACCAGGCTATAACACTGTGAGTTGACGCAGCTTGGGAGCAAGGAGACGAGCTCTCTCTGGGCTATATTGAGGACCAGGAATGCTGCTCGTTCGTCTGTGTGAGGCCTAGGGCAGCCGGGCCATCTCGAACGGCAGGTCTCTCCCACGCTGAAGAGCAGACACAGTTTTGATTCGGTAACTGACTAAATCGCTGACCTAAGACCGTTGCCTGAGCCACCCTGTGCTTTCTGATACTGCTTTTGTTCTTGTCTAGGGGTCGTGGCAGGTTATCGCCGTGGTACTCTCCCTACTAGGCCGAAGGATGGGATGACGCTGGAGACTCCAACAGGGCTGGATTTAAAAGTGGGGGATGGGAGAGGGGTTTAAAGAGAACCTACCCGAGCAAAGAGAAGTGTGGACAATTTTAATATTTTTGCCTGGATGGAACGGTGCACTTGCACGTTGCGCAGTTAAAGGGGTGAGTTGTTATGAGGGAGAATGGAGCCAGGCTCCCCCTAGCACAGCTGGGTGCCCACCCCACTCAATGCCAGAGCCACACTGGTACTTTCCAGGAGCCAGAGGCTTGCCCCGAGTTTGGTTACAATGTCAAATCCTTCTTGTTGAACCCAATATTCTCCAAGCTAGAAAGAACTGATCTCTGGGCATACATTGATCGCTCTTCACAGTGAATAGGAACAGAGTTCACCAGATCAGCTTTGTCCTCATCCTATAGAAACTGGAGGACAGGGCTGCATTTTAGGACTCCATATAAGTCAGATTTGGCGCTCTGGCACTTTTGCTATAGACACTGCTCTAGCAGGGATGTGGGTGGGAGCTTCTGGAGGACTGTGCAGAGCATTCAGACAGGGCTATGTTGGAGCAATGGGGATAGAGGGGAGCATGGGAAAATAATCCCTCTAGGAGAAGTGAGCTGCAGGATGTTCTGTTTCCAAAACAGTCAGCTGTGGACCAGCTTGAAGTACAGCTGTCAGGAGCATGTCTCTGCTCCACCCACTGCTGCCACCGTGTGAGAAGGTCTAAACCCCTCCTGCTGCCAGACTAGAGAAACAGATGCCTCCACTTTGTTCTCTGTGACTCACTTCTTCAGCCTGTCCTATGGATCATGGATGCTGACATCTCTTTAGTATAGGCAGGTCCTCAAGATGCTCCAAGGAAAGTGGGATCTCTTCTACCCTCTAGAAGAGCGGGGTTAAGATTCTGGGACACCACTTAGATTCAGATCCGGCCTTATTTTTTTTTAACTTAACTGTAAAAACCTCATTAGGGTCTTAGATAAATTTTGCAGGGGAAATACAAACCTTTTCCGTTGAATTAAAATAACTCATTAGGACTTTGTCCCCCTAAGTGTGGTCCCGATTCTGCTCCTGGGTAGAGGAGTGAGCATAACTCTGTGTTTTGGCTCTCTCAATGTGCTCCTACTCTTCTGTATCTAAGAGCAGGATTCAGCCCTGTAAATCTCCTGGAAGAAAAGGCATCCCTAACTTGGGTTCTCTTTAAACATTAGTGTGTTTTCTTTAATGTCTGGGGTTACACAAGACCTGCAAACTCTTTCTCTCCCCCGATCTTGTTCTGTAGCTGTGATGCAAGTCCAGGCACTCACTGTTTCACTTCTGATGGGCAGAGTTTGAATCCAGTCTCTAGTGACAAGTGTGAGTTTTGTGGGCCTAAGCTTAGGCTCTATTTCTTCCTCTCCCAGTGACCACAGTTTGGAGGTCAGAGCTTGAAGGCCTAGGCTGAAATAGCAGGGGTTGTTGCCAGTCAGGGTGGAAGTGCATGGAGGGGGTTTTGTGTGGGAATTCCTACACAGCACCTGTCTGCATTGTACGGTCCAAGCCACTGCAATTCGTCTCACTTTCATGAGCGCTAAACTTGCTCCTATTTTTAAAGGAAAATGTTTTTGGTTAAAAAAGAAAGCATGGTTAAAAAACTCTGTGAACACTGTTACTGTATAAAGTTATACATTTAAATACATTTTATTAGAATTCCAGCACTAACTGGTCAGGACCTTTAGTCAGGATTCCCTTTTTTCCAGCTACAACTGATGCAATTACTAACCCTTAAAGCAGCTTTCTGAACAGTTGAAGGGACGCTGTCAGGATAAGAAACCTATTTTAGAAACAGATTTTCCTCCCTGTTAACACCTTGGATCATTGAATTTCAAAAATCTAACTCCTCTCACGTGTTTACTATTTGCACTTTATCTAGAATGGAGCATAGAGAGACTGGGCTGGTTCAGGAGAACCAGAAAGTGAAGCAACAAAGTTTGGGTTGCAAATTTTAAAAGGGCAATCCAAACCTTTCCCATTGGGTTAAAAAAAGAAGTCATTTCTGTTGGTAGATCTTGTAAACCCTAAACTCTTTTTTACAAAACCTATTTTTTGGATCTAAAGTACCTGGCAGTGACCTTTTAATGACCGTTGTTGAAAAGGAAACACTGAGTGCTGGTCTTGGCAAGTGGAAAGATTGATCTCACCTTTTTATGTGTAAAAGTTTATCAAAATAGTCACGTACAGGTGTGACTTGTTTGGGTGGGAGGGGAGCTGGAGAATGGGAGAGTGAAGTGTTTGACACTTAAGTTATTACTGATGAAATGCATTGATTGAGCTGAGCAGACTTCTCTGATCAAGTTCTGTTTGTGAGAAGGTACTCTTTAATTGTCATATCTTTTTTTTAAAAAATAAATGATCCTGCTGTCTAAAACAGTTTCTTCCAAAATGAAAGTGCAGAAAAAGCAGCAGACCTGTCTTTGCATTCAGCTAGTTGCCTTTAGAAGGCTCTTAGACCACAGAAAAAATCACACCTACTGCAACAAGATGATGTTTATTAGAGAACACCATAATATAGGTCCATATCCACTGACATGGTGAATTTGGCCCAGAGTCAGGAGCCAAGTGAATTTCCAGTGGTTGGAGTAAGCGAGGTCTTCCAGGTTAGCATGTGTTAGGAGAAGGTGAAAGGGCTCACTCTTCATTTGCTGCAGCTCTGTCCTGGAAAGCTAATTGTTACTTGTAGTTAAACCATTGTTGGACCTTTCTCAAACAAGGGACCTGCAGGTTTTCTTGGCTTTCCAAGCAGAGCTGTTCTCTCTGATTGGCAGAGACATAGTCATGATGCCTCAGATTCAGTAAGACCACAAGAATGGCATGCAAGCCAGCACTTGAAACCCTTCCGAATGTCATTTATCATTCTCTGCTATTTTGCAGTGATTTAACTAGAGTGTTTGTTTTTGAACAGTTTGTCCCTTCTCAGATATGCAGGCCCACATGCACCCTGGTGTTCAGTAGACTTATACTGGGGACAAGTGTGGCACATAACATCATACATCTGTGCTTCCTGTCTCCCTTCTACCTCTCTTCAGTGAGGATTGGCTCCTCTGAAGTCAGAGAAGGAAAACCTCTATTAGCTCACATCTTCCCCATCCCCTGAGGATCAATGCAGGATTGTCCCTGCAGCATGTGTAATGATTTTATGGCAGATACAGAGCTGGATGCCTTAGGAAGTGCTTGGAGTATGGAAAAGATAGAGAAACCCAGGAATTTCTCCACTTTCCAAGGAACGAGAGTTAGAAGATTTGGAAAACCAGCCAGGTGTTGATGCAGAGTTTTCAGGAGAAGTTTAGACTATACATCCAGTGCAGCTCTGGTGTTCACTCTGTGTTTCCTTGGGTCACTGCCTTCTGGACTCTCGAGATTTGAATTTCTCTTGCTGTGACCACAGAAGCACTCTCTGTGTTGCCAGACAGCTTGGAGAGCAGTCAGCAAATGGCTAGGAGCAGGCAGAGCCTCTTTCCTTCCAAGAAGCCAAGAGAAGAAATAGTGGAATAGAACGGAAGAGGCTCCTGCCTTCTCCCAGCATTCAGAAAGGGGAAGGGAGAGGAGGATCCAGCAGCCCTAGCGAGGAGAGGGTTAGAAAGGAGGACTTGTTTTTGAAGGAGTTGCAGCACCATGTCCTGACATCTTGGCAGCATTTGCCGTGAGGGATGATCAGTAGATGATGCTGCTGTAATGTCACTACACAACACATCAGAAAAATGGATGTTGATAGGTTGGAGGGGGTTTGTAGAAGAGCCACAAAAATGATTAAAGGATTAGAAAACATGCCTTATAGTGAACAGACTAGAGGAGCTCCATCTATTTAGCTTAACAAAGAGATGGTGAAGGGGTGACTTGATTACAGTCTATAGTTACCTACAGAGGGAACAAATATTTGTTATTTAATAATGGGTTCCTTAATCTATCAGAGAAAGGTGTAATGCCATCCCATGGCTGGAAGTTGAAGCTAGACAACTTCAGACTGGAAATAAGGTGTAAATTTTTAACAGTGAGTAATTAACCATTGGAACAACATACCAAGGGTCGTGATGGATTCTCCATAACTGACTGTTCTTAAATCAAGATGGGGTTTTTCTAAAAGATTTGCTCTAGGCATTATTTTGGGGGAAGTCCTATGGTCTGGGGTGTACAGGAGGTCAGACTGGATGATCACAATGGTCCCTTCTGGCCTTGGAATCTTTGACTCTAGAATCCTTTATAACAAGGGCAACCTATCCATGTTGTATTCTAAGGGTTGTTACATTGGCATGGTATGAGCACTTGTGCTAGATCCCCTGAGTTTACTACTATCATCCAGCCTCAGGAGTGGTCTCCTATCTAGTGTACCTGTACCAGTAAGCCTGTTCTATTAATGGCTTGCAAAACCTTGCATCCTATAGGTAGGATATGCCTCGTTGAGATAGGTACAGTCCTTTGTTTTGGTGCATATACCTGCTTCTGATATGATTTCCATTTAAGAATTCACCTTAATTTGTTCAAATGCCTACTGCCTTTGGCAGGTCTGTATTTTTACTTCAACTTTTCACCTATTCTGAGGGAAGAAAACAGGAGACTAATGGATGTTAAACAGGTATTAGTGGGGTTAGTGTGCAATCCTCAATGTAGTCCAGAAAATGAACAGAGAATTCACTATTTCTCTTCTGGCCAAAACAGGATAGTCATGTTAGGGTCCCCTCTGCCAGCCACTTAGGTATCTGTATGTTCATGCACAGTGCAATGAGATTCTTACATGGGATCAATACAAGGGGCTTAGACTGATACAATGACAAGTTGGAACTGGAAATACAATGCACACTATTATCTCTGCCCTCGGGGTGGCTATTTTTCTGCTACCACAGGACTGCAACCCCACCTTCTTGGGCTTTGATCTTAAAGCGGAATTAGTTATATCTAGATTAAATTGATTAAGGCAGCATGCATGTCTCCGGGGCTGTTGAAATGCAGATGGGTGAGCAAAGAACACAGACTAGGTATCTGCATAGGCTGTTCTAATGCCCCAGTCTAGCATGAAGGAATGCCAAGCTGCTGGAGATAAGTGACTGAGACAGAACAAGAAAAAGTGGAGGGTCAGTAACCCCCTTTGTAACATCAAACGCGAAACACTTCAGTTTAATGTGGCTAAAAAACCTCATCCTCCATAGCTGCTGTAGAACCACAAACTGGTTGTTTGTAACTACAGGTCAAATTTCAGGCAGGTTTGCAAGCGCTAAAGAAAATCCCAACGTACGGTTTGAGTAGACTCTTGTGCACTACCCATAATTCATGCCCTGTGGCTTGCCTAGCACTCTCCCCCATGAAGGAGGGGATTAGCTGAAGGCACTGGATGGGGTTGCTGGAGATTGGGGTCCAATTACTGGCTCTGCCCCAGCCATCTCATGTGACCATGGCAATCTGCCTTGGGTAAAATGAAGCCAGGTGTGCTGCAAAGGGTGCAGCTACTTATGGTGCTTGGGGTGTGAGCATCCAGTGATGGGCCCTGTTGCACTAAGCTGCTGTTGTCTCTTTCCAAGTAATAGTTTTTTTGCTTTGATAGTTATGGGCTTCAGTATGTGCCCACCTCACTGATCTGGACGCTCCTACCACACTGAGGAAACACGGCTAGGGGGCCAGATTTGGTTTAGTTTAAAACATTGTCAGGAAAGAACAGCATGCTCTGGCTGCAGCACTGGGAACCCAGTGTTGTGAGTGGCAACGAGCAGAAAAGGCTCGTCCAGATTCTGCCTGGACTGGATCTATTAAAGCCAGGGAGTCCTCTTATGACAACTGCGTCCAGCAGCAGTACTGCACACTGCTCTAGGAAGAAGAGGTGGTCCCGCTCAGAGCAGTAAACCAGTTCATTTTAACTCTCCCAAGAGTGAGGTCAACCTAAATTTGCCATTCACAGTCTGCATTCGAGGTCTGTTTTGCTCAACAGTGGAGCAGGCTGCTGTTCTCTTATCATGCTGCACCAGGCACAGCTATTTCAAGCATAAGGTAGGGGTAGCCTAGCACACAGCTGCATCCACGTACACTCTCAACTCTGCATGCAATTTGGGCAGACAATCGTGTGTGCAATTTAACATGCAGCCCTGGGCTTTACTAAGATCAGACATGGACAGCGATCAATAGCTCACTACCTTTGTCTCTATTTAGGAGCAAGAGACCCTTCCATACTAGCTAAAAGCAAAGCCCTATATTCTGCTAAGCAAGTTGTGCCACTCTCCACAGCGTGACTGGCCACAAGAACACAAGCAGACATAGATCCAAAGAGTAATAGGTTTATTTTACACAGAATAAGTTCGAAGACTATATATACACACAGCTTCACAGACATACTTCTGTACAATAGAGAATGTCCTCAGATATGAAGAGAATGGCTGGAGCTTCAGCACACCTGCATCATCATGGAGGTCACCATATTCTCAAAGGCCCTAGAGAAGGAAGAGTATGAAATATTAAAGAAAGAGAAGACAGTCCACCACACTGAGATCTCTCATACAAAGAAGCTCTTCAGTTAGTAGGTAAGATATACCATTAAAAATGCTTAAATAGAAGTTAACTTCCCACAGGCTTGACTATAAATATTTCATTCCTTACCACTGGTGCACTGCATTTCACAAACCATTACTTTTCTTCTAATAAAGCTGAAGTAACCATGGTTCTTGCCCTGTCAGTAGACCACAGTCATTTTAATGGCAGGAATATAGAATCTGCTTTTGCATATGCATCCATGGGGGGAAAGGGGAGAAACACTCACTGGTCCCACAAAAAGCTTTGAATATAAAAAGATGGACAGTACCCTGTCAACTGTTTTGAGAATTATGCATTTCGGAAACAGTCTCCTCATCCTTACTCCTCTACAGAGGCTGAATTGTGGAAAGCTACAGCCTGCCTATTTAGAGGTGTCCAGTGGACAAGGCTGTTGACAAAGTATTATCCACCATGTTTCAATAAAAAGAATATTTAAGTGAGATCCATTGGTAACTTTTTTAAAGTAACCTCAGGTTCCTGAGTCAGCATTTCTAATATCTGTTCATAGAGCTACTAATGAGTGTGAAGTGTGTGGGAGCCAGTTAAATGTAGCCTCTAAGGAGGACAGTACAATGGTAAATTTTCTATTCTGTAGAAGTAGTCCAAAGAGAGTACAGCTGCATGTTTTTGGAAAGGAGTTTGCAGCTCCCAGCTTTAAACTGATCACCCACAGAAATTACAATCTTAAAAGCTAAATCCTAATAGCTCTGCATGTCCCAGAAAGGCAACAAAATCAAAAGGATTAGTGGAAGCAGCTCACTCACCTGGAATGAATGCAGTCCCCAGGGTTATAAAAGGGGTTGCACATTACATCTGTGTATGAATTATGCAGCTTTCGGAACATCTGAAAAAAGATCATGGTTTGTTTTTAATTAAAACCTAGAAAATAACTGGGGGAGGGGGGGAGGGTTGTTTGTTTCTTGGCTTCTCAGCATTTTATGAATAAGTGGAAGGAGCAAAAATACTGATCTGGCAAGTTGCATTCTGATTTCCTGCACTTACGCTGCGGATCTCATTGTCTCGAAGTGCTGTGTTTGAAGAATCTACCACCATAACAAACTTCACCTTGGAATTTGTCACGTAGCCATATCTGTGCAGCTGATTAAGGAACATATTTTTGACACACAAGTGCCTGGAAAAGCAACTAAAATAAGACTTAAGTACAGTCAAAAGTTTACAAGTGGCTGTCACTCTCAAGATGGTCACAATATAATCCATGTCTAGATGAGATAAGCAAGGGATTGGGTTCTAGAAATTGGACTTATTTTCTACCTTAGTGTTACCATTTCTGAAAGGATGATAATAGTGACCTAGCCTCACGAGCATAGAGAGGGTTGTTTGTATAAAGATTTGTAACTAGAAAGAGTTATGACAGGCTGTGTTTTTAGACAGCAGCTACCTTGCCTGCCTCCCAAGGCATGTATTACTGTTCAGTAATTGCATAAATGGCCTTCAATCATCAGCCACTTTGATGATAATTTCTTTGGCTCTCAAGAAACCCACTTCATCAAAGAATTCTGATTATTCTTTGCAGCCATGCCCATTTGGGTAGCTAATATCACAGACTTAGTGATCACTCAACATCAATGTTATAATACAGAATCTTTGAAGTTAGCAGCAGGATTATGAAGACATGGATATCCTCTGTCAGTTACATTAGTCAGAAAGTGAGGACATTTCAATCCATGTGATTAAAAGGGAAGCAGAAGGCCAGCCACAGAAATGTTAAAAGATCAACTAGTCTCATAACTATGAGGTATAGCTGCAGTCCTGAAATATCAACTTTGTATATGAGAAAGCTTCTACAGTCTTACCACCTTCAGCTGCATTACCAGAGGGGGTCCAATGCCTCTGCCTCAGTCACAGACAAGTTGTCACAATTTTAGCTAAGTGAAGAACTAGATACTGTATTTATAAATTGCGAAATCTGACCAAACCATAGCTAGCTTCAGATGCACCAAACTTCCTCATTGCAGACAGGAAGGGCAGGTCACTACTGCTTAAGTCAGTCTAACGTGTGCTGTTCAGGTGTGTGAAAAAAGACACCCTCCCTGAGTGATGCAAGTTAGATTGACCTACGCACTGTCTACGCTGGCGCTATGCTCTCCCGCCAACACAGCTTCCGCCTCTTGCGGAGGTGGAGTAATTATGCCGACGGGGGAGAGCTCTCCCATTGGCATACAGCGTCTTCACCAAACGTACTACAGCAGGTACATTGATGTAGCGCTTCTAGTGTAGACCTGCCCTAAGAGACAGGGCCAAGAATAAACAGAACCGATATTATTCAGACAACACCACATCTAAACAACCCTTAGGACTAGGACTTCTATTTGACACTGCAGCAGCAAATCTTGTGTTGTGAAATAACTGCTCTGTGTGAATAGACCAATGCATGTTGCCACAATGCCGCCAATAAGCCACAGTGGTTGCCTGTGCAGAGCGGCTTGCAGGACTGGGGCCAAGCTAAGAATATATAAACCCATGCTGTTTGGATGCTGAATGTCAGATGCCAATACCCACTTAATGATCACAGATACTGTGGTACAAAATCAATATTTGAAGTGAAGGGTTTCTAAAAAATAAATTTAAAAATACAGGACCAGATGCTCAACTGCTGTATATCAGCATAGTTCCACTGACATCAGTAGAATTACTGATTCACACCAGCCAAGGCTCTGACCTCTTTTAATCTTCACCTTTTGCAACAGTCATTGCTATTTACATTCCTTGTATCAACCTAGTTTTACAACAGCCAGCAAAAGGGATGGTTGTCCATTTAAAGGTTTCATTTCTAGGTTTTTTCTTGCTGCAGTGTTTGTGTTTCAAACAGTTTAAAAAGCAACCATTTTCATTTTTTTTTTTTTAAATAGAGGAAACATTTCGACTGGTCTTAAGTTTCCAAAACACTGGTTTTCACAAAATGTCAATTGACAGTGTCCCTTTAAGCACTCTCTCAGACGTTGTTTTGGTCAAATGAAAGTACCAAAAATCTATGAGACATATGCATACTAATCCACAGCACACTTGCCCATCAAAAATCAAGCTGCACAGTGGTTATTTCACAACACAGGATTTACAGCTGCAATGTCAAATGAAAACAATGGTAAATTCTAGAACTGGAAGACAGATACTTTTAAAACCTAACCCTGCATTCCTTGCTTTTAGAGAACTCAGTGGGAGTTCTGGCTGAATAAGGACAGATTGTAGAAACAGGCCTTATAGAGCACACCTGTCAGGCATTAAAGATACACTTTGTAGTCTTCAGTTGGGTACAGAAGTCCCAGATAGAGCTCTCTCTGATCCACAAGGGCCTTCCCCATGGCAGAGATCTTTTCATCCACAACATCCAGGGAAGTGTGCACTGTATAATGGAACTTCAGTTCATTTTCTGTTGGGATGCTTCGGATGTACAGGGGATAATTCTAGAAAGGATGATAACAAATTGTGCTAACCGGGGCTACCTATTCTGTGCTCAAATAGATTAGCAAATGTAAGTGTAGTGCTCTGAGGATGCAAACTGCTATTATTTAAAAACTAGCTATTTTTAACCACAAATTCTATTTAAAGATATCATAGAATGCCACTGGTCTACACCTGTATATCGCAACATGTATTTATACAGCAGATCTAGCTTTATCCTCACCTATTAACAGTCTTTAGAGGAGGACTACTGCCAGGTTTACATTTTCTCATAACACAAAGGTAGCGAGTGATCCATCCATCCCCCTAGGTGAGACTGCCCCCAGCCCATCTAGTCATCTCATTGGAATCATCCTTCCTGGAAGAAAGTCCATAAAGGGCTCCCACAGAGCGAAGAAAACCTGGGGCTTCCCAGCCACTGCTCCAGCAACCCCTAGGCCAGCCTCTAAACAAGCCCCCCGCAACTCCCAACCCAGCCCCCTCCCCCCTAGGGCTCCCGCCCCCCCATCTCCCAACCCAACCCCCTCCCCCCTAGGGCTCCCGCCCCCCCATCTCCCAACCCAGCCCCCTCCCCCCAGGGCTCCCGCCCCCTCCCCCTACGGCTCCTGCCCCCAAGACCCACCCCCTATTACTCCTGAGTCCTGCCCCCATGACCCACCCCCTACTGCTCCTGCTCCCCCCAGCCAGCCCGCCCAGCGCCGGCTTCCTGCCCTGGCCGCAGCGCGCCCCGCCCCCACCTCCTTGGCGATCACGGCGATGCACACCGCCATCTTGGACGCCGGCGCCCCGCCTCGCCCCGCCCCTATCACGTGATCAGGCGGACGCTTCCTCCTCCTGCTCCTCTCGGCGCGCGGGACTCAGGTCATGTGACTGTCTGGTGAAACGGGCTCACGTGACCCGGTCCCGCTCCCAGCGGGCAGGAGGAGGGCGCCGGTTGCCATGGAGAAGCGCCTGCTGCTGCCCCTGTGCCTGTGCTGGGCCCTGAGCGCGGGGGGCGCCGAGCGCAGCGGGCTCCCCAACCTCCTCATCCTGCTCATGGACGATGTGAGTGAGCAGGGGAGGGGCACTTTGTCATGGGGGGGAAGCTGAGGGGTTGTCGCTGGGCGGGGGGGGTTCAGTGGGAGTTGTAGGTGGGGGGCTGGTCACTGGGGGAGTGGAGACTGGGGGGGTTCACTGGGGTTGTAGGTGGGGGGCTGGTCACTGGGGGGTGGAAGCTGGGGGGGGTTCACTGGGGTATAGGTGGGGGGTTGGTCACCAGGGGGGTGGAGCCTGGGGGGGGTTCACTGGGGTATAGGTGGGGGGTGGAGGCTGGGGGGGTTCACTGGGGGTGTAGGTGGGGGGTTGGTCAGCGGGGGGGGTAGAGGCTGGGGGTGTAGGTGGGAGGTTGGTGACCAGGGCTGTGGAGGCTGGGGGGGGTTCACTGGGGGTGTAGGTGGGGGGTTGGTCAGCGGGGGGGTAGAGGCTGGGGGTGTAGGTGGGGAGCTGGTCACCGGGGGGGGTGGAGGATGGGGGGGTTTCACTGGGGGTGGTGGAGGCTGGGGAGGGGGTTGTCACCTGGCTGCTTGGATGTGCGATGATTGTAGGAAGGAGGGGTTTAGATTTATTAGGAACTGGGGAAACTTTTGGGAAAGGGGGAGCCTAAACAGGGAGAATGGGCTCCACCTTAACCAAAATGGAACCAGATTCCTGGTATGTAAAATTAAAAAGGTTGTAGAACAGCTTTTAAACTAAGAGCTGGGGGAAAGCCGACAGGTGCGGAGGAGCATGTGGTTCGGATAGAGACATCCCTCAGGGGAGGATCTACTAATGGAGATTCTCTATGTCCTAATAAGGAGGAGAGTATGGAAGATAAAATACAGGTAGGATCTGATGAGAAACAGTCAAATGAAAAAAAAGTCTCATGCAATTGCTAGCAATGCCCTTCTACTATTTACATTGGCCAAACTAGACAGTCTCTTCACAAAAGATTAAATAGACACAAATCAGACATCAAGAACTGTAACATTCAAAAACCAGTAGGAGAGCACTTTAATCTCCCTGGACACTCAATAACAGACTTAAAAGTGGCCATTCTTCAACAAAAAAAACTTCAAAAACAGACTTCAACAAGAAACTGCAGAACTGGAATTAATTTGCAAACTTGACACTGTCAAATTAGGCCTGAATAAAGACTGGGAATGTCTGGGTCACTACAAAAAATAATCTTCCCTCTGTTGATACTCATCCCTTCTTGTCTACTGTTGGGAATGGGCCACTTCCACCCTGATTGAATTGGCCTCGTTAGCACTGACCCCCCACTTGGGCAACTCCCATCTTTTCATGTGCTGTATTTTTATACCTGCCTATTATATTTTCCACGTGGTGCATCTGATGAAGTGGGTTATAGCCCACAAAAACTTATGCCCAAATAAATTTGTTATTCTCTAAGGGTGCCACAAAGATTCCTTGTTGTTTTTGCTGATACAGACAGGCTACGTAGTCCTCTGAAACCTGTCATCATGTAATGGGTGACGGCTAAAAAGTGACAAGTTTTTAAAATGCTTATATACCAATGCTAGAAGTCTAAATAATAAGAGGGGTGAACTAGAGTGCCTTGTATTAAATTAGGATATTGATATAATAGGCGTCACAGAAACTTGGTGGAATGAGGATAATCAGTGGGACATAGTAATATGTACGAAGGCCAGAATTGGGGGGGAAGGGCGCTTAAGGATTGGGTTTGCAAGGCCTCAGTCTTGCAAACTACTCCATGTGGCTGCACCGCTGAACCAACACCAATGAAGTCAACAGGGCTCCGTGCGAGCACAGGGGTCTGCCCACGTGGAATAACATTTATAATCGGGTCATTATTCACTCTTAGAACAACTTACGCATGATAAATATTAAAAATCGTTTACAATGATATTTGTTTAGTGGCAGCGTTTTGGGAGTGTTCTTGGAATTTGGGTTAACTATTTGAATAAAATTATCTGATACCAGTCATTGTTTCTTTATCAGATTAAAAATCTTCATTTGTATTCTGAAAATTGGAATGCTCTGATGTGCCCCTTCAAGCCCTTTCCAGATTTTATGTAAAAGTTGTAAAGCGGTGGAGAGGCGTATCTGGACCCTGAATACTTTAACAGCTGCGTTTGGATTAGTGCGTTATTGCCCCAGTCTGTGCTGGGTACGTCTACACTGCAGTTCGACACCTGTGGGGTTGGTACGTGCCAGCTGTCTCCGGCACGCAGGGTTTGGGTCACAGGGCTGTTTAACTGTGATGTAGAGCGCCTGCACTCTGGGACCCTCCCATCTCGCACGATCCTAGAACCCAGGCTTCAGCCTGAGCCCAAACATCTACATCACAGTTAAACAGCCCCTTAGCTCAAGCCCCACAAGTTTGAGTCAGCTGGCATGGGCCAGCCGGAGGTTTCTAATTGCAGTGTAAACATACCCACTAAGGCACCTATCTTGCAAAAAAACATATGCATGCCTTTAACTTCACACCCATTGGTAGTCTTACTGAAGACAAATGGGACTACTCAGATGCATAGAGTTAAGCATGCATGTAAGTCTTTGTGGGATCAGGAGCTAAGCACCTATGTGTTTTTTCTAGTAGTCTAGTCATAGACAGCCCTAGTTATTGTGATTCAGCTACTGCCTTTGGAAAATTATTCCATTGACTAACTGATCACACTGTTGGAAAATGTTTCTGAATTTTTAACTTGAATTTTTCAGGGTATTACTACTTCTTATTCCACCCTTAATCTCCTAAAATAGTTGGCTTCCCCTTTTGAAGTCATTGTTACCAAAGCCATGTCTATGCTACAAAAATATCCATTTGTGTCAGCAGTGGGTGTGGTTGAACCAGTGCAGAACAGAGTACAGCTCAAGTGTGGACAAGGACAAACCATGTTCAGCACATTTTCAGAAATTGGTTAAAATTAGGGCTGTCAAGTGATTAAAAAAATTAATCGTGATTAATCGAGTGATTTAAAAAATTTATTGCGCGATTAATCACACTGTTGAACAATAATAGAATACTATTTATTTAAATATTTTTGGATGTTTTCTACATTTTCAAATATATTTATTTCAGTTACAACAGAATACAAAGTGTACGGTGCTCATTTTATATTTATTTTTATTACAAGTATTTGCAATGAAAAAAAACAAAAGAAATAGTATTTTTCAAAGCACCTAATACAAGGACTGTAGTGCAGTCTCTTTATCATGAAAGTTGAATTTAAAAATGTAGAATTATGTATTTTTAAAAAATGCATTCAAAAATAAAACAATGTAAAATTTTGGAGCCTGCAAGTCCACTCAGTCCTACTTCTTGTTCAGACAATCACTCAGACAAACAAGTTTGTTTACATTTGTAGGAGATAATGCTGCCTGCTTGTTGTTTACAATGTCATCTGAAAGTGAGAACAGGTGTTCTCATGGCACTGTTGCAGCCAGTGTTGCAAGATGTTTACGTGCAAGATGCGCTAAAGATTCATATGTCCCTTCATGCTTCAACCACTATTCCAGGGTACATGTGTCCATGCTGATGATGGGTTCTGCTCGATAACAATCCAAAGCAGTGTGGACCCATGCATGTTCATGTTCATTATCTGAGTCAGATGCCACCAGCAAAAGATGGATTTTCTTTTTTGGAGGTTCAGGTTTTGTAGGTTCCGCATCAGAGTGTTGCTCTTTTAAGACTTCTGAAAGCATGCTCCGTGCCTCGTCCCTCTCAGATTTTGTAAGGCATTTTAAATTCTTAAACCTTGAGTTGAGTGCTGTAGCTATCTTTAGAAAGTTCACATTGGTATCTTCTTTGCATTTTGTCAAACTTGCAGTGAAAGTGTTCTTAAAATGAACATGTGCTGGGTCATCATCCAGGACTGCTATAACATGAAATATATGGCAGAATGCAGGTAAAACAGAGCAGGGGACATACAATTTCCCCCAAGGAGTTCAGTCACAAATTTAATTAATGCATTATTTTTTTAACAAGCGTCATCAGCATGGAAGCACATCCTCTGGAATGGTGGTCGAAGCAGGAAGGGGCATATGAACGTTTGGCATATCTGGCATATAAATACCTTGCAATGCCGGCTACAAAAGTGCCATGCAAATTCCTGTTCTCACTTTCTAGTGATATTGTAAGTAAGAAGAGGGCTGAACAGAGCCTAGAAGTCCACTCAATTCTACTTCTTGAAGTTTTACATTTTGTTTTTGAGTGCAGTTATGTAACAAAAAAAAAATCTACATTTGTAAGTTGCACTTTCACAACAAAGAGATTGCACTACAGTACTTGTGTGAGGTAAATTGAAAAATACTATTTTTTTATCCTTTTTACAGTGTAAATATTTGTAATAAAAAAGAATATACACTTTGATTTCAATTACAACACAGAATACAATATGTATGAAAATGTAGAAAAACACCCAAAATACAGTATTTAATAAATTTCAAAACTGATTAATCATGATTAACTCAAAAAAGTTAATCGGGTGAGTTAACTGCGATTAATCAACAGCCCTAGTTAAATCCAAACGTTGCACCACTAAGAGCTTCAGAATGAAACAAACGATAAGAAGGAAGCTGACTTCATTAATTTTCAGTGTCCATACTGAGAAAAATGCAAAGAAAAACAAATTAAATAAAGAGCAAAAATCTCAGATGAATTAGTTTTAAAATTCTTTGCCTTTAACCGTCTATGATGGTGTTAGTAACATAGTTAAATAAATGTATTTGTTTACAAGATAGGATTTTTAAGTTGGCAGTGTCCCCTCAAGTTGCTTCTCTTTGAAGATCTGCATTTATTTCTTTGGATCCTTTCTTGGCAGGAATGTGTTGCACGTAGTTTTGAGCTTCTCAGAAAGCTAGTGGAGGGTGCGTATGGGCCAGAGGTGGTGTGCCAACTCATAGCTGTCACCTACCTGGCCACCTTGTGATGACTTGATGTAGCTGCCCACCTACATTTCCCATTTCGTATTCAGGATTATTTTCTCCCAAGTGAACTTTAATTTTTGGGACAGGGATAATCTCTCCATATATCTTTGTATAGCACCAAGCATAATGTGGCGCAGGCCCTGACTGGAGCTTCTGGCTGCTACAGTAATAAAAATAAACCTTCCTTTGGGCTTTTGCCTGTTTCTCTGATCTTTTGGAAGTATCTGTGCCTCCTCCATTGTGTCAATGAATTTGATCACTATACTTTTCTTTTCTCCTTCCTTATTGCTGGTAAAGATATTGAACAATACAGAACTCAACACTGACCCCTTTGGAACTCTTCTTAATTCCATGTCTTGGATTTATGTTGTACCATTTCATTGCTCTCTGCTCACGATCCATCAGACAGCTTTGTGTCTTTTCTGCAGTATTCTTTGTTCTGATGTCTCTGTTAGACTCTCAAATGGGGCTTCATTGAAAGCTTTCCCAAGATCTAGATGTATTACGTTCTCTGCATTTCTTTTGCCCACCTGATACGTGGCTGTAGTAAAGAAAGCTTTTGAATATTTAAGGCAGAGTATAATCTTTATGCAGGCATAGTGCCTAATTGCTCATTAAATTGCTCCCTTTTTGCTTCAATATTGTTTTTCAGGATTGAAATTAGCCAAATGGGTTGGTAATTTTCTAGAGCTCCCTTTTTTTGCCCAAAAGAGGCTCCTGAGCAGGAGCTGTATGGTCACATTGGCTTAGGGCAAAGATGTGTGGCTACACTATGGTAAGACCATCATCTGGCAAACTGGCATAGACAAATGGTGTGATAATGGCACACTTCTCTCCTGAGCTTCGCTTTTAAAGGATACTCCTCAATGCCCTCAGTTATTATGTAACCCTACTTTTTTACTTAGATCTTCACTGTGCATTTCTGATTACATATATCCAGTATTTGGAAATGTAGGCCTGCAGTGTATAATTTTATAATTAAGATGCTGGACCGAGACTGAAGAGATCTGGGTTCTGTTCCCAGTTTTGCAATAGATTTCTTTTGTCACCTTGGGCAAGTCACTTAATTTCTCTCTGTCCGTCAGTTCTGATCTATAAATGGTGGCAGTAATACTTCACAGAAGGGTTGTGAGGATAAATTCACATAGTGTATGTGATATTATAGTGATGAGCACTATAGAAGAGCTTATAAAAATAAAAATTCTACTCTGGTCCAGAAGGTAGTACAGTAGTTTACAGAAAGCTAAAATTACTTCTGTGTCTTTTTGGTATGGTCTTTCTGCAGATGGGTTGGGGTGATCTGGGAGTGTTTGGAGAGCCCTCTAAAGAAACCCCTAACTTGGACCAGATGGCTTCAGAAGGGATGCTCTTCCCAAATTTCTACACTGCTAACCCTCTGTGCTCTCCGTGTAAGTAAACTTCAGTTTATACTACCATGTAAAATTGCCACCTTCTGAGAAGATTGGGATGTTTGCCAGCATCTTACATAAACTAGCAACCAAACCAGTGATTACCCTTAAGGCAGTGTTAGGATTTGGAGCTTTCATCTTGCATTTTGCTTCCTTTTAATTTTTTTCTTGAGGAAAAACTACAATCTTCTGTTAATACAAAACAGTATTTTAGTCATCAAAACATTTCATTTAAAGGATTTTTTTTTATTCTGTTTTAGCCTTCAGGCCTCTGCTGCTGAATTATTTCATCTCTTCCCTCTTCGGGGCAATCAGACAAAACAGTATCTAAATCTTTGTTGGACAAATCCAACAGGAAGGAAGCACACAATGGGCTTGATTCTTTTCTGTAGGCAGAACTTCCATTGACTTTGGGACTTTCATGCATGGAGCAACTATACGTTCCTGCCCATTGTCGTCATTGTTAGCCACTAAGAGATTTAGAGAGGGGAAAAGGGACAAACCCATTTGAGTCCCATGTAGATTTTACATCTTTGTCACTGTGTCTGGTTCTTCAAGTCTGATTGCCAGCTGACAGCTAAAATATAAAGGAGAAAAGAGGACTTTCTGGGGCCTCCATTCAGGAAAATGTTTAACCATATGTTTAAGTCCAAACCCATTCAGGAAAGCACTAAAACACCTGCTTAAGTCCCATTTACTTCAGTAGGATTTAAGCAGATGCTTAAAGTTAAACATCTGCTTAACTACTTTCCTGAATCAGAGCCTTGATCTTTATCATGCTACAGATGGATACCTTGCCTTTGTTCATTGTAGAAGTAGATAAAATGGTTTTGCCAAGGCAAGATAATGAATGTAAATTTAGCAAATAACTGATTTATCTTAGCTAGATTAAGATGTCTCCCATATACTCACCCCAGAAATACTGTTTAAAGTTACTTGGACAGAATGGCAGCTGCATTTCCTATCTGGAGGTGGTCACGTTTCAGTAGTGGGTAAACTGCTTTCTGCACACAAGGGCCAGATTCCAATCTCAGTGGAACTGGAGTAACTCCATTAACATCAGTGGTGTCACTTTGGATTTATGCTAGTGTGGCTGTTATCAGAATCTGGCCAAGTACGTACATCACTTTAGGATCCTTTGTGTTGATGATTACTCTTATCAACTAAACAGTAATATATAGCAGAAATTCCCTACAATCTCCAGTCGTTATGCGGTCATCAGCCAAAACATGACCTCTAAAGCAGATAATTTGTATAAAGAAAATAAGACACCCAATTCATGCTTTCTTTGTTTTGATTGTTTTATCTGCAGCACGGGCAGCGCTGTTGACGGGACGTCTCCCCATCAGGAATGGGTTCTACACCACGAATGCACATGCCAGAAATGGTGCGAACATCAGTGCTGCTTCTCCTGGAAATGCTTTTTCTTCCTTTATTCTTTGCCTTTTCGCTTAGCAGCAGGCATGGCTGAATATTGGCATTTGGCTCTGTGTTCTCCCTTCATGGGTTTTCCAGGAGGTACATTTTCAGAGTGACAACAAGGGATTGGCATGTAGCTCCACTGCACTTAATAAGAACAGGTGTGAAGTCTATTGCTTCTTACACATGATGCTGGAAAGGACGGACATCGCCAAATGTTCGCATTAAGCAAAAAGACCTAAGTTAAAATGTTAATCTGTTTGCTTCTGCTGGCTGAGATGTTGTTTCCTTGGGTGGGCTAATAAACATTGAGTGAAAGAAGAAAAGTGACATGGGATATGGTGTTAACGTCCTAGGTTAAGAACAAGCTGTTTAAAATCCAGTCTGTCATGGGGTTTACTAATCACTGCTGGGACACCTCCTTGTAGTTCATCTGGGGATTAGCTCTTGACCAGTCTAATGCCCCCTCCTTCAGTTGCTCATCCCACAGTCTCTCTCTCTCTGGACTCGGGTTGCTCCCTCTTTTGATCCGCTAGCCAGTCAGTGCCACTTTTCCAGTGGCCAGTAGGGGAATCCAGGCCTGCCCACTACTCGGGGTTCCAGTCCAGGGACACTATGCCCAGCAACCACAGTCTGCTCCAGCTCTAACCTTGTTGCCAATTCCATGGGCTTTTTCCTGCCTTTCTTCCCTATCTTCTGGCCCCCCTCTTCTCCCTGTGGCTATGTCACCCTCCCCTTGGGTTCTTGCCAGAGTCTGTATTCTAAGGCAGGATCCCAGGGCTTACCCCCTCAGGCCACCTCCTCATCTCTGATCAATTGCCTTCCTCACTAGGGAGTGACTGCAGAGCTCCTCCCTGCAGCCCTTCTCCTCCCACCAACTTCCTCTCTTTAGAAGCCTATCCCAACTCCTCCTCCAGCAGGGCTTCATCAGCTGTTAGGCCTTAGTAGTCCCTGCCTTGCTTCCTGATGCAACCTGTCCTGTAAGGTTAATTGGCCATTTTTAACAGGTTCAAGTCTTGTGTGGGGCGAACACCGTATCATACAGTCTTACAGAAGTAAACCTTTCCCAGCCAGTTAAACAAGGACAGTTACATAACACGATGCTGTCTGCCAGGAGAGCTCTCCTCCAGAACTCATGAAGGAATGTACCTGCTCAGAATGTCTTTGGGTTGATCTAGTTGGTGTCTAGTTCTAAAATTAGAGGTGCTTTATGAGACCATGCATTCTGGGCACACACAGCTACCTATTGGTTCACACTGTCCATCAGTAGGAGAACTTGGGTATCTCCTAACTCACTGACGGTTGTGCCCTGTGTTCTCAACTACAAAATATTGGAGGCACGCTATTTTGGATCAGCCAGTGCATTTTGAGCAAGTCCATTTGTCCTTTATTTAATTAATCCTTTGACTTATAAAAATGCACTAATTGTAGATAACTTCAAGCAGTTTGGCAAAAGTATAAACCAAACGGCCCCAATTTGCTCTCCTTACAGCCACCCCTACCTGCATCTACACTGTCCCTCCAGCCAACAAAGGCTGCATGTGTGAAGGGCTCTCTTACCTGGGTCAGTGAGTTTGCTGAGTCAGCTTGTTTCCAGACCTGGTGGGCTAGAGAATTTGAATCCTATACTATAGTATTGTTGGACCCTTGAACTAGCCCAATTTTTGGTCCAAATAAGCTTATAGGGATGTGTCCATAAGCTTTCATGACCTGCTTGCTAGCCTTAGTGATGAGTTAAAAAACATGTTCTTGTTTTATACAGCCTATACGCCACAAGAGATAGTAGGGGGAATCCCAGATTCTGAGCTGCTGCTTCCAGAATTGCTGAAGAAGGCGGGATATGTCAGTAAGATCATTGGCAAATGGTAAACTTGTCTTGAGATTCCTTGTTTGTATGTGTGTGTGATTCAGTAATGCGGAGAGATTGGGAGAACCAGAGTCTGAAAAAAACTTTTCAAGCTCAAACAGCTGTCTTTTCAAATCTGGGCAGGATCTTCCCACCTGCTGTGATTAATTTCTGAATAGAGTGCTACTGATTTATAGATAGATATAGCAAAAAAAGGCCCTCAACCCTTTGTGCTTTCATTCAGCACCACATTATGTTCATTTTCATCAGAAATCACAGCGATGATCTGTTGGAGCATGTCCCTTGCCCTCTACAATTTTTTGTCTTTGGCCCCTGCTGTATATCATTGATCCTCTGCAGATAAGTCTGACTTGTAAACTGTCGGCTTTTTTTTTTTTTAAGCAGCGGAATGTTAGGATAGAAATGAAGATACAGTCACATGAAGGAAACATGCTTGATATTAGACAGAGCTACAGAGAAGAGTGATGGCCTAATCTAGCAGAGAAAAGGGTAAATAAATAGACAGCGAAAGAGTATTGACCAAAGATCTGAGTGAACTACATCCCAAGAATTTTAAAAGAACTAAGGGCTTGATCCTGTTCTCATTGAAGTCACTGACAAAACTCCATTGACTCTTATGGGTGCAGGCCCATATCTTAGCAAAGGAAACATAAGAACTTGTGAACCTAATCTTCAATAAATCATGGCAGTCAGGAGAGATACCTGGCAACTAAATGCAACTGTGGTTCCTGTGCAGGGTAGGAGGGAAAAGCTGGAGAGCTGCCAAACAAATACAATAGGCTTCTTTGATGGGATTACTATTGTAAAAGTTGAAGAGAAGCCAGCGGGCATAGAACATATGAATTTCAATAAAGAACTTCTGTGATGTGATTGAGTCCCATTGGGTTTCTAGGTCTCCATGCTGGTAATTCACAATTCATAGTAGTACTGTGTAATAAATAAATGCATAAATAATAAACTTCAAAACTGCATAGATACCAACTTGATATAACATGTTTAACAAACAGAGTGATTGTTAATAATTCAACCTTCAAGTGGGGACCAGTATTAAGGTAGTCAGTTATAGAATCCATATTATTTAACAATATTAACAATATAAAGGTATAGATTCAACTGTGATCAAATTTTCCAGCAGCACAGAAATTGGAAGGGAAGTAAATGAATCTAAGACGGTGAATTATTTATTAGCCCAAATCCAAACAACAAAGTGGCCAGGAAAAATCGGATCAGTGGGCTGAGTGCATTGAGATGCATTCAGTGCTAATAAATGTAAATTCATACAGCTAGGGAAAGGAAATAAGCAGCACAAATACATATTGGTTCCAGACAGTTATCTGGAAAGCAGCGAGTCTGGAAAACCTTCTAGTGATAATAAAAAGCAAAGTAAACATGAACTCACAATGCAGTGCCGTTGTGAACCTAAGAATTGCGGTACATCAGCTGCTTCAGAGAAGGGTGCTGGCAGATGTGAGATAATCTGACCCCATTAAAGTTTCATCGTAACCCCTATTGGTTAGCAACTGGTTTAAGCCTTAAGCATGAGGTTTTATGTCTCTCTTAACCTTCTCTTTTAAGTATTTGCTATTACAACTCTGAATATTATTTGCAGTTTTGTTATAGCCATGTTGGTCCCAGGATATTAGAGAGACAGATGGGTGAGTGGTGGGACCTTCTACCACCTGTGGAGGGTGAGGAACCCCAGTGGGCTAGCCTGTACACCACCCTGGACCTATGGCCTGCCGGGGATATCGGTTGGTGGCTCCTTCATAGAGCCGTGAACATGAGTGTGTACCTAGCACAGTTCACCCCCATCCCCGACGCCCGTCCCTTTTGCTGCTTGAGGTGCATGCCTATCTAGAATGTGCCAGGTTGCAGCCTCTAATCCAACTCCTCCAGAACCTGTTGAGGTTCTGGCTGCACTTTTCCCCACATCTATTCATATATGCCCACCGGGTCCGTGGCCCCACAAGGTAGTGAGACCTCCTTGTCAATCTCCTTCTGGCACTGGCCAAAATAGCCATCTTCAGCACCAGGAGGAGGATGCTGGATGGGGAGGTGCTTTGCGACTGTGGGGCCTATTTCTGTTCCTCCCTTGGCTCACTCATCCAGGCAGAGTTCCTCTGGGTGGCGTCCACTGGCTCCTTGGACAGCTTTGAGTAGCAGGTGGGTGCTGTCCGGGGTTCTCTGCTTGGTGTCCCCTTCTGGATCCCTAGTTTTGAATCTGTGACCTCTACTGCCTGCCCTGTTGTTTCTTCGTTGTCCCCCATATTCAGTTGAGTCCCAGGTCCAGTGACTCCTCCCCAAAGGTTGGGAGGCGCCTTTAGATGCGGACGGGCTTGCTCCCCTCTGCCTCCCAGAATTTCAATAGGGCCTTTTATTGGGCCAACTTCTGTTGGTGAGAGACACAAGCTTTTGAATTTACGCAGAACTCTTCAACTCTGGGAAAGATGCTCAGAGTGTCTCAGTTAAATAAAAGGTGAAAAAGATAAGGAGTTAACACATGTCGCAAGAGGCCACTCATAGTGAAGTTAACAATTGAAGGAGAAAAGAGGGTTTATGGGTTCCAGATTGTTGTAAATGAGACATAAATCCAGTGTCTTTATGAAGCCCATGATTTTTGCTGTCTAGCAGAGTTATGAATTTAAAAGCTTCCAGGCTCATCTTTTGAAGGTGTTTGTGCAGAGGACTGAGAGGTCAGACATGGAGTGATTGTTCTGTAAATAGTGTTTGCCCACAGATGATAGGGTGTTTTTGTCTTTTTATCATTTTTCTGTGTGAGTTCATTCGACAGCATAGTGACTGTCTGGTTTCAACCACACGGTTGCTATTGGGACATTTAGTGCACTGGATGAGGAAACCATATGTTGTGATCGGCATGTGTAGGAACCATAGATCTTGAAAGGTGTGTTGTGGGGGTGTTGATCATCGCAACAGGTGGACATATGTCTGCAGGTTTTGCATCTGTTGTTCTGGAAGGGTCTAGCGGTGTGTCCTGGTCTGTAGGGAGCTTGCCTCTGATGATGAGCTTGGCGGGGTTGGGGGCATTGTTTGAAGGCCAGAAGAGGGAGTTCAGGAAAGATTTCTTTCAACATGTGGTCCACATCAAGTATGGGTTGTAGTTGTTTGATGATACCCTGTATGGGTTCCAGTGTGGGGTGGTAAATGACAACTAGGAGTGTACAGTTGTGGGGGCGGAGGGGGAGTGTTTGCTGTATTGAAGAAGGTTCTTTTGGAGTATTTGGGTGGCCCATTCCATGATGTGATCTACTTCTCCGGCGGAGTGTCCTTGTGCGGTAAAGGTAGTTTTAAGTGTGCTGAGGTATGTATCCTGGACTTTCTCGATGGGGCATACTCTGTGGTATCTGAATTCCTGACTATGGGTGACAGATGTCTTGGTGTGTTTGGGTTGGTTACTGGATTGGTGAAGGTAGGTGTGGTGATCTGGGGATTTCTTATATATGTAGTTGTCTGTAGGGCTCCATTGTTGAAGTTGATCATGGTGTCCAGGAAGCTGGTGCTGGTGTGGGAATGTTTTAGGGAAAGTTTGATGGATGGGTGCTGGTTGTTGAAGTTGTAGTGGTAATCTTTGAGGGAGTTTAAGTCCTCTGTCCAGAGGATGAAAATATCATCATTGTATCTCAGATATATCATTGGTTTTGTGGTGCATTTGTCCAGAAATTCTTCCTCAAACTGACCCATGAAGAGGCTGGGCAAACACAAAGAAAACCTGCACAACACCTTCAAAAGACGAGCCTGGGAGCTTAAATTCATAACTCTGATAGACCCCAAAAATCATGGACTTAATAAAAAAGAAAAGGAGTACTTTTGGCACCTTAGAGACTAATAAATTTATTTGAGCATAAGCTTTCGTGAGCTACAGCTCACTTCATCGGATGCATGCAGTGGAAAATACAGTGGGGAGATTTATATACATAGAGAACATGAAACAATGGGTGTTACCATACACACTGTAACAAGAGTGATCACTTAAGGTGAGCTATTACCAGCAGGAGAGCAGGGGGGAAAAAAGCCTTTTCTAGTGATAATCAAGGTGGGCCATTTCCAGCAGTTGACAAGAACGTCTGAGGAACAGTGGGGGGTTGGGGGAGGGGATAAACATGGGGAAATAGTTTTACTTTGTGTAATGACCCATCCACTCCCAGTCTCTATTCAAGCCTAAGTTAATTGTATCCAGTTTTCAAATTAATTCCAATTCAGCAGTCTCTCCTTGGAGTCTGTTTTTGAAGTTTTTTTGTTGAAATATTGCCACTTTTAGGTCTGTAATCGAGTGACCAAAGAGATTGAAGTGTTCTTCGACTGGTTTTTGAATGTTATAATTTTTGACATCTGATTTGTGTCCGTTTATTCTTTTACGTAGAGACTGTCCAGTTTGACCAATGTACATGACAGAGGGGCATTGCTGGCACATGATGGCATAGATCACATTGGTAGATGTGCAGGTGAACGAGCCTCTGATAATGTGGCTGATGTGATTAGGCCCTATGATGGTGTCCCTTGAATAGATCTGTGGACACAGTTGGCAACGGGCTTTGTTGCAAGGATAGGTTCCTGGGTTAGTGGTTCTGTTGTGTGATGTGTGGTTGCTGGTGAGTATTTGCTTCAGGTTGGGGGGCTGTCTGTAAGCAACGACTGGCCTGTCTCCCAAGATCTGTGAGAGTGATGGGTCGTCCTTCAGAATAGGTTGTAGATCCTTGATGATGCGTTGGAGAGGTTTTAGTTGGGGACTGAAGGTGATGGCTAGTGGCATTCTGTTATTTTCTTTGTTGGGCCTGTCCTGTAGTAGGTGACTTCTGGGTACTCTTCTGGCTCTGTCAATCTGTTTCTTCACTTCAGCAGGTGGGTATTGTAGTTGTAAGAATGCTTGATAGATAAAGACACTGGATTTATGGCTCACTATAAAAATCTGGAACGCACAAACCCTCCTTTTGTCCTTCAGTTGTGGAGGTGTTTACCACCCACTTCACCTTGAATGATCTCTTGCAACATGTGTTAACTCCTTATCTGTTCTACCCTGTAGTTACACTCTGAGCACTTTTCTTAGAGCTTCTCTCTCTCACCAACAGAAGTTGGTCCTATAAAAGATATTATCTCACTCCCCTTGTCTCTTTGAATTTTATGTTATCCTTGTAAATCTTCAGTCCCTCTGAATCTTGCCAAGTTCTTGGCCTCGGTGACATCCCAGGGCAGTGAGTTCTACAGTCATATTATGCTCAGTGTTGTTAAATGCAAAGTAATGCACATTGGAAAACATAATCCTAATTATACATATAAAATGATGGGGTCTAATTTAGCTGTTACCACTCAAGAAAGAGATTTTGGAGTCATTGTGGCTATTTCTCTGAAAACATCCAATTAATGTGCAGCAGCCATCAAAAAAGCTAACAGAATGTTGGAAATCATTAATAAAGGGATTGATAATAAGACACAAAATATCATATTGCCTCTATATAAATCCATGGTACACCCACATCTTGAATACTGCATACAGATGTGGTCACCCCATCTCAAAAAAAGATAGGTTTGAAATGAAAAAGGTTCAGAAAAGGGCAACAAAAATGATTAGGGACAGCTGGAACAGCTTCCATATGAGGAGAAATTAATAAGACTTGGACTTTTCAGCTTGGAAAAGAGACAAATAATGGGGGAATATGATCGAGGTCTATAAAATCATGACTGGTGTTGAGAAAGTAAATAAGGAAATGTTATTTACTCCTCATAACACAAGAACGAGGGGTCACCCAATGAAATTAATAGGCATTTGTTTAAAACAAACAAAAGGAAATATTTCTTCACACAACGCAGAGTCAACCTGTGGAACTCCTTGCCAGCGGATGTTGTTAAGGCCAAAATCATAACAGGGTTCAGAAAAGAACAAGATAAATTCATGGAGGATATATCCATTGATGGACCTTAGCTAAAATGAGCAGGAAAGCTGGGAATGAGCGACGGGATGAATCACTTGATGATGACCTGTTCTGTTCATTCCCCCTGGGGCACCTGGCATTGACCACTGTTGGAAGACAGGGTATTGGGCTAAATGGACCTTTGGTCTGACCCAGTATGGCCATTCTTATTATGTGTTGGGTGGTAAAAGTATTCCCCTTGCTCAGTTTTGAATTTACTGACTTTGAGTTTCATTGACTTCCCTCATTCTTGTGTTATGAGAGAGGGAGAACAGGAGCATCTAATCTACCTTCTCTAACTCATTTATTTATTTATTTATTTATTTTGTATGCTTTCCTCATATTCCTTCTTATTTGCCTCCTTTGTAAACTATCCCACTTTTTAAAATCTCTCTGCATATCAGATTTTCCGTTCCCCTAGTCACTGTGAAGATAGCGAGGGGTATTTTTGTTGTGGTGTGTGTGCGTATGTATGTGGGGATTCCACATGTAAAACAAGAGATATTTGTGGTTCTAATTTACACAGCCAGCGTGTGACTGGATCAGGAATCGTGAGGCTAAATTAGTGTCTGGTGTAATACCATTGATCTCATTGGGTTTACGCCAGGGACTAATTTAATCCAATGAGTGCACTTCCGGTCCCCAAATTTTAGAGATGATACAAAAGAGGGCAACAGAACCGATCCATGAGTTAAAGACAAAGACGTATGAGGAAAGACTGAAGTGACACATGCATGTTCAGCTAGAAATTTCTCCAGTTGAGACAGTGAGAGAATGACCATCTATAAATACTTTCACAAATGAAGGAAGTGAGTTATTCACAGTCCCAGAAGATGTGGAAGGAAAGGAGCAGTAGCCTGAAGCTAAAGAAAGAAAGTTTAAATTGCACATCCAGGACAATGCTGTTAACAGAAGCTTGCTTGTGTGTGGTGGGGGGGGGGGGGGGCTGGCTTTCATATGTACATTCTAAGGGTCTCATTGCCATTTACACTAAAGCCCCATTACACCACTCTGGCAGCATAAAGGGCCTTAAAGTAAATGTAATTGTAAATTACACACACTTTGTGGCCCCTTTACACAATTTACTGGTGTAGAAGAGCTTTGGTGTAAATGAGACTTAAGCCCTAAATTAATTATTATATGTATTTTTGCTCTGTTCTGGGCAGCTCTACCTAAGGCACCATCATCACAAATAATCAACATGTTTAGAGAGAAGAGAAGTTGGACATTGACTTAATGAAGCTACTGGAACAGTGGCAGGGATTTCTGTAATCTCCTTGAATGCACGTTTTTGTCTAGTCATTATTTATTTGGCTATCTAGAGTACTGTAACTAATCGCTGAAGTTTTCCTTTAGCATCATTGAAAGATATTTCTTTCTACACAGTTCTGATAAGATTACTATTTACTCTTTTGCAATGGACTCCTGAACTCTTTGTGGCTTTTGTTCCTAGGCATCTGGGTCACAGACCCCAATTTCACCCCTTGAAGCATGGATTTGATGAATGGTTTGGATCTCCTAATTGCCATTTTGGACCTTACGATAACAAAGCCACCCCAAACATCCCTGTTTACAGGGACAGGGAAATGATTGGCAGGTAATTCAGCTGTTTGTTCCAGGGCTCATTTAAAAAAAATATTTTGGAAGTTGTCAACGGCTTGTTTTCTTTGCTTTCCCTGTGGTCTTACTCAGCTGTCCTGTGGTCTACTGAAAGATGAGCATTCAATCAGTAAGCTATCTTCAGTTAGGAGAGGCTGGATCAGACACAGCAGTAACACCATGGCTTGGTTGGATGGGCAGCAATCTCCAGAAACCTCACACCATGCCAAGAGTTATTGGACATGAGCGAAGGAAATGTCAGTCATCAGGGATGAACTGGTTCAAATCCAGTAACTCCCCACTTAACGTCCTCTCTCTTAACGTTGTTTCAATCTTATGTCCCTGCTCCATTACAGAACATGCTTGTTTAAAGTTGTTCAATGCTCCCCTATAATGTCGTTTGGCCACCTGCTTTGTCCACAGCTGGCAGCCCCCCTATGCACCCTCCCCCCAGCACTTCCCGCTTGCCGGTGGACCCTGCAGATCAGCGCCTTCCCCCTGCTCCCCCCACCTCCTGCTCGCGGCAACCAGCTGTCTTGCGGCTTTCAGAAGGCTGGGGGGAGAAGCGGGGATGCGGTAGGCAGCCTCCCCACTCCTTCCCCTGCCTCCTGAATGCTGGGTTAGGGTTAGAGCATTTGTCACTTGGAGTAGGAGATTTTTGCAGCTGAGAGGGCAAGTCAAGATGGGACACTTGGAGGAGTACGGTGTTGAATGAAGAAGGATCTTGGCAGCCAGAGGGAGTCAGAGCGTTTGTGTCTGGGCAATGCCTGCTCGATCTTCCAGCTTCCTTTCTCACTCCCAGATTTACCTTCTTATTGAGAGAGATCCACGATCCAGTGGTTAAAGCACAGGGATAAGAAACAAATTCCTGAGTTCTAAGCCTGTCTCTCATATTGTGTCTCAGTTTTCCCATCTGTAAAATGGGAACGTTAATAGTGCCCTACTTTTATGGGGTTGTTCATGTTTTTAAAGCACCTTGAAGATTATAAGCACTAGATCTGTGCTAAATTTTAGTCTGAACTCCTCAGCTGTTCCCTGCTGGGATCCTGGCATCCTCATCCCAACCTCAAAAGACGAACTTAAAGCCCAGCTGCTTTAGTGCTGGGCTTTTATCTGGCATCTTGCTTTTTAATGATGGAATGCTCTGGTGCTCAAGTGTGAAAGGCTTCAAAGGCCAGTGCACTTAAGGAAGGGAAAGGGAGTGCCCAAAATTCCCTTACATGCCAGAGTGTTCACATATTCAAACCAGGTATTGCACCAGGCATTTCTCACAAGCGATGCAGCTAACTTCAAGGGTGAATGTTGGCTGCCAGGGGTTGTGGCAGGCTAGAGAGCCAAGAACAAAGTGCATGTTGCTAAAATGTGCTCATGGACCACAAATAGGCCATTGCCGCTCTAACCCATCTCCCACAGGTGCTCATCCAACTATGCCTCTTTTGGAACATGATTCCATTCCCTTACTGAAGGCATTTTTATATCTCCCCTCCCTGTTTGTGGTAATCCTTTCTATGTTTTCATCGTGACATCCCACCATTGCCTCTGACCTTGCAATTTCACTATTCTCTCCTAACCTTAAAAAAAACATAATGAACTTCTTTTCAGTTTCTGAAGAGAAATGGCTGGTTACATACCTTGTGAGTCTCTGCCCTTTTGTTGAGTAACAACAATGACCTGCCCATACAAGTAATAGGGAAGAACAGCCCTTTTGTTCTGTGTTCCATGGGTATTAATTTTTTTCCCTGGTTCTGCTTTATTTTAAGATATTATGAAGATTTCAAAATTGATCTGAAGACAGGGGAAGCAAACTTAACTCAGATCTACTTACAGGTATTATACATTTTCTTTCAACTTTATAACCCACAGCCCTTTTTTGTTACTTTTGGTTGAGAGTTTTAGGTGGCAGAGGATGATCCTGTTAACATTAATTTCTGTTGTCATTTACAGGAAGCTCTTGACTTTATTAGCAGGCAGCAATCCAGTCAACAGCCGTTCTTTCTCTATTGGGCTATTGATGCCACTCATGCTCCTGTTTATGCGTCCAAACATTTCTTGGGCACTAGCCAGAGAGGGTTGTAAGTCTCCTTTTATTTGATTTATGCTGCCTAGTGTGATAGTGGAAAACCACAGCAATATTTATTGGACTGAAGTAACATAGATCACTTGTTAAAAGTGTGTGTGCGTGCATGCGTGTGTAAATACACATACTAGGTAGCATGGAATTTCCTTTAGTATTTTTTTTTCCCAAAAAGACCGTGTCTAGTTTGATCTTTAATATATTTGTTGTAAGCCAAAGTAAAGATCATGTGACCCAAATGTAGGCGAAATCTAAGCTCCCTGGCCCACTGTGTGAGTGATGAAATGCTGTTCCGTGGAATGGGTGCTTTTGTTAGTCTCTTGACATAGTTTGATTAGAGCCTGGTTTAAAAGCCTATAAATCAGAACAGCAAACAGGCTCCACATCATGGAAAATGCAATTTACAGTGGGGGAAGGATAGCTCTGTGGATATAATGGACCTTGCTTTTAAGATCACAATTTCAAACTAGCGTCTATAAACAAAATTATTAGCCTCAGCTCATGGCAAAAGTGGCCTCTCCTTATACCTGGCTTCATTTATCTCAATTGCTGGTCTTTGTCCAAAAATGCTCAGATCTGAGCAAATTGGAGAGTCTGAATATCCAAGAGAGGCTGGTTTCTGCAGATTAAAAAGACATAAGTTACGAAGTGCACTGGTAAACTTCTATTATGGTACCTGATGTGTAGGTGAATTATTTCCCTCTTCAGCACAATTAATTCAGTATTCTTGTGGGCTGTAATGGAGTGCTTTATGTTCTGTAAGACTACCTGGTTTAAACTGTTTCTCCTCCTTTACTGGCTTGCATATTTGTAATCTCTACTGTCTCAGATATGGTGATGCAGTGCGAGAAATTGATGACAGCATTGGGAAAATCCTAAAGTCCCTTCAAAACCTGGGCATCAGTGAGAACACTTTTGTGTTTTTCACATCTGATAATGGAGCTGCTCTTATTTCAGCACCTAAACAAGGTAAGTGTCTAATGAACAGAGCTGGACCTCAAGCTCGGAAGTCCAGATCCAAACAGTCTCAGAGTTTGAAGACAAAGATATCTGAGGTTTTGGTTTGGTCCCTTGTATATACGAGAAGCTTTGAAGTTCAGGAGTGTTCAGCATTAGAATTCTGCCTCCAGTCCGTGCTTGTGTTAGTTGCTCACCTGGGCACACTCCTATTTAGACAAGCACATGTGCCTTCTGTACTGTGCCCCGGTGCTGATGGGTATTTTTTTTTTTTTACTCTTAAAAGCAGTACATTAGCTGCCTACCAACTGTATTTTTGCTCCCACCTTCTCTCTTAATCTGTTATTGGTAGTGTGTGTGCGGAAAGTGACATATACAGGGAAGTGCTAAGTCTCCTGTACTAGTTAATTAGAAAGACAAGTTAGAGGGCCATTATCAAATGCATATCTGAGTTTTCTGGATCATTATAAAAGATCCAGGAGTCCCAGTGTGTTTAGCTCTATGAAACGATATCAAGGAGAGTAAACGTTCCCTGCCATGGACAGCTTTGCTGCACTTCTCAGTTTTTCTCTTGTTTTCAAGCTAGTATCCTTGAGCAAACTGATTTTATTTCCCCCCCCCTTTTTTTTCCCATTTGGAGGTCAGGTAGTCTTGTGATGATCAGGCCACGAGATGGGAGGCTCCTAAGTTCTAACCTTAGCTGGGCCACTGAATCTGTGTGGCCTTGGGCAAAACACGTGACTCTCTGGGCTGTTCCTCGGTCAGTGCAGTTGTAAGGCTACATAAAAAGTGGGGACCTTCCCTGCCAACCAGCTGCTGTCTCTGAGCAGAGCTTTCCTGGGGAAATAAAATGTAATCTCGCTTTTGTCGTCATCATGTCTATCTCTAGTGAAACTCCTCTCTTAAAAGGGCACTAGAAAATCACTTGTCAGTCTGAAAATGTTCATCAAATCATAGAAATGTAGGACCGGAAGGGACCTCGAGAGCTCATTTAGCCCACCCACCTGTGCAGAGGCAGCACCAAGTTTCCCTAGATCAATGGTCACCAACCGATCGATTGCAATCGACTGGTCAATCCTGGAGACTCTCCCAGTCGATTGCGATCTCCAGTGGTGTAACGGGGCTGCTGCTAAGGCAGGCTTCTTGCCAGCCCCAGCTCCAGGCCACTCTCAGAAGCAATAGCACGCCCCTGCAGCTCCGGGGGGAGGAGAGAGGGCAGGCATCTCCGTGCGCTGCTTCTGCCTGCAAGCACCACCCCTACAGCTCCCATTGGAACTGTAGTCAATGGGACAGTGCCTGCAGAGTTGGGCAGTGCGCAGAGCCACATGCCCCCCACCAGGGGCCACAGGGGCGTGTTTGCCCCTTCCGGGAGCGGCATGGGCCTGGGGCAGGTAAGGAGCCTGCCTTAGCCCCGCTGCACCACCAACCAGGAGCTGCCCGAGGTAAGTGCCACCCAACTGGAGCTCACACCCTGAACCCCCTCCAGGAGACAGCACCCCATACCCCCTCTTGCACCCTTGACCCATCCCTAACCCCCTGCCGAGAGCCAGCACCCTGCACCCAACACTCTGCCCCAGCCTGGAGCCCCCTCCTGCATCCAAACTCCCTCCCAGAGCTTGCACCCCCTCACTGCCTCCTGCACCCCAACCCCTGGCCCCAGGCTCAGCCCAGAGCCCCCTCCAACACTGCAAAGCCCTCGGCCCCAGCCCAGAGCCCACACCCCCTCCCAACCCCCTGCCCCAGCCCGGTGAAAGTGAGTGAGGGTGGGGGAGAGTGAGTGATGGAGGAGGGCGGGGAATGAAGGGAGCAGGGCAGGGCTTTGGGGAAGGGGCGGGGCCTTGGGGAAGGGATGGGGTGGATCCTGGTTTGCCTTTAAATTCAAAAAGTGATCTTGGATGTAAGAAGGTTGGAGACCATCCCTGACAGGTGGTTGTCTAACCTGTTCTTAAAACCCTCCAGTGATGCGGTTTCCACAGTCTGCCTTGGTCACCTGTTCCAGTGCTTAACTATTCTTACAGTTAGAAAGTTTTTCCTAATATCTAACCTAAATCTCCCTTGCTGCAGATAAAGTTCATTCTTGTCCTGCCTCCAGTGGACATGGAGAACAGTTGATCATTGTTCTCTTTGTAAGAGCCCATAATGTATCTGAAGACTTATCAGGTCTCCGCTCAGTCTTTTCCCAAGACTAAACATACCCAGTTTTTTTAACCTTTCCTCACAGGTCAGGTTTTCTAAATCTTTTATCATTTTTGTAGCTCTCATTTGGACTCTCTCGTTTGTCCAGGTCTTTCTAAAAGTGTGTCATCCAGAACTAGAGACAGTACTCCAGCTGAGGCCTCACCAGTGCCGAGTAGAACAAGACAGTTACTGCCCATATCTTAGATCCGACACTCCTGTTAATACACGCCAGAATGATACTGGCCTTTTTTGCACCTCTATCCCATTGTTGACTCATATTAAATGTGTGATCAATTTTTACCTCTTTCACTCACAAGAAACATTTAAGATTCCTATAAATGAAAGAAGTTAGCAAAAAAATCTTTTTGGTTTGTTTCCTTTGTGCATTTGATAGCATTCCCTATCTAGTCTACTAATCTGTCAGTTTCTCCCCTGCTGAAAAGACCTTCACAAGCATCCACAGGAAAAACATGATCATGTTTATCAATTTTCTTTCCTGTAGGAGGTAGCAATGGTCGCTTTCTGTGTGGTAAACAAACCACTTTTGAAGGTGGGATGAGGGAGCCAGCTATTGCTTGGTGGCCAGGCCAGATACCTGCAGGACACGTAAGTATCTGGCCTTAACAATTTTAGGCCCAATCCAATGACAGCTGAAGTCAATGGAAGGAGTCCCATTGGCTTCAATGGTCTTTGGTTCAGGGCTCTTAGCACGTTCTCAATGGAATCACTGTGTCAAAACCTGGGATCTAATTAAGTAAAGAATTGGTTGATGTATATCATAAGATCAGTTAATTACATTATTGCAATCTTATACCATGAATGTACATGACTGGATTTTTTATGAACACCAAAGGCTTTGACTTTAGCTAGCAGGTACCTTTTTGTTTTCCTGGTCTGTTTAACCCCTTCACTTTTGTTGGATCAGACCTCTGAATTTTTAGTGGCGTATCGATGCAATCAAATGGAATGCAAGGACATTCCAGTTAATGTGTGTCCTGCTGCAGTGGAGGAACATGCTTTCTGGACATATTCTGTGTCTCCTGCAGCATCGAGTGATTTTAAACCTGACACTTCTGTTTTCTGTGGCTAGATAGCAGTTTCACTCAGGGAGGTAGAACACCACTTCTTTAGATGCATCTGAAGAAGTGGTGGTTTACCCATGAAAGCTTATGCCCAAATAAATCTGTTAGTCTTTAAAGTGCCACCAGACTCCTTGTGTTTTTGTGGATACAGACTAACATAGCTACCCTCTGATATCAGGGAGGTAGGTCTGTGTACCAGAATGTATCTATTTCCTGCCTGCACAAAGATTAAAATGATACTCATTCTAAAATAATCCTCAGGTGGTAATACCAGCATGTGCAGGAAATTGTCCCAGTACTCATTAAAGAAAGATCTAATCAACTCTCCATGCAGCAGGATTCCTGTTAAATAATATGCATTCCCTCCCCTTTGTAGATGTCTTTTATTCAGAAAGAAGTGATACTTCCTCAACTCGACACTGTGCCCAAGATCGCAAAATATTTATAATATTTATTTTTATAATTTACATTCCTTTTCAATGTTGTAAATCCGTTAAATCAGATAAAGATCATTTATAGAGCATATTTAGAGGCCACTGTCAATTTGGCTTAAAATTTGGAGCACAAGAGTGATTTGAGTTTGTCATTTTTAAAGGTTTTACAAAACCTAATAGGAATGTTTTTATGATTCTTTAAAATTTGAAATGAAAACAGTTTATTGTTTGAATTTAAACATTCCCATGAAGTCCTTGCAAGCCAAGCATAAGTAACCTTGGACTAGTGCATGAGAACACGAAATGGAAACTGACTATTTTGTTTTGTATGTACAAACTGAGTAAAGTGCCAAAAGTAAACAACCATCATAAATGGGGACAGGTACATTAGATATGAAAAAATAACTCTAAGATATAATTAGGAACAAAGGCAAGGAAATTTTTTTTTGCAATAACTTAACAACAGTAATCTTGTACATGCAGTATAGCTAGCTATTTTATGTGATGGTAAGAAGTGTTTGCCACAGATTGGAGCTCAGTGTGGTAGTTTGTGGTGAATTGCTTGTTGTTTTAGAAACAGCTGAAAGTTTAACCTAAATTTGTATGATCAACCATTTATGTATGGTTAACACATTGGCACCGAATGAGGTGCCATACTACCATGGGTGCACACACAAAGGCCCCGGTTTGGGAAGCTACCTCTATTTAGAAAAGCTCTTATGTATATGATTAACTTTAAGCACATGCTTAAGTTGTCTTATAAGACAGATTCTCAGCTGGTGTAAATCGTCGAGCTCCATTGATGGATCTGCCTTACTTGATTTTAATAACACTTGAGTAAATGCTTAACTTTAGGCATACACTTAATTCCTTGCTTGATTTGGCCTCATTTCAGGAAACTGGCCACCAAATGGTTACATGTATAGCGGTCTGATCCTGAGAGAGGTTATGATCCCACAATTCCCACTGGGCTCAGACTGCTTTTCAAACCCATGGTCCATAATGTGCTGCTTCATTCTGTGTTGTGGATGTGCTAGCATGAGTGATATCTTTAAATAAATACATAAATACATAATAACAGATATTGATAGGTCTTCTATGCTTGTATTCTTGCAATCAAGGCTCCTGCAGTCTGATGCCCACAGCAGAACTGTCCTCAGGTGAGAAGTACAGCATTGCTTCAGGTTTTTGGGTAGTGCAACTCTGCCGTTGCCTTCTAGTATTACAGTCGCATGTATAGTTTTTATCATGCTATTTCTCAACAATTGCCTTTTCTAGACATAGTGGGTGGAGAGCTCCCTTCTGCAGTTTTGTGCCTATTTTACCTATCGTATGTTGAAGTTACAGACTTCATATGGTTTATTGTAAATCCAAACTAATTAGCCCATGTTCCACTTATTCTGAGTGGATGCAAGAAATGTCACGTTACTCGTAAGCCTCAAAGGTGATAGAGAAAGAAGCTGAGGTCTTCTCTGCACCTACAGAGCAACGACTGCTGGACAATGTCAGTGGAAGCTTTTACCTTCCCAACCTGACCAGGAGGGAGGAGTCAGAGGTTAATTCAGAGTTAGTGCCCATGTAATCATCGAATTCTCTGGTAAATCAGTCCGGAGCTTTGCCTTCCAGGATTAGTGCTGGTGGTTTTTATATGGACACAAGTCCACCAGGAATTGGAGTGAACCACAAACTGTTTCATAGAAATGACCAAACATCTATCAGATGGTGACAACTTTTGGTTACTGTTGGCTGAGGCCACGTTCAAAGCCTTAACCTGCTGTTGAAAGTTTCCCTATCCTGTTGCCTGTGCCATTCAGTTGCTCAGTCCCGCCAAACTACTGGAGTTAGTCCTTCTCTGGAAGGGTCATGTCTCCTTGTTGGTGGTCAATTTGATAAATGCAGACTAATGCACATTGGAAAACATAATCCTGACTATACATACAAAATGATGGGATATAAATTAGCTGTTACCACTCAAGAAAAGATCTTGGAGTCATTGCTGATAGTTCTCTGAAAACATGCGCTAAAAGTGTAGCAGTAGTCAAAAAAGTGAACAATATTAGGATCCGTTAAGAAAGGGATAGATAATAAGACAGAAAACATCATAATGCCACTATATAAATCCATGGTACGCCCACACCTTCAGTACTGCATGCAGTTTTGGTCACCCCATATCAAAAATACTATATTAGAATTTGCAAAAGTACAGAGAAGGGCAACAAAAATGATGAGGGGTATGGAACAGCTTCTGTATGAGGAGAGATTAAAAGACTTGGACTTTTCAGCTTGGAAAAGAGACGACTAAGGGGGGATGTGACAGAGGTCTATAAAATCATGACTGCTGTGGAGAAAGTTAATAGGGAAGTATTATTTACTCCTTTACATAATATAAGAGGGGACCACCCAATGAAATTAATGGGCAGCAGGTTTAAGAGAAACATAGGGAAGTATTTCTTCACGCAGCGCACAGTCAACCTGTGGAACTCTTTGCCATGGGATATTGTGAAGGCCAGAACTATAACAGAGTTCAAAAAAGAATTTGGTAAGTTCATGGAGGATACATCCATCGATAGCTATTAGCCAACATGGTCAGGGATGCAAACTCATTTTCTGAGTGTCCCTAGCCTCTGGTTGACAGAAGCTGGGAGTGGACAATATTGGATGGATCAGTGATTGCCTGTTCTGTTCATTCCCTCTGGGGCACCTGGCATTGGCTACTGTCAGAAGACAGGATACTGGGCTAGATGAGCCATTGGTCTGACCCAGTGTGGCCATTATGTTCTTATGCTGACAATCTTACTGACTTGTAGTTTGGTTTTTTTTTAGTGGGTGTATTTCTTTATTTCAAATAAAAGGAATGTTGAGTAGAAATTATAAAGTGGACGGTTCTAATAAGAACATCAGTAGTGCTATAGGTAACCAGTTTGGGGCGGGGTGGGGGTCATGCCACAGGAGGCTGCTGCTGGTGTTGGCATCAAAATTCAGTTCCTTTTGGCTCCACGTTTTGGCATGTTTATTCATACACAAATCCCCTTTCTATAGCTTCCTCCCCCGCTCCATTTTCCAGGTGAATTCATAACAAGTCAACATTTTAAACATTCCCTGCATCACATCTGCCTTCTGGAAGGATCCAGCTGAAAGAAATTCATATTCTGCTGGTATTTGAATCCTTCTCCTTCTCTCTTTCTGCATGCCTCCTCCCCTTCTCTCCCCAGTTCCTGCTCCCTGAAGGAGAAAAGAACATATCAACCCAAAGACAGCATTGCAACCTTTTCTTCACTATCTCCCATGGGGCGCAAATTGAAATTGAATTAGACAGGGATATCAGGTCTGCTCGCTGTGATAACTGTAAAAGGATTTTATTTAAAAACACCCTGACATTTGTTCACCCAGTTTCAAATATTTAGCTTTTCTCCTTTCCTTTCCTGGCGGGGGCGACTTTATTAATTGTCGCCTTTGATTCACAGTTAAAGCTTGAAAGTGCTGATAACAGCAGTGGTGACTATTTCTTCCCGCAACGTGGCCCACAGCAAAAGGATTTCATTTTCTTAAAGACGTTATGTGTTCACCGAGAGTTTATTTTTTTTAAAAAAAGGGGGGGGAGAGCCCTTCTTACGTGCGTAATGCCAGCTGTTCCTCACTGATAGGAGGAATATCTGATCTTTCTCTTCTTTTATATGTTATTTATTTTCTCTGGGCTGTTACTCTCTCTGGATTTTTATTTTTCTTTTCATAAGAAAAAATGGAAGAGGCAACTAGAACGAGAGTGCTGTTGACAGGAGAAAATGGTAATTTTAAAAAAAATTCTCTGAAAATGCTTCACAGTTTTTATAAATATTAACCTTTTTTATTTTTTTCCCTCTCTTTGTGGTGCTGCAGAGCACAGATAAATCCAACTGGCTGTGGCACTGGTGTTTAATTTCCTTAAGAAGTTTTCTCTGCTTCACGGAAGAACGTTGTCTGAGACCAGAAACGTAACTGGATGATTAAAGGGAGTCATCTACATCTGGTTATGTTTAATAAAGGCCGGTACAAGAAGTCAGTGGTGGCCTAATAGGACTGTCACAGTGTATAAATTTAGGTAGTACTAGAGGCCCACGTCTCAGCTTGGCTATTGCTTCTTGCTGTCTGTTAGCCAAAAGATTTAGGTGACAGGATTGAGTGGCAACATGAAAAGTGATTTTTTTTTATTTGCCTTATAAACTGTGAAAGGCCTAATTACAAAGTCTTACATGCTAGCTGTCCTGTTCATTCCTGCTGCAGCAGGAGTACATGGAGAGCAGGCACGTTAATAACTATATCATGTGCCAAATATCCCCTTTATTCATCTCTCAAATCCTTCACGTGGCATTTCTCCAACCTCACAATGCCTGCCACGTGCAAAGGGTAAATAGCAGGGGGCGAACATACGAGACACTCAGCACCTCCTGGTGTGTGAAGTTGTCCACCTTTGTCAGGAACGGCTGTGATAGCTTCTTTGAAGGAGGATAATCTTGTTGTTGTTTAGTGTCAGGACCGGCTCGAGGCACCAGCAAAGCAAGGACGTGCTGGGGTGGCACAATTCCAGGGGCGGCGTTCTGGCCCTCCCCCCACCCCCTTTTTTTGTTGTTGCTTGGGCAGTTGCTCTCTCGGAGGTTGGGGTGGCAAATTATTTTGCTAGGGCCAGCAAAAAACCGAGAGCCGGCCCTGTTTAATGTCTGCACTCTTAACATGTGCACAGCCCTTTACAAAACACCCACACATACGGCAAGATCCTTGCTCTAAGGAGCTGACAATCTAGAGGGTATGTCTACATTGCAGCTCGGGGTGAGCCTCCTAGCCCTAGTTGACAGACTCATGCTAGCTCGGTGAAGGGGATGGGTCTTAGAGCCCGGACTCCAACCCAAGCAGGAATGTCTGCACTGCTATTTTTAGCCCTGTAGCATGAGCCTAAGTCAGTTGCTTTGAGACACACTGCTGTGGGTCTTTTTTTTATTGTCTGTTTGGTTTTTGCAGAGTAGATGTACCCAAAGGGAGCAGTGTGGAGACAGTAGAGCGTAAGGAGCAACAGCAGCAGCATACTAGCACCCATCAGAATGGGGTCAGTGGGGCCTGACCTCTCCCCAGATCTCTGTATCTGAGAGCTACACAAGAGCATTTTTGTTGATGTTTGAATCAGCAATAAAAACGCATGCCTGTCATTCGGGGGAGGGATAGCTTGGTGGTTTGAGCATTGGCCTGCTAAACCCAGGGTTGAGAGTTCAATCCTTGAGGGGCCCATTTAAGGATCTGGGGCAAAAATTGGGGATTGGTCCTGCTTTGAGCAGGGGGTTGGACTAGATGACCTCCTGAGGTCCCTTCTAACCCTGATACTCCCTGATCCTTTGCAAGAATCATAGAATATGTGTGTAACCATTATGTATGTGCAATGAGCCGCAGTCCCATTGGTGTCTGACTTAGTTGTTGGGGTGGAAGGCAATGGGAGGTTTGCCTGAGTAAGGACTGCAGGATTTGGTGCAGTGTATGTAGGTTTTCTTTGCTTTGGTCTGAAGGGAGAAAATATGGAACTCCCAGTACCAGTGCACATTATAAAACTAAAACAGTACGTCCAGATTCACTGTAAAATGGGACTGTTCCAGTTCCTTCTCCGAGGTTGTGTAGCAGAGAAAGTTGCAAGCAGCTTCCCTCCATCCTCTCTTCCAAATGAGGACATGAACCTTTAGAAGAGTTTGTGTACATACCTGCCTCTTGTGTTCCTCATGTGGAGGACCGTTTAATATTTCAGGTCCTGTGATTTAACCCCTTCCCATCCCTTACTGCCCACAAAAACAGGCTGATCCTAGCCTCTTCCAAAGTACCTCAGTGCACCAAAAGTTCTGAATCAAACTACGAGCCTGATCCTACACAATCTTTCACATGCCAGTAATCCCACTAATTTCAGTCAGATTACCCTACTGATTATAGGCTATTTTCATAAATAAGGGTTTCCAGGATCAAGCCGTCTCTATGCTTGCTGCTTTGCATTCTGTTTCTCCTGCATGGGAACAGGGGAAGCATTGCCCATATCCTACCTCAGTATTAAATGCTCCTGTCAGTGTTCTGTGATGAATTCAAACGGTTAAGAATTGAAATTACTGTAATCCAGCAGAGTGATATTGCAATGTTAAACGCTTAATCCGTCCCACTAGTGCAAGCACAGCATGCAGCCTGTTGTTTTTGGAAAGAGGAAAATACTGTAATTTTCAGAAATATCTTTTAATTCCCTGCTTAAATCCTTAGATGTTCACTTTTTCAACCTATTGGCCATCTAGCCACTTAGAGCAAGAGGTTTAGTATTTCAGAAAAAGGTTTGTTTCCCTTAATAGGGCTGAAGAATCTAAAACAACTGAGCTGATATGTTGCAGAGTTCCTCTTTTATCATAATTTGCTCCAGTATTTAAATCAGGGGTCTCAAACAGGTGGGCCGCATGCGGCCCGCAGAGTTATTTGCTGCAGCCTGCCAAGCTCCCCCCCCCCCCCCGAGTTATTTCCTGTGGCCGCCAAGCTCCCCCCACCCCCCCAGTGCGGCGCGTCCCTGCTCCTCTTCCTATTTCCAGGTGTTTCCCACCTCCAAACAGCTGTTTGGCGGTGCTTAGCACTTTCCAGGAGGGTGGTGGGAGGAGCAGGGAGCGCACGCTTAGGGAAGGAGGTAGAGAAGAGGTGGGGCAGGGGGGGATTTGGGGAAGGGGTGGAATAGGGGCAGGGAGGGGGCAGAGTTGGGGTGGGGGCTTTGGAGAAGGGGTTGGAATGGGGAGGGGGAAGGGGTGGGGCCTCATGGAAGGGGTGGAGTGGGGGCAGAGGAGGGGGGTTTTGTATCTTTGTATGAAAAGGTGTCAGCGATGCGGCCCTCAGGCCAATGTACTCGTCCTCTTGTGGCCCTCATAGTGATTTGAGTTTGAGATCGCTGCTTTAAATACACTTTTAGTGTCAGCTTAGTAAATGGAGATCATTACTTATTAGCAGGAAGATTCATGGATAAGGCAGGCTTTGATGGTCATGATGTTATGACAGATATTGGTATCCTTGGTATATTGGTAGAACATGTGAATCTGCCTTGGATGGAAAAGAAATAAAATGTTTTTTTTCCACTGTACAAGTATATTGAATTGTGTCACATGGCTCCTTGTTTCCGAGTTTGCGGTATGCCTGGGAAGGTTCTGTTGTGTCACGTCTGGTACTGATGCATCTTAGCGCAGAGCGCTCATACTCTCTCACTTGACTGAAGATATCTCCCTCAACTTTGTGTAATGTCGGTTAATTCCCCATCCCAAGGCAGATGATAGTCTCCTAACATAGTAGCATAGCACAGAAAGATAGAAGGGGTGTGCGTGTGTCTGTGAAAAAATCAGTCAGAAGGTAATTGGTGGAAACAAATACTGTGTGTGATGCTTGTTTTTAAAACTGGGATAATTAAGACAGAAGGAATTATAAATATTGCTACCAGTTAAAATTAAAAATCTCTTTAAAAAAAAAAAAAAAAAAACCACTAAAGCGAAAAAATGGTGGTTTTTCCTCCCTGATAAAAAATACTCTAAAATATTCCAGATTCACCATTCTAGAATTGTTGAAAACTATTTGCAGATGAGGTCATTGGGCCCTGAAGATCACTCCACATCCACCCACTTCTGTACTTGCTGGGAGCTCACTCCTGGCAGTGCAGGGCTCCGGAGGGGGCCAATGGATGGAATAAATCAAGGGGGACTTCATACGGAATACTGAGTTTTCAATCTCAAAATGAGTAATAATTTGCCTGTGCACACCAGGGGGGCCGTAAGCGCCACAAAGTATGAATGAATGAATGGAAAGTGGGTGAAATAAAGGGAAAGGTTTAAAAAAAAATTCCATAAAAAACAACATGAAAGGAGGAAAGGCCTGATTCAGCCCTCTAGAAACTAATGGGGACTTTGCATATGACTCTTACGTGAGCAGGATCAAGCCCCAAGTGGGAAATTTTGAGAGATGCAAAAAAGGAATGGGACTGAGAAAGCAGCTCTTTTGTAGCGGAGAGGCAGGCAGCCTTGTCTGCTTGAATTTGTATGGAAGGTCTGTGCAAACGCTCTTCGTTGTCTTGTCGATTTCAGGTGAGTCATCAGATGGGTAACGTGATGGATCTCTTCACCACCAGCCTCTCCCTAGCTGGATTGCAGCCTCCCAGTGACCGACACATTGACGGTATTGACCTTTCTCCTGCCATCCTGCAGGGCAAGCTAATTGACAGGTTAGTTTTGAGCATGGAGCTCACAGCTCCTCCCTTGTGGTTATTGGAGGGGGGCAGAATTCATTTGTTTATTTTAAAAATCCCTTCTTTAAAATTATTATTACTTTAGAAACAGGCCTGGTGTACTTTATGTTCCTGATGGCTGAATTGGAGTGAGAACCAGAGATTTACTTTCTGTGCTAATTATGTGCTGGAGCTAGCGAGGTGGGATTTCTTGAAACTCAGCATACTGCCATGAAATGGATTCCGATGGATTCAGTTGTCCAGGGATTAGCACATATCCCTGGAACAGCATAAGGTCACAGTGAGGTTAAATTCCGTGAACTCTAACCTGGTTAGGGAAAGGAGGTTTAATTATTTATTACTGTGGAGCAACCAAGAGTGTCTGGGTCCTTCACAAAACACAGCCACTGCCTGAAAGAGCATATGGTCAAAGGCCTTGATCCTGGAAAGGGACTTCACTGAAACCCCATTTGTTCCTCTGGCTCTGCTTGTGTGGATCCTTTTTCACGGTTGGGCCCAAATTTTAGACTTGACTTGAAGAGCTGGGATAATGAGCAGCAGGGAGTGAGGGTGGGCTGGGTGTTAAAACGAGACAAGATTAGACAGGGAACATGCTTGACTTCCTGTCCTGGGCAATGTAGAACTGGTGAGTATTTCCAGGAATGGTTTAATTGAGCAGAGGGAAGCAGCCTGACAAATCAAATTAGTGAGGATGTTCCATAAATAGGGGAGAGCATGAAAAAAGGCACAGGGATGCTTGCAGGATTCATCTGTTTTCTCTTCTGTGTTGACCTTGAACCTTAGGTCGGTAAAGCTATTTTTGTGCCCATTAGGGCAGAAAGCACCTGCGTAGCTCTGCAGGTGATTCACCTAGTGTCTAATTTAGGGCGTTACTGGATCTGCGAGTGCTGTGAAATGTTTGCAGTTAGCATTACTTTGTTTCTTTAAGGTTGAAGAGGTTCTTTACTGACATAAATGAGTTTTTTCATTGGAGAGGCGAACATTTTATTACTCTGCCACTTGCACTACAATAATTGTCACTTCAGTGCACAAGGTGAACCAGGTCAGGTCTTCCAAAGCCAAAAACTCCATTAATGTTTCTTTTCCAGTGGGTTAGATTTTAACATTCTTTTTGGCTAAGAAAGCAGGAACAGTAAAGATGATTTGGGGATGGAAAAGATTGTTTTTTAAAACAGAAGACCTTATACAAACACGCTCAACTAAAGAAAGTTCCTCGAGGAATGAGTATTATGGGTGAGCGAGAACCGGATGAGTGAGTCCTTTTCTTTCACTAGTGTGAACATTTTGGACCCCGTTCTGCATTCTTGCAACCCCCCTCACTCCCATTTTCCGTTAGGAGTTTTTGGTGCATACAGAGTGGACCAAAAGGAATGGGGCCTGTGTGCTAAGCTGGGTTTTTCCCTTTGTTCACAAGCTCCTCATAAATACAAAGAGTAGAAGACACTCATTGTGCAGGGAGTGATGGAGACTGTACTTCATACTCAAAACAGAAGGGATCTAAGACCATTCCTGTGCTTCAGTCAGGGAGATTTTTAACCTTCTCTTACCGTAAACATATGGTCTTCAAGGTGGCACCATAGAACCAGACAGTTCTTCCAAAATAGGAATTCTGAGTCCAAACCAAAGCTGCAGATTCAGAACTGATGATGACCAACTTTCTGGCTTCATATAGCAGCCTATAACTACCGGAAAAAGCTGACCAAGCTGGATGTCCTTGTATGAGGAACTCTACCAACAGTCTGCCCTTGAAAGATGCTTCAGTTCTGCAGAAATTGAGTGGTCCAGTTTCACCTTCCATTCCAAGAGCAACAGTGTGCTTTGTCAGTGAAACCAAAGGGAAGAGGGGGGACAGTGCTGAGCTCATCACAACATTTTTTGAAAGGGGGGGGCAGGCCATTAACTGTTCTGAATGGAATATGTTTTCTAATATATCCCCAGTGTGCTCCCTAAATTGAGACCCCTGGGCATTTGAGAAAAGGCAGCATCCAGAATTACATTAGGCCAAGTTAAAGGGAAGGCTTTTTGAGAAATTGATGGGGGTGGAATATAAAGCATGTTGGAGTGCTAGGATCTGTGATTTGGGTGCATTCTGAGATGGCAGTGGAAAGCAGAATGCGTCTTTAATGCCGTTTTCCCCCTTTTCTGGCTAATCAGCCTGTATGACAGTAACAGCTGGTAGTCTGGTGCTCTCTAGCTGTCCTCAGCCATAAACAGGAGACCAAGCATCACATGTTCTGTGAATTCCCATCACACACTCCACTCTTCTGAGACATTTGGTGTTTAAATCGTCACGCTCGATAGAAAATTACAGGGGCTGATAGTTCAAGGATTAACAATCACTGGCAGCCCGGTTGTATAATGCTTCATTCTTGCGCAATGTGAGCTCTCAACTTGATGAACACTTTAAAAAATGTTAATTGAAACCCTTGCAGTGGAGACTATTAGAAGGCAGCCTGTTCCTGACTGATAGCTGAATCGGAAGTCAGACTCCATTAAAGTGTTTGTCTCCCTTATCAGTGTGCCTGCCCAAGCACTTGTTTAGGCACATTGCATTTCTCATGCAGCTGCACTTCCCCTCCCCCTTCTGCTTCCCTGTCAGGCCGATATTCTATTACCGTGGCAACGAGATGATGGCAGTAAGACTTGGGCTTTACAAGGCTCACTACTGGACCTGGAGCAACTCCTGGGAGCAGTTCAGTCAGGTAACAGAAAACAAACCCCCCTCGTTTAGTTTATTTTCCCCATTCCCAACTTGCATCAAGTGACATTTTCGTCATGGGGGCAAAAAACCCATTAAAGGGGAATTTGAAATTATTGGCATGTCCCTGCGCTCCATTTTAAACCAGCCATTTATTGGAGACATTGATGTGTAATTACTGCTGGATCTGTACTAAAAAGTGAAAGGAGGAAGGAGACTAGTAGTTCAGCACCTTCATATTGAAGTCAATGTCATTCCAGGGCAATAACAGAAAATTGTCCTCTTGGGTTGTTTTGGATGTTGGGGTGGTTGGTTTTTTTTAGCATCTAATATACTGTGATGTTCAGCATCTTTTCTTGATCAGTTCTTACCAAGCTTATATGTCACACCATTTGGAGTGTTACATTAAGTTGTTGGTATGGATCCAGTGTCTGATATGAGGAATTCAATGCCCCTCACTATTTAAACGAATATAAGGCTGTTTTGCTAAGCAATGCATGGAGAGGGAAGGAAGCCCAGCTGTCAGCAGCTGTACTGTGCAGAGAACAACAGTTGCTGAAAACAGAGCACATGTGTTTCATCTCTTACAAAAGTATGCTCAGACCTAAATCATTCTAAGACTTAGCACATTTTTGAGCTCTCTCAGTTGATCGTCCCTTTGTTATAAGTTATACGCTCTTGCTGTTTTTCTGATTTTGTATCTTTCTTGTTCCAAACTTGGGTAATAAACTCTGGGGCATTTCACAAATGGCAGCTCGCAATTGTGCCATGCTGATTATGCCCTTAAAGTGAAGTAAATATGCTATGGCACAGCTCTCAGCAATTTCAACAGCAGGCTGGTGGTACAGGGGGTTGTTTGTAAAATTATTACTATTTGTTATGTATGGTAGGCCCTCAGGGCTTCACAGGTGCAGAACAAAGTGCTACTGGCATTTGTGGATGTGAAAACAAGCATGTAGTTTGTATACTCAGGGCGACGGGGATGGGGTAGAGGCAGCATCAAGGAAGTAATTTACATTCATGGCTGTAAACTTTGTATCTAGAAAGACTGTAAGGCTCAAAGAGTCAAAGTTGCAATTTTACATGGCACCAAAGAGACTTACGGACTGGGAGGGAAAGTTGGCCCCCAAAATGCATCGCATACTTTATGCCATTGTTAACCCTTTGTGAGGGGGATGATGCAATCTATTGTTGACACTTGTATGTGAATAAAGCTTGGATCTTTCAAGTGACATGGAAAGAGTGTGGAAGATTTTCGCTGTGAGTGGGAACACTGGGAAAGAAGACAATGTCAGATGTGAATAACTGCTGTCCATTGTAATATAAGCACATACACACACTTACACACCTAGTTCAGAAAAAAATAAATACCTACACTGATCTAAGCCTGTTTGTACATGTCTGAATATGTGTGTAGCTGTGATAATGGAGACCAGTTACTCATTTCAAAGACTCTCCTACTGTGAGCAGTGGCAGTTGTGTAATTAAGGAATATTTCTTTCTTTCTAAGTCTTTGTTTAACTATGGCTGATTAAAGTCAGTAATTATGCTGTACATCAGAGAGATGATTAAAAATTCGCTTGTATCACATGTGGTTGATGTGGGTAAAATTGGAGCACATTAGAGGACAGAATAGCCATTAACAACATGCAGAGGAAGCTGGGGCTGAAATATGTTCCGATTCCTCTCATGTCCTCCAGACGTTAATTACAACCCTCACGAGTTTTAAATAAATAAATTAATAAATCCGAATGCAGAATGTTTTTACTGTTCTGATTTTTGTTTTCTTTTTTGCAAGCTTGTCATACATGACCGCTACACAGTTCCTCCTTGCTGTTACTGCTTTGTTATCAGTAATATTTATATTGTGGTTGGAGTTATCTTGGCAGAGTAGGAGGGGCCAGTTTTGCTTGCTGGCTTCATTGCAAATGGACTTTAATGTACACTTTTGTGACATTAGAAATCCCGATAGTCGACAGAACAGATGAGTTTGCCTTGCCAAGCCACTGGGGCTTTTGGCTAATAAGGCAAAATTTTTACCTTGTCTAATGGTGGGGTCTCCTGACTGGCTCATTACCTGATTATTTGAGTCCGATGTGGAGATGTATTAGACTCCCTTTGAACTTGGAAGCCTTTCACTCATAAAGATGATGGGGCCAAAGTCAGATCTGGTGAAAGCTGGTACAGTTTCATCATCTTTATTGGAGTTGCAACCATTTAAACAGGCCTGGGGTTGTCCAGATATATCAAAACAACTCTGTTTATTTTCAAGAGGTTTACTTTACAGATAATTTAGTATTTTGTTATTTTTGTAGAGTTGCTTCATTGTTTCATGTTTCAGCCAAACCTTCATTTGCTCTTGAAAGCCCCTTGTTAATTGGCAGAGTGGAAAATTACTAAATATAGATAGTCTTGTCAGAATTCAATTTTTTTCTTTAATTTTAATTATTAATATCAATTTTTATTTTTAAATTTTCACTGTTGCTTGATATTAAGTGGTGGGTAGGGTTGGGACATGGCTGTAGAGGGCTCCCTGTGCCACTGAGGGGCCCAAAACATGGGTGCAAGGTGCGAGGGAGGTTGCAGTCCTGACCTGGAGCAGAGAGCACCTGGCCAGGACTACACAGAGGAGGATGAGTCCCTGGCTGCAGGGGAGGCTACCCCACTGCTGAACAGTTCCTGCCTGCGAACAGCTCCCACACACCTGGCTGGTGGGTGAGTGAGTGGGGCCATGAGAATGGAGCTGCAGAGGACTCCCCGCGTGGTCACAGTCCGGTGACACCCGATCCCTGCACGTGCAAGATGTGGAGTAGGCTGCAATCGTGGGAGGGCAGAGCAGAAACCCTTGGCCAGGATGGCACGGGACCCTTTGGTCAGAACGGCCCGGAGGAAGGAAAGCCCCCAGCCACAGCGGAGGCCACCCCGCTACTGAATGGTTTTGTCCCTGGGCAGGAGCCTTTCAGCAGCAGGGTGACCTCCCCCACAGATGGGGACACACCCCGCACAAGCCTGGCTGGGAGTCTCCGCTCTGCCATGCAGTGGTGCTGGAACAATTTGTACAGGGGGGGTGCTGAGAGCCATTGAACCAAACTATAAACCCTGCGTATAATGGAAACCACTTCAAGCCAGAGAGTGCAGCAAGCCCTCCCAGCACCTCTAATTCCAGCACCTATGCTCTCCTGCTAGGACTGCAGCCTCCCCCCGACCTTGCTTCTGCAGGGATCCAGTGTCACCGTGCAGGAAGCAATCTGCTGTCATGGCCCTGCTCGTTCACTCCCATGACTGCGCTGCCAAAAGGCCAGTGACATTGGATCCCTGTAGGTACAACGTGTGGGGGGAGGAGCAGGCTGCACTCATGCCGTTACTGATGGATGCTTTTTTGTGTTGATTTCCGTGTCAGCTGAAATTGACATTTACCAGCATCTATCAATTTAAAACGAATCCCGCCAAACCGAAATACAGACAACTTACACTATTTTTAATTCATGCTTGGTGTGCCTTTGTTTTAAGATTTTTAAACCTGGAAATGCCACTGAGCAAACCAGAATCCAATTGATGTTAGGATTGGAAAACATCACATTGTTATCCTTCTGGCCCCAAGTGTGTCTTCTGAACACCTCCATGCTTTTCACCGTCAGGCTTGGTTAAGAAGAATTTGTGCAAGTTTAGGAATTTTAGCCTCTAACCTGGAAAGCTACTTGCTTGATTGCAGCATTAGGCAGCTAAGTAATAAAGTATGTGTAAAATGGAGCACAGAGGAGACGCTTACAGACAGCTAACCCCGGGAGATAACTCGGTTGTGCATGCTTCTCCCCATATGGCACTTGGAATATTTACACTGCAAAGATCCCAGCAGTCCACTGGTTTATAGTGTCTTTGCCTTATTAAACTCTCATGCCATTAACATGCTTTAACTGGTACCCATCATCTGCATTCTAGTTTGGGATTCAAATTTATGTCATCCGTCACAAAGATGAAATGTGTTGGTTTTTTGTTTTCTGGTTTTTTTTATCCTCCAGAGGCAGTATTTTCTAATCCAATTCCTCCCATAAATCGTTGTAATCTATTTATTAGCACTGTAGGACTATTTGGTGTTATCTTCCCTGCTATTTCTACTTGATTATTTAGATAACTTATATTCATGAACGGCTACTCCCTTGAATAGCATAAGGGAAAGAAATATAAACCCACTCAGTAGAAATAAGTGAGACTAAGGACTTGATGGCACACACCACTCCTGCCTGTAAATTACATGGGACGCTCACATGAGGAATATTTACCTAGCTGCCATCTTCGTACAATAAAAAGCCTTTGTGATTTACAAGTGGTTCATGTTTATGCAGTTTGAATTGTCTAACATCCAGGAGCTGATGAATAGGACAGAGATAAGTGAATTTACTGAGAGAATATATTTATATTTGTAAATAATTTGAGAAGTAATATGTATTCTATTCCAGAATTAGATTTGGTTTTGGACTGAAAAAAAGGAGACAAGGAGAAGTTTAAGAATTCTGTAGTCTCGGACTTCATTGCCGAGTCAGTAAATAAATGATTTCACAGGAAAAATACTTTCTTATTGACCTCTGGAGTTTAAAAAGAAGCTGTGAGAGCACCGGAAGTACAGTCTGCAGTGGTGTGGCAGAACCTGTACTGGATTCACCTGGAAGGCATCGGGCCAGATTTTCAGCTGCGGTAAGTCGAAATAGCTCCATTGAAATCAGTGCAGCTATGCTGCTTTAGACCTGCTGAGGATCTGGCCCGTACTGTCCTTTGCTTTGGTGCTTATGGCTATCCGAGCGTAGGCTCTTCCATGGCCCTATCATCGTTGGCAACCTTGCTCTTCCAGCCAAATCTCATAGTGATGAACACAGCAGTGTACATTACACATCCGGTGCAAATTGGTCAGAGGATCTATGTTACCAGTCAGGTAGGGTAGTTGGCTGGAAATTGAAGCTAGACAAATTTAGACTAGAAGTAAGGCACAAATATTTACCAGTGAGGGTA